GCGCTTCCATTGTCTGCTTTATTGTGAGCCATTCCGACATTTAGCTGTAATGTTTTTCCGTCTGATCGTCTGGAAAATCTTGCACATGTGGCGCGCTAAAAGTGTATTTACTCTTCTGCAGTTTGGAGATCTGAGGTCTACCTAAATGACAGTGTAGCATATCAGTCTGTGCTAACATGGGTGCTATGCTAAACGACTGTTCTAACTGTGAATGAAGGCATCGGAATCGTCTTCGTTATGGCACATATCTGAGTTTGAATGGTTACAGAACTAAAGCAGTCAAAGTCACGAGGAGCCGTGAGCACTTCCCTCTTGGGCTCATTGAGCATCTATAAACAGACAGGGTTAGGGTCAGAGTTTCCCCATGATATTCTATTAGTGTTGAGCTGAAACATATATTATTCCTTCATTAAAGACAACAAAACAGACACATCCACATTCAACAAGAACAACAATCAAATATATAAATATATGCATTTGAATGTTATTAATGTTATTTGTCTTGTGTTTCAAAGCAGATGAGATTTTAGGTGAAAGACACAAATATTGCAATAATATTGTTATTGCACTACTAAACACTCATATCGAATATCGCACTCATTCCCAATATCGTGCAGCCCTATTACAGTGTTTTAAATGTTTATTTGTGAGCCTTGGAAATGATCCACCATCCCCTGCTTGGTCAAAATCATCTGAAAATAAAATGTGAGATGATTAGAAAGTTGCGTTTGATTTTCTAAATAACACACAATGATGAGAATGACTTGTTGCTTTTGTCAATAAAGACTGTAGAGTTTCACTTCTGAATCAGCGGCGGGTTTGTCATGTGACTTTTTTGCGATGACAAATTTGTGACACGGCTCAAAAAGGTTGGGGACCACTGTTCGTTTGGACCATTAGCTTTTTATCCTTTCATCAAGAAGGTCTTTAATTCGTCCACAATGGGGACGTTTCAGTTTGATGCATACACATATATACTGTGTATATATACATACACATATATACTGTGTACTGTGTGTATATATACATACATATATACTGTGTACTGTGTATATATACCTACACATATATACTGTGTACTGTGTGTATATATACACATACATATATACTGTGTATGTATATATACATACACATATATACTGTGTACTGTGTATATATACATACACATATATACTGTGTATATATACATACACATACATGTGTATGTATATATACATACACATATATACTGTGTATATATACATACACATACATGTGTATGTATATATACATACACATATATACTGTGTACTGTGTATATATACATACACATACATACTGTGTATATATACATACACATACATGTGTGTGTATGTATATATACACACAAATACATACTGTGTACTGTGTATATATACATACACATATATACTGTGTACTGTGTGTATATATACATACATATATACTGTGTACTGTGTATATATACATACATATATACTGTGTACTGTGTATATATACACATACATATATACTGTGTACTGTGTATATATACATACACATATATACTGTGTACTGTGTATATATACATACATATACATGTGTATATATACAGACATATACATGTGTGTGTATATATATATATATATATATATATATATATATATATATACACACACATCAAGGCAAGCAGCGAACATTACTTCAGCGCTCCTTAAAGGCAAAGTGGGTGAAGTGTCTTGCCCAAGGACACAACGACAGCAGACATCAGTGGGAGTCAGTCCCCAGTCCGTCCCCGCCGGTCTATAATAGAACCATCATCCTTGAAACACACACTGCCTTCGTTTCACGAACACCAACTGTTCGGCCAAAGCCGTTTGTGATCCATGAGTAAGACTTAGCAATGCTGCGTTACCATCTCATCTGAGTGTTGTTGAGCGGCGTCTGGCCAAACCATACAGCACATCATGGACTCGCGGCCCATGCACAGTGTATGTATTTAAGACGCCCGTCATGTTGTTTTACGCAACAGCCGGAAGCGGTGTGGTAAAAATAGTGGAAAGCGACATGATACTCTTGGTTGGTGGCTGGCTCCGTGATGGATTGGGCTCAGGAAAGTTTGGGCTGTCATTACCAAAAGCCTGAATAGCTGCAGGGTTAGAGACGGTCTTTGTCCGTGGAGGTCTGAGTGTGTCGTCTTCTCTCTCTGATCCATACAACCCTCTCATGTGTCCAGAGTGAGGGGCTTTCCCTCAGACCTCCTTTTTGGCCTAAGGTCTTTTGCCATGTTAAGTTTCAGTAAAGTCTCTCCAAGCGACGCTACGGAGAGTAAAGAGTTGAGTTTTCTGCGTGACATGCATCTAAATAGGATGTCAGTTGTGGTACAGTGTGAACAGTTTTTCACACATGTTTTTGGAGAGCTCGGAGTCAGACTGACGACTGTTTGGGTTAGACTCACTCTGAAGTGGACAAATGAGCAACAGCAAAACCATGTGGTCCTCGGCAGCTGCAGACATGTTTCTGTGTTTAGTCCTGGAGTAGAAGCTTTCACTTCAGAACACTTTATGTTTAAAGGCCACTTTTAGTATATTTTATATTATTATATTATACATTTATAACATATTGTCATCGTACTGTTCAGTTCTACCTTTGTCTAGAAAGAATGTTTTATAGAATGATGATAATTGACTTGAAATGATCAAAATGGGATGTTTTTTACAATTATTCTAGGAGGGGTGTCCAAACTTAGGCCCACTCTGTGATTGTATGTATAATATATTTTACTTTCTGGGTGGATAATCTCATCTCATGAGTGTCAAAGTCAAGGCCCGAGGGCCAGATCCGGCCCGCAAATGAATGATCTTGTCCCTCAAATGAGATTTGATTAATATTAGAACTGGCCGCACAGAGACAGAAACAACTGGATGATTATTTTAATGTTCAGGACGTGTGTGTTTTCTGTTTGGTTTTGTCTGAATCTGTTGAACAATGTTTTCACTTGAAATTACTGACAGCCACAAAAATATTGAACATTCATTTATCTTTAAATAAAATACGGTCATTCTGCTGATATGTTGTAGTTGTTCTCTCTGGAGAGGGAGGTTCTTTCATAATATTCAGGAACATCCTCCTCTTTAACTTTAACTCTGTCATCCAGCCAACTTTAGCTCCACCAATATTTGATGTAAAGTGCAGAACCTTTGAAATCCAGTGGTCAACGTATTTGTATATACAGACCAATTTTTTGATTGTGTCACAAAATTCCAAACATGGCGTAATGTCGCTGTGACATATCCTTATTTGTCATAAGGATAGTCGCCCTCTTTCTAAAAGTTTAGACACCCAGCTCTCGCAGAAAGGTTTCATTGTATATGTTTAACTTATTATTCCTAAAACATAATAGTATAATTTATGTATGTACTTTTGAAATATATTATGGATTACTTTAAAAATAAATCTTTATATTGTGCCCTAAAAACACAAAGTAAAAAAGTATAATATTGCCTTTTTGTTCTGTATCCGGTTCGTGCGCAGCGTGATGAAATCAATCATGTGGTCTTGAATGCCTCATGACGTTTGGATCAACATTTGGGAACATTTGGGGCGGTTTGTTTGAGGAAATGCTTATGGCCATCAGGGAGTTTATTGTTGTGGCATCTGCAGCATCAGGAGCTAAATCTATTTACTTAAACTGGATCCACTTCCTGCTGCCTCCTCTTTGTTTTTGTGCTGCAGAAATAGCTCCAGTTTGTTCTGGAGCTAAATGTGGAATACATGACTCTGGCTCGAGTTACACACGGAGCAGCTGCGGTACCGGAGAGTCCGGGTCTGGGTCTAAGTCTGGTTACTGTAGGGTCTAAGTCTGGTTACTGTAGGGTCTAAGTCTGGTTACTGTAGGGTCTAAGTCTGGGGACTGTAGGGTCTAAGTCTGGTTACTGTAGGGTCTAAGTCTGGTTACTGTAGGGTCTAAGTCTGGTTACTGTAGGGTCTAAGTCTGGTTACTGTAGGGTCTAAGTCTGGTTACTGTAGGGTCTAAGTCTGGTTACTGTAGGGTCTAAGTCTGGTTACTGTAGGGTCTAAGTCTGGTTACTGTAGGGTCTAAGTCTGGTTACTGTAGGGTCTAAGTCTGGTTACTGTAGGGTCTAAGTCTGGTTACTGTAGGGTCTAAGTCTGGTTACTGTAGGGTCTAAGTCTGGTTACTGTAGGGTCTAAGTCTGGGGACTGTAGGGTCTAAGTCTGGTTACTGTAGGGTCTAAGTCTGGTTACTGTAGGGTCTAAGTCTGGTTACTGTAGGGTCTAAGTCTGGTTACTGTAGGGTCTAAGTCTGGTTACTGTAGGGTCTAAGTCTGGTTACTGTAGGGTCTAAGTCTGGTTACTGTAGGGTCTAAGTCTGGTTACTGTAGGGTCTAAGTCTGGGGACTGTAGGGTCTAAGTCTGGTTACTGTAGGGTCTAAGTCTGGTTACTGTAGGGCCTAAGTCTGGGGACTGTAGGGTCTAAGTCTGGTTACTGTAGGGTCTAAGTCTGGTTACTGTAGGGTCTAAGTCTGGTTACTGTAGGGCCTAAGTCTGGTTACTGTAGGGCCTAAGTCTGGTTACTGTAGGGTCTAAGTCTGGTTACTGTAGGGCCTAAGTCTGGTTACTGTAGGGCCTAAGTCTGGTTACTGTAGGGTCTAAGTCTGGTTACTGTAGGGCCTAAGTCTGGTTACTGTAGGGCCTAAGTCTGGTTACTGTAGGGCCTAAGTCTGGTTACTGTAGGGTCTAAGTCTGGTTACTGTAGGGTCTAAGTCTGGTTACTGTAGGGTCCGAGTCTGGGGGCTGTAGGGTCCGAGTCTGGGGGCTGTAGGGTCCGAGTCTGGGGGCTGTAGGGTCCGAGTCTGGGGGCTGTAGGGAGAACATATGAAGAAACCACAGAAGTGACTGTTGCACCTGATAATAACTTTTTTAATACTTTTTTATTCATTTTGATATTTTCTTCAGTGTCCTCTGAGAAAACACTGCTTTATCCACTCGGGCTTTGACTTGATTCATGCAGCTGTGGCAGAGAACATGCAGCTGTGGCAGAGACTGTAGAGAACATGCAGCTGTGGCAGAGACTGTAGAGAACATGCAGCTGTGGCAGAGACTGTAGAGAACATGCAGCTGTGGCAGAGACTGTAGAGAACATGCAGCTGTGGCAGAGACTGTAGAGAACATGCAGCTGTGGCAGAGACTGTAGAGAACATGCAGCTGTGGCAGAGACTGTAGAGAACATGCAGCTGTGGCAGAGACTGTAGAGAACATGCAGCTGTGGCAGAGGACGTGCAGCTGTGGCAGAGACTGTAGAGGACGTGCAGCTGTGGCAGAGACTGTAGAGAACATGCAGCTGTAGCAGAGGACATGCAGCTGTGGCAGAGGACATGCAGCTGTGGCAGAGGACATGCAGCTGTGGCAGAGACAGTAGAGAACATGCAGCTGTGGCAGAGGACGTGCAGCTGTGGCAGAGACTGTAGAGGACGTGCAGCTGTGGCAGAGACTGTAGAGAACATGCAGCTGTGGCAGAGGACATGCAGCTGTGGCAGAGGACATGCAGCTGTGGCAGAGGACATGCAGCTGTGGCAGAGGACATGCAGCGGTGGCAGAGGACATGCAGCTGTGGCAGAGGACATGCAGCTGTGGCCGGACTCTCCTGTTTGCGTCAGCTCTGGCTCAGAGAGACGGAGGCAGATGTCCGAGTGAGGCCCAGGGCAGGATATGAGGTCACCCTCTGTGTTCCCGGGGGGAGTGATATCATTGTTGCACCGGACCAGCAGCTCCTCCCTCTCCCTCCATCACATGTCTGCTCTGATCCAGGAGAGAAAAGAGTAGAATCAAAGGAAAGCAGCGCCTCATTATAAGCCTCAGAATCAGGAGTTGGGTTTGTTTACATTTCATCTGAAACGTGTCTGACTTTTACTGCATGTCACGATTCAACGAGAGCTGAAAGGAGCCCGTGACCCAACCCCACGTTTTCACTTGAAATTACTGACAGCCACAAAAATATTGAACATTCATTTATCTTTAAATAAAATACGGTCATTCTGCTGATATGTTGTAGTTGTTCTCTCTGGAGAGGGAGGTTCTTTCATAATATTCAGGATTGCCACTTCAGACTAAAGGTCATGATTTACAACCAGATGGACACATGGTGAAACACAGACTGACAGAATAATGGTCACTTGAATTAGGAATATTATAAACTATTAAACCAACTTTCCAGGAGTGGCAATAAAAACTTGCAGCTCCCTCTTAGTGTAATTAAGACTTCTGTGGTCATTCTAATATTAATAATAATAATACATTGGTTTTATACACTGCTTTTTCAGATTCTCAAAGTCTCTTCACATCATTATTCTCTCTCTCCAAACACGGTGGTGATAAACTACTACTGTAGCCACAGCTGCCCTGGGGCACACTGACAGAAGCGAGGCAACCAGTCTGTGCCATCGGCCCCTCCGACCACCACCAACCATTCACACACACACCAGACTCTAGGCAATGGGGGTGAAATGTCTTGCCCAAGGACACAACCACAGTTTGGCACTTTACAGCCGCAGCCGCCCCACTGTGGCTCCTGCTGTTCCCAGAGGTTAAGTGTCAACAGCAGACATCAGTGGGAGTCAGTGGAGAAAGTCTCGAACCCACAACCTTCAGGCTCAAAGGCCACTGCTCTACACACTGAGCCACTGTCGCTGTTGTTGTAATCTTTAGGAGCCCTAAAGTGAACCAGGAGCCCTAAAGTGAACCAGGAGCCCTAAAGTGAACCAGGAGCCCTAAAGTGGGACTGAGACCTCTTGTGGCTAATTATCGGAGAATGATGTTGAAAGTTTAGTTTAGTTCATCTTCATACTTATAATCATCAAAGAGCTAGAACCAGGACATTTATTGAGTAGGATGTTTTGCTGACATGATGTGAGCTGGAGATGAGAGGGGCTGACTCTGGACCCCCCCCCTGTCCCAGGGAAGAGAAGGATCGAAGTATGAGCATGAAGGTGTGTCAAGAGAACAAGGTCACACTTCTGAGATGAGAGGTTTAAGTTCAGACACGGCCCTGGATTTATTTAGTAAATGTTCATGCATTCATTTGGACAGAGAGGGCTACGTTCATCACATCGGCGCCGATTGTGAATGAGATGTATTTTACCTTGACATGTTACAGCTGCCAACAACTGATGGGTGAAGAGTAAATACCAGAAATAAAACATCATAGTATTCATGTCTGTGTTATTAAGACGTGATGGTGTCTGTGAGCAGCCCTGGTGTTAAGACATCTGCAGCAGCTGTAAGAGTTTGTCCATCTGTGGCCTGTTTGATCTGTGGATTAAAGACGCTTGTAGTGATGTGGAGCTGTTTGGGCCGGGCCAGGCTGGGCCAGGCCGGGCTGTGGTGTGCCCTGTGCATGTGTGTGACACTGAAACTGCCTGGATCCTCTCGAGCTTTCCAGTTTTCTGCATTTGATTTATAGTTTTCACTCCACACAAACCGAGCTCCAGGCCTAAGAATATCCACAGTGTGAGAGAGATGTCCCGATACAGATCCGTGGGAACAGGCCGGAGGGACTGGAGGGACCAGAGGGGCTGGAGAGGTTAGAGGGACCAGAGGGGCTGGAGAGGTTAGAGGGACCAGAGGAGCTGGAGAGGCTGGAGGGACCAGAGGGGCTGGAGGAACCAGAGAGGCTGGAGGGACCAGAGTGGCTGGAGAGGCTGGAGGGACCAGAGGGGCCGGAGGGACTGGAGGGACCAGAGGGGCTGGAGAGGCTGGAGGGACCAGAGGGACCAGAGGGGCTGGAGGGACCAGAGGGGCTGGAGGGACCAGAGGGGCTGGAGAGGCTAGAGGGACCAGAGGGACCAGAGGGGCTGGAGGGGCCGGAGGGACCGGAGGGACCGGAGTCTCTGTTTTGGTTTGGCTGTTGCAGCAGGACCACTTCAGGGACGAGCGTCTGTGGGAAACCAGGGCGTCCTCAGAGAATCCGCCTGAAAGTCTTTTCTGACACATGTTTTAAGTTACAGTGCACAGTATTCAACACGTAATATTGAAATTATATTAAGTAATAATAATTGTGAAACATAAACATTTAGTCACTGCCCAGACTGGCAGACGCAGTAAATGTTTAGAAATTGCATGGTTTTTCTTTAGGTCAAGGACCAGAGGAACTGAAGGAACTAATCTCCATTTTAAATATCTTCTTTCACCTCTTGTGAATGGACTTCATATTTGTTGTTGTTAGTGTTGTCCAAAAATGGTCTGAAAAATGTCCAAATATAATACTGTCTCATTAGCTCCTTTTACGTAATTTTGGGACACAATCATAAACCACCAACACATAATATGCCTATTTTGGCAGGGCTGAAGTTGGCTGGGTGACTCTGCAGGCCTTAGTTTGGACCTATGCTAAACTAATCGGGCGACAGTAGCTCAGTTGGTAGAGCACAGGCCTTTGAGCCTGAAGGTCGTGGGTTCTAGCCCACCATGAGACCTACTTCACGACTCCCACTGATGACTGCTGTCGTTGTGTCCTTGGGCAAGACACTTAACCCCACTTTGCCTGAAGCCCCCACTGAAAGATCTCAGCTCCTGTGGACTCAGCACCTGCAGGAGGATCAGTGAGGGGCTGGTGCTCTGACTGCCACCCCCGACCCAGACATGGATTAAGGGGAAGAAGATGGATGGATGGATAAACTAATCCCTTTGAAATATCATTGGTTTTGTAGTTTACCAGCTCCCTGAAGGACACATGGTCCCAGCTGTTTATTATGGTCATATTGGAAAACTTTATATCTGTTACATTCTGCTTTATCTTTCTAAAGAGTAACACGACACAGTGAAGCCTGAATAATGTTGTCTTTAGTAGAAGCACCTCCCAGAGCTTGAGGATCACTGTGAGTGGGTCAGTAATGGCACAAACCCCTGAAGGCAACACAAACCCCTGAAGGCAACACAAACCCCTGAAGGCAACACAAACCCCTGAAGGCAACACAAACCCCTGAAGGCTACACAAACCCCTGAAGGCTACACAAACCCCTGAAGGCAACACAAACCCCTGAAGGCTACACAAACCCCTGAAGGCTACACAAACCCCTGAAGGCTACACAAACCCCTGAAGGCAACACAAACCCCTGAAGGCTACACAAACCCCTGAAGGCAACACAAACCCCTGAACCCTAAAGGCAACACAAACCCCTAAAGGCAACACAAACCCCTAAAGGCAACACAAACCCCTAAAGGCAACACAAACCCCTAAAGGCAACACAAACCCCTAAAGGCAACACAAACCCCCGAAGGCAACACAAACCCTTGAAGGCAACACAAACCCTTGAAGGCAACACAAACCTCTGAACCGTACCCTCAGAGTGGCTGACCACTGCCTGTGCGAGGTCAGGGCCTGAGGTCAGGGCCTGAGGTCAGGGTCTGAGGTCAGGGTCTGAGGTCAGGGTCTGAGGTCAGGGTCTGAGGTCAGGGTCTGAGGTCAGGGTCTGAGGTCAGGGTCTGAGGTCAGGGCCCGAGGTCAGGGCCCGAGGTCAGGGCCCGAGGTCAGGGCCCAAGGTCAGGGTCTGAGGTCAGGGTCTGAGGTCAGGGTCTGAGGTCAGGGTCTGAGGTCAGGGTCTGAGGTCAGGGCCCGAGGTCAGGGTCTGAGGTCAGGGTCTGAGGTCAGGGTCTGAGGTCAGGGTCTGAGGTCAGGGTCTGAGGTCAGGGTCTGAGGTCAGGGTCTGAGGTCAGGGCCCGAGGTCAGGGTCTGAGGTCAGGGTCTGAGGTCAGGGCCCGAGGTCAGGGTCTGAGGTCAGGGTCTGAGGTCAGGGTCCGAGGTCAGGGCCCGAGGTCAGGGCCTGAGGTCAGGGTCTGAGGTCAGGGTCTGAGGTCAGGGCCCGAGGTCAGGGTCTGAGGTCAGGGTCTGAGGTCAGGGTCTGAGGTCAGGTTCCGAGGGTCTGAGGTCAGGGCCCGAGGTCAGGGTCTGAGGTCAGGGTCTGAGGTCAGGGTCTGAGGTCAGGGCCCGAGGTCAGGGTCTGAGGTCAGGGTCTGAGGTCAGGTTCCGAGGGTCTGAGGTCAGGGTCTGAGGTCAGGGTCTGAGGTCAGAGTCTGAGGTCAGGTTCCGAGGGTCTGAGGTCAGTTCTTTTGCGTACTTCCTGTTTGTCCGACAGAGACAAAGATCGAAGTTACACTGAAGTGATTTTAATGAATAATGAAAGTGAATTACTAACGCTGTAAATCTTATTTAATAATTATAATGGAGCATGTTCTGGCTTTGAAACCCTAAAATATCACTAAAAGAAAGTACAGTATTGTGCGTACATTATTATAAGTACACACAGTGCAGGGTTTGAACTACACTCAGAGTTGTGTGTCTAAAACATACAACTGCGTCACTCAAACAAAGCACTGTTTCTGATTATTGTGTACTTTGGACACACACTGCTTTCTCAGCTCGCTGAAAGGAACAGAGTGTGAGTGGAGCAGTTTGTGGCTGGATGTGACGAAGCAGAGAAACTGATGTTTTTAACTCACCAAGAAAAAACACACACAGAAGAACGGCTCGCTGCTGAAATGAGAAAAACATGAAACCACAAACTGCAGAACTGAGTCCGTTATTATTGTGGAAGATGTAGTTTAAGATTTGAAAATGTTGTATAAAGGCTCGTGTTGTTTTTGGGCTGAAAAGGTGTGTGTGTGTGTGTGTGTGTGTGTGTGTGTGTGTGTGTGTGTGTGTGTGCACTTGTTTTCAACTCCTAGTGGGTTCCATAACCTGAGATTCCGCTCACGTCATGGGGACTGGTTTTACGTGGTGGGGCCCGAACACCGGACCCCACTGGTCCAAGCTTAATAATCAATGGGTAATGCTTTTCTAACGGTCCTTATGCAGTCTCTGTAAAAATATGGAAAGGACCCCTGGAGGTTTACTTTCCTGAAAAAAGTGTGTTATGTGTCGGAACCCTGGTGGTGGGTTGCGGGATATCAGGGAGGGGCACACTGGGGCAATTTCAGTCCAGCAGGCTGGAGCCAATCATGGAGCAGCACAACAGAGGCTGGAGCCAATCATGGAGAAGCACAACAGAGGCTGGAGCCAATCATGGAGCAGCACAACAGAGGCTGGAGCCAATCATGGAGCAGCACAACAGAGGCTGGAGCCAATCATGGAGCAGCACAACAGAGGCTGGAGCCAATCATGGAGAAGCACAACAGAGGCTGGAGCCAATCATGGAGCAGCACAACAGAGGAAATCAGGTGTCAGGCTAGAAAAGGTGCAAGTGTGTGGTTCATTAGGCTGCAGCCAATCACAGAGCAGCACACTGAAGCGCACGCTTACAAACCACTGGTAAGTGCTGACTACAAGTTATGACTTCAAATTGTTATATAGAATGATTACAAATTATTTGTTGTTTGTGCAGCTTAGTCAAGAGTCCCTAATTGATGAAGTCGACTCAGATTCTGACGATTTAACTGTCAAGAAGAACCCTGTAAAAAAGTATGGAAAAAGAAAAATCAAAAACACTTTTCTTCAAGACTCGGAAAGTGACGAACCAAAGGCAAATAAGATTGTTATCATGCAGCTGCAAAAGAAGAAAAATGGGGGCAGGGTTTACAGCAAGAGACACTTCTGCCTCTACTGTTCAATGTCCTGCCACAAAATGTCCCGTCATTTGACTAGAAAACATGGAAATGAAAGTGACGTAGCCAGAGCATTGGCTCTACCTGTGAAGTCTAAAGCACGTAAACTTCAGTTTGATTTGATCAGGAATAGTGGAAACCGTGAGCACAATTTTGAGGTTTTAAAGGCCGGCATTGGAACTTTAGTCCCAGCTAAACAGCCAAATTGCCCAGTTAAATCCAGTGAGTTTTTGCACTGTATAGACTGTGGGGCATTGCTTAAGCGAAAGTCGCTGTGGAGGCATGTGGCCAGGTGCCGGCTTTCACAGAAAGATGCCCAGGCTAAACCAGGCTAAACCAGGCTAAACCAGGTAGAAGTAGGGTCCAGTCCCTCTGCTCCCTAGCCCAGCCTGTACCGGAGGGCATCAGCAAAAAGCTGTGCTCTTTAATTTGGGCAATGCATCAGGATGAGGTCACGGGTGTTGTCAAAGCAGAAAAGGGGATTCTGAGACTCGGAGAGCACCTGTACTTAAAACACGGGCATGATAAGACTAAGCATGATTACATTAGGCAGAAAATGAGAGAAGTCGGTAGGTTAATTAACGAAGCAAAAACTGCAGGGAAACTGAAAACAATTAAGGATTTCTTTATTCCTTCCAACTTTAACCATGTGATTGATGCAGTCAGGTCTGTGGCTGGATATGATGAGGAAACAAATCAATACAAGACTCCATCCTTGGCCCTCAAACTCGGCCATAGCCTCAGAAAGCTAGCAGATATTCTTGAATGTGACTCAAAAATGGAGCATTGTGTTGATGAACTATTTATTAAAAACCTCCAACGAAGCCGGCTGCTTTTTGAGAAGAGGTGGGACGTCTGTGTTTCTTCTGCTGCCCTACAGACCCTCCGGCAAGCCAAGTGGAACACTCCGGACCTGCTCCCTCTGACTGAGGACGTTAGAGCCATGCATGCACATATTGAGCAGTGTTTCCCACAAGTTTGAAGGCAATGTGTGGTGGTCGTCGGCGGGGGGGGGTGTATAATATAGTGTATAAACACTATATTACACTATAAATACTGTTAACGCTGTATAAACCTACTTGTTGCAAAGTTTGCATGTTTTATCAGAGCACCTGATTTTTCGGGGCTGGCGAAAAAAAGATTTTAATGCCATATCATAAGGGAAGTCCTCAGGACAGGGTCCATTGATGGAGATCCTCAAGCAAGCTGCCAGGTGTTCTCTTGCAGTTTGTTCCTGAGGTCTGTTTTCACCTGGAGATAAAGCAAAATGATAAATTATTATCAATGCAAAATGCACCAATATAAAGACAATGGGAATTTTTTATTGCTATTACCCTGTTCATTGCAGAGAAATCCCGTTCACAGTTCACAGAGGAAACAGGGATAACCAAAGCAATGCTTGCCAGAAGGCTCAGGCAGGGGTAGAGGTAGGCCCACTCATCAAACTCACTTGCCAGTAAACACAAGAGCTCCTCCTGGTTCTTGTTCTTGAAAGATAAGGGTTTGTCGTGGCATTAGTGTGTGTGTGTGTGTGTGTGTCAGGTCAATTCACTGACCTTGAATATAATATTGAATATAATCAATTCTATCTCGTTCTCTCCCTGACCCTGTCTTTCTGCTTGAGCAGCACTGGTTGAAGCCTGAAAATATTGTAAACAACTTATATAGCTAATTACACTGCGGACTGTTTCAGACCGATACCTCTGGTTCAGGCTGATCCTCATCCTCAACGCGTGTCTTTTTCAATCGCGGAAAATATTGTTCAATACTCATCTGGATTGAAGCAGCAAACATTCAGTGTAAGAGTAAAAAAAATGACATAACGTTACTTATAACTTTATTTCTTGCTACAGCTGCTACATAGTGTTTTGACCCCGACAACCCAACTACATACCGCAAACTTGCGACTAATTAACTTTATAAAGAAAGCGTCATCGCTTGTTAAGGGAGTCGGGACGGAAATTCAACATTGACACTGAACATTCAGCACTTTTTAATGTGTGATTTACGAGATCACGGGATACCAACCTTTAGTGAACTTCACCAGCCGTCTTCTCTGCACCAAAATTAATAGACACAGCTGCTTACAGCGATGATCGCTGATGGAGACGGAGACACGCGGTGTGCACGAAGGGGAGGGGCTGTGTGTGTGTAGGTCTCTGTATGTGGGAGAGACGCGTAGCTTGAGTGAGAGTTACGAAGGGCCGCCACATTTTAAACCCCCCTCCCCGCTGTCAAATTGACCGCTGCGGCGGCACTAGACGATGCATGTTTTAAATAGCGTAACAAAAAAAATATATATATAATAATACGAAACGCAATTTGTGGCGGGCGGTCTCTAATCTGTGGCGGTGCGCCACAGATTAGTCTATGTGTGGGAAACACTGTTGAGGTATGTCGACCTGAATATGTGCAAACCCTAATAAGTGAGCCAACGTCTAAGCATTGGTCTAAACTGGCAGTTTTGACTCTTTGTGAGGTCATTATTTTCAATCGAAGAAGGGAAGGTGAGGTTTCAAAGATGCCACTGACAGCCTTTACCTTAAGAAGTAAGACTGGGATCCATTCTGACATTGCTCTGGGACTGTCCCAACTTGAGAAAAAGCTGTGTCAGCATTTTCAACGCATTGAAATTAAAGGGAAAAGAAGTGGGAAAGTGCCGGTTCTTTTGACTCCTGAAATGATTGCTTCGATGGAGGTGCTGGTGGAGAACAGAAGGGCCTGTTCCATCTCTGACCATAACCCATACTTCTTTTCCCGCCCGGGCGCAGACACCCACATCAGGGGATCAGACTCCCTACGCCAGGTAGCCAAAGAATGTGGTGCGGTGCATCCAGAGATGCTATCCTCAACCAAACTTAGAAAGCACATAGCTACTATGTCTACAGTTCTCAATATGAAAGAGAATGAAATGGACATACTTGCCAACTTCCTCGGCCATGACATTCGCATCCACAGGCAATATTACAGACTACCAGAGGGGACACTGGAGCTGGCCAAAATCAGCAAAGTGTTGATGGCCATGGAGCAGGGAAGAGTGACGGAATTCGAAGGAAAGAGCCTCGACCAGATACAAATTGAGCCTGAAGGTAATTCTTGATATTATTAAAATATGTATGATTTTTTTCCCCTAAAGGCCACTTGTATTTTTATTTTCTGTGCGACAGGGAGAGCAGTAGAGATCCTCTCACAAACGGACGGGCTAAAAGAAACTTCAAGCGGAGAACCTTCAACCATTCATCCAGATGCACCCCATGGTAGTGGCAGTGCCCCTTCTGGTAAGTGTACCAGGTGGGGGATTACAGCCAGGCTGCTTGGTCCTCACCCTGGGAGTGTATATTGCTAATATATTTTTATTTCTCTCCCTAGAACGTTAGAGAAAGCCATGGTCTGCATCTGAGGTGAAGGCTGTGGAGAAGACCATGACACCTTTCATACAGACTGGAAAGGTCCCTGGGAAGTCTCACTGCCTGGCCTGGCCTGGCCTGGCCTGCATTAATGCCTCACCAGATGACCTTAGACATCGGACATGGAGTGGCATTAAATTCTATGTCAAAAATAGAATCACTGCAATTCGAAAAAAAAAAATCTAAAATAAAATTATTTTAAAAGAGTTGTTTGTTTTCTATTGACTGTTTTGTATTACTTAAAGTAGTCCCAGTAAAAAAAGATTATGTCTATGGGTCCCATTCTGAACGGCCCTGTCAAAGGGACCCACCAGGTAACAAAAACGTGTGTGTGTGTGTGTGTCTGTGTGTGTGTGTGTATGTTTATATGTATGTGTGTGTGTGTGTGTCCAGCTGCATGTGGAGCACAAGCAAATATTTAGACGGTGACATCACCTTTCACACCCTGTTTAGTCCAATAAAGACCGCTACCCTGTGCTAAACCAAGTGTTAATGAACCAGTGTTTGTGGTCTGATTTGTGAACGAATCAGACCACAACATTCTGTCTTCATCTTTTATAGATTTAGATCTTCTTCTCTTCTGTAAGAAAAATCTGATCTAAATCTAAAGAAGTGACAGAGGCCAAAATGTTCTAGAGCCAGGAATGCTTCAGATGGATTTTCCTGTCGTTCCATTTGTTGTGGTTTGAAAAGTTAGACATCCCAGCTTTAAAGCCAGGCATCGATATTTGTGCCTATGACCTGGGACAGGAGAAAAAACATAAACATAAAAATGAATGAATCCCCTTGAGTGGATGTGGCCCCTCCTACTCTGGATGTGTGTAAAGGGGACCACTGGTTATGTGTGTAAAGTGGACCACTGGGTGTGTGTAAAATAATCACAAACGCTGCCTCCTCATTTAGTCCTGACTCTGGGACCAGCAGGAGGCCAGTCCTTCTGCTCGGTTCATATGACACTAACATGTCACAGATGTACTTTTAAGGCCATGGAGAGAATTGTAACAAGCAGATCTGTTTTAAAGTCTATTCTATGAGCCACAGGAAGCAGATACCTGAGAACTGGACTAACGTGGTCATACTTCCTGGTTCTAGTCAGGACTCTGCATGTGTGTGTAAAGTGGCCCTCTGGATGTGTGTGTGAATGTGTGTGTGTGTGTAAAGTGGACCTGGATGTGTGTGTGAATGTGTGTGTGTGTGTAAAGTGGACCCCTGGATGTGTGTGTAAAGTGGCCCTCTGGATGTGTGTGTGAATGTGTGTGTGTGTGTAAAGTGGACCCCTGGATGTGTGTGTAAAGTGGACATCTGGATGTGTGTGTAAAGTGGACCTGGATGTGTGTGTAAAGGTTAAATAGTGTTGCAGATCAGACACTACGTGAATTGAATGTCCTTCTCACATTTTTAAGAGCTGGACTCGATTCTCAGTGAAAAAAGGATTCATTTGTTGGCCCTGGTCCCCTCTTGGGCAGCTGCAAGGTTTATCACAGTGCTCCTCTAGTCCCCTAGCAGTCCCCTAACCACATACACACACACACATACATGTACACACACACACACGCACACGCACACACATACACTCTCTTGGTCCAAATGACAGACCTCCAGACCACAGGGATCTAATTGTAGCGCTGTAGTCCATGCACTTATGCCCTCTGCGTGTTTTCTGTGTGGAACAGGCATATGTTGAGCTGTAATCTTTGTACGTACGTGTGTGTGTGTGTGTGTGTGTGTGTGTGTGTGTGTGTTGTGAGAAGGATAGGGGTGCAACAACAGTGCCTCCTCCCAAGAATAGCACACTGAGCCCTGGGTGACGCTGTGGGTTGTGCGCGTGTGTTGTGTGTGTTGTGTGTGTGTGTGTGTGTCGTGTGTGTTGTGTGGGTGGACCCTGGACGTCATGGTGTCAGGAGGGAGCGTAGGGGGTGATAATAATGTGGGGTCATGATGAGGGATTAGGAAGTTTGTGATTATAATTTAAGAATATGATTTTGTGTTTGCATAATACACACTAACATATTCAGTGTAGAAGCCTGTCTCATGATGTCAGGAAGACTGTTCCAGGTTCCTGTATGACAAATCCAATATGGATCTATGCTTAATCTAGTATGGAAACGAGATGCTGATTTGGGGAAGTATCAATACTATAAAAATGACATTAACAGAACAAGTCGTGGATCTTTTGCCCATGTGTCCGTGAGAGCGAATCCCTCCCTCCATCTGCGCCTCGCTCATTCTCACTTTCCCCGCTGGGTTTTCTGACTTGTTCTTCGCCGATGCGGAGGGTCTAAGGGCAGAGAGGATCCAGGACATTCTGTTGTGATTTCGGACTAAAATAAATTGATCAGTTTCTTCTATGACCTCGCTATTTCGTCTTGATCACTGCATGTTCTTGATGTTGACACGTCCGTCCACCAGAGGGCGCTGTTGTCTCGTACTGTGCCTGATGTGTGCTGTGTTTTCAGATGGAGCAGTTGTCAGACGAGGAGGTGGAGCTGAGGGAGGAAGATGGAGACGAGGAGGAGGACAGTGACAAAGAAGATCAAGACCTGGACAAGATGTTTGGAGCCTGGTTAGGAGAGCTCGATAAACTCACACAGGTGACTCTATAAATGTTTATTCCCATGAGCAATAACAAGATGAGAAAGACATTTCCATTATATATTTGTACATGTTTACACTGATTTGTTTTGATATTGTATGCACAAGGCAACTCAAAGGCCTGAAAAAAGGAAACATAAAGTCATAAATCAGTCTTTTAAAAAAGAGTGAATATGTAATTATGTATGTAATTAAAAGATGTAATTGACATTAGATAAAGCTGAGGCAAGTTTGTTTTGCACAATTTTCAAAAACAAGAAAATCCTTGAAGGAAACTCTAACGGTGTAAAACCATGAACAGACAAAAACATAAATAATCACAGGACATTAAAAAGACTGCAGCCTGGATTTGAACATGGTCAGAGGAGAAGCCGGTCTCACATTTAGCTGCACAATCACAAACGCTGCCTCCTCGTTTAGTCCTGACTCTGGGACCAGCAGGAGGCCAGTCCTTCTGCTCCTCAGAGTCTGAGTCGGTTCATATGACACTAACATGTCACAGATGTACTTTTAAGGCCATGGAGAGACTTGGAACAGGCAGATCTGTTTTAAAGTCTATTCTCTGAGCCACAGGAAGCAGAGCCCTGAGAACTGGACTAATGTGGTCGTACTTCCTGGTTCTAGTCAGGACTCATGTCACTCCCGTATTTGTCCCGGAAACCGGATTCGTCCGGAAGTTCATTTTGCACATGTCAAAAAGTGTAATAAGTCCTTAAGTGGTGACTGGTTAAGTTTTAGGCGTCTGAGTAAGATGGTTAAGGTTAGTGTTAAGGTGGTCTGAGTAAGATGGTTAAGGTTAGGGTTAAGGTGGTCTGAGTAAGATGGTTAAGGTTAGGGTTAAGGTGGTCTGAGTAAGATGGTTAAGGTTAGGGTTAAGGTGGTCTGAGTAAGATGGTTAAGGTTAGGGTTAAGGTGGTCTGAGTAAGATGGTTAAGGTTAGGGTTAAGGTGGTCTGAGTAAGATGGTTAAGGTTAGGGTTAAGGTGGTCTGAGTAAGATGGTTAAGGTTAGGGTTAAGGTGGGTCTGAGTAAGATGGTTAAGGTTAGGGTTAAGGTGGTCTGAGTAAGATGGTTAAGGTTAGGGTTAAGGTGGTCTGAGTAAGATGGTTAAGGTTAGGGTGGTCTGAGTGAGATGGTTAAGGTGGTCTGAGTAAGATGGTTAAGGTAAGGGTTAAGGTGGTCTGAGTAAGATGGTTAAGGTGGTCTGAGTGAGATGGTTAAGGTGGTCTGAGTAAGATGGTTAAGGTAAGGGTTAAGGTGGTCTGAGTAAGATGGTTAAGGTTAGGGTTAAGGTGGTCTGAGTAAGATGGTTAAGGTTAAGGTTAAGGTGGTCTGAGTAAGATGGTTAAGGTTAGGGTTAAGGTGGTCTGAGTAAGATGGTTAAGGTTAGGGTTAAGGTGGTCTGAGTAAGATGGTTAAGGTTAGGGTTAAGGTGGTCTGAGTAAGATGGTTAAGGTTAGGGTTAAGGTGGTCTGAGTAAGATGGTTAAGGTTAAGGTTAAGGTGGTCTGAGTAAGATGGTTAAGGTTAGGGTTAAGGTGGTCTGAGTAAGATGGTTAAGGTTAGGGTTAAGGTGGTCTGAGTAAGATGGTTAAGGTTAGGGTTAAGGTGGTCTGAGTAAGATGGTTAAGGTTAAGGTTAAGGTGGTCTGAGTAAGATGGTTAAGGTTAGGGTTAAGGTGGTCTGAGTAAGATGGTTAAGGTTAGGGTTAAGGTGGTCTGAGTAAGATGGTTAAGGTTAGGGTTAAGGTGGTCTGAGTAAGATGGTTAAGGTTAGGGTTAAGGCTGGGTTGGGGTTATTTTACGGGAATGGCTGGTTAAGTTTAGGCATGAATAGGTAGTTTTTTATATTTACTTCCGCTTCCGTCCAGATTCCGTGACGTAATCTACTGCTGCGTATGATCAATGGATCAAACTGAACTTCCGGACGAATCCGGTTTCCGGGACGAATGTCAATGTTTAACATGTCAAGTGTTTAAGAATGTAATAGAATTGCTTTTTTATTATAGTCTATAAATCACCAAGGGTTAATATTGCATAAGGACAGACAATAAAGTACATTTAGTAAGTCCTCAGCCATTAATGTTTACGATCTTACCTTGGTTTCTAAATCCAGCGACTCTATCTTTGAGAGTCCATAACACACTTAGAGCTGACTTGTGACTTGACCTGCTCTGAAAACAATAATGAATGAATCTGTCTCTCCATCTGCAGAGCCTGGACGATGGGCGCCCGACAGAGCGGCCCAAGCAGCAGAAGGCGCCACTGAGGCAGGAGACCAACATGGCCAACTTCTCCTACAGATTCTCCATATACAACATCAATGGTATTACTTATCTACGTTACCTACTGTTACCTACCGTTTAATCAGTGTGAATAATACCCTTTGAAACCATGTGTTGTCCTGCAGAGGCCTTAAACCAGGGAGAGAACGTGGACCTGGATGCTCTCATGGCCGACCTCTCGTCCATTGAAAATGAGCTCAACACGATCAACACTAAACCCGGCGCCGGGGGCTTGGCCCGGCTCGGACTCACAGACACTAAGGTGTGTTCTCCAATATTGACGTTCAGAGACTGTAAATGTCTGCTCTGATCACCTTCATCACTAGAACCAGTACCACCAGTTTATTTAAGAGGAGCCACAATCCCAGTTTGGAGATGTCTTCTATAATCAACTATTCAACTATTGAACAACTTTTCAATTAGTATAAAATGAGCTGACACCACTTCCTTTGCTCAGGTGCGGCAGAAGCCTCCCGCAGGCCGCAGTAGCAGCAGGCAGCCAGCAGGGGGCGGCGGCATAAACAGTGTGAGCGGAGGAGGCACCAGCAGCGGCGCGAGCAGCAGCAGCAGCAGCACCCGAGCATCACCCGCGGGAACCATCCGAGCCGCCCCAGGGCATCATGGGAGACCGGCACTGGCTTCAAACTTCAGTCTGGATGACATCACCGCTCAGCTGGAGAAGGTGAGGCAATGAGGATGGGCGTTTACGTCGACTTACAACATGTGTCACTTTTATATCTCCATCTATTCCCTTGAACTAAGAGTGTGCCTGGAACTATGAGGTCAGTTCTTTGAAGTTTTGACACATATGGTCTTCAATGTCCAATCAGAATCAGAATCATTTTTATTGCCACGTAAGTAACAGGAAGTCACAGACTTGGAAATTGCTTTGGCTCAGTGCAACAGTCAGAGAGAGATAATAAAAAATAAAAAATAAAGAATAAAAAACACTTCTAAGGAATACATTTAAAATTAAAATAGTTACAGTTACTATTTACAATATACAAGTGCACATGGTGCACACAATGTAAGGTGACATACATTCTTATTTGTATTTTATCATGTTTTTAAAAGAATGGTGCATTTTAAAACCACTAGAAAGACTCATTTTCATTGATTTCTTGCTGATGATAGTAATATTTTAATGCAACTACTTCTGTTACTATTATTTTCATTATTTATTCTCCTCTGTCTCCTCTGACTTGTCGTCATGGCGATCAGGCGTCTCTGAGTATGGATGAGGCGGCGCGGCAGACGTCCTCTCACTCATTGAGCTCCGCCTCCTCCTGTAGCTCCGCCCCTTTGCGGCGGCCCGGCTCATCGACACGCCAGCACCGACGCACCGGCTCTGTGGGCACGGTCAGCGAGCACGAGGTAAACACAATCACATCATTGTTATTGTCGTGTAAGTAACAGGAAGTCACAGACTGGAAATAAAAAGGTGTAAAAATTAAAATTATTACTCTTTACTAGAATATACACGTCCACTTATGTTCTTTACAATATATAAGGTTTTGTTTTTCATGAGAATATGATTTTTTCTGATGGTAGAAGAGTACTAGCAGATTCTGCTGGGAGGGCTCTGGGTGCAGTTATCAGTAAGATGAAATTATGTCCTGATTTGCGCTTCACTATTTTCACTCAGCTCTATGACTCAATGGTAGCTCCTGTTTTGCTCTATGCTGCAGGAGTATGGGGTTTTCAGGATGCTGCAGAGAGCAACTCTGTCCAAAGCAGAGCTATGAGGTATTTCCTTGGAGTCCATAAGTTCACTCCCAAGGCAGCCATAGAGGGAGACATGGGCTGGGAACCCTGCGTGGTGAAACAGTGGGCTGAAATGTTAAGACTTTGGAACCGTCTGGTTCAATTACCGGAGGAGAGACTCACTAGGAAAGTCTTTAATTGGGACAAAACTCATAAATGTCCTTGGTCTCAAGAGGTCCTTCAAATATTCACAAAAATAAATTCACAAACATTGTTTTGGAATAATTTACAGTGTAAAATAACAAACCACAGGCAGATACTATTTGATCATTACAAAGAGCAGTGGAAAATTGAATTGCTAAGAAAACCGAAATTGAGAACTTATATTCAGATTAAAGAATGTTTTTCAACAGAGATTTATGTGAAATATAATTTGAAAAGAGGACAGAGGTCTCTGTGTGCTCAGCTCAGAGCAGGAGTGCTGCCTCTAGAGGTGGAGGTGGGTCGTTACAGAGGGGTACCTGAAGAGAACAGACTTTGTAATGTTTGTGTCTATGTGTGGTGGAGGATGAATTTCACTTTATGTTCTATTGTCCATTGTATAATGATTTAAGAACAGCTTTGTTTGAAAGTGTCGAATGCACTAATCCTGATCTATTTTGGTTGGCAGAAGGTGATATGTTGAGTTGGTTATTTAGAAATTCAATTTTTTGTTTGGCAAGATATGTGGAGAAAGCCTGGACAATGAGATTGAAAGCTTTGTATCCAGATTCTTGATTTTTCTGTGAAATGTATATTCTGTGAAAATGTAAAATGTATATTGTATATTGAACATATTGTTTAAATGGTCGTCTTCCAAGTTATGTTTATAGTGTCATATAAGCCCATGTGGGCTGGGCACATATGTGCATGACACTTAAATAAAATATTCATTCATTCAAATATATAAGGGCGACACAGTGGAGTTTGCATGTTCTCCCCGTGTCTGCGTAGGTTTCCTCCAGGTGCTCCAGTCTCCCCTCCCACTAAGAACATGCACAATAGGTGTTAATGAGTGAGTGAATGGATGGTGTTTGGTCGGAGGCTTTGATGGACCAGTGTGTTCAGGTCTCGCTTCATTACCAATGAATAGAAAAATATCTAATTTCTGAACATTTTAAAGCACTTTGGGTGACCTGGGTCTGTAAAATGTGCTTTATAAATAAATATTACTTACTTACTATAATTTTTTGATATTGTGTTTATTTCCTCCCTTGTTGAGTGTGTGCCATTTGGACTAATGAAATTGTAAATGTGCAAAATAAACTTCATACATACGTTCCTTTCATATATTTACGTGAAACTCCAAGTGCCTAACGACAGGTTTGACAGTGCAGCAAACATACAGTAGTTCTTTTGAACTCTTAAATACACTGTTAATGGACTTCTGTAGTTAGATAAAAGTTCATTCTACCCTGAAGTTCTTCATTCCGCTTCTACAATGTGTTCAATGTGTTCACCAGAGTCTTCACTGATGCAATGAAAGGCACATCCAAAGTGAAAGTTATTATCCTGCCCCCGCCTCAGGGCGAAGGGGCATCAATGTGAGCTCCATTAATGCAGATCAGATTCATGTGTTTGCCATTTGGAGTAAAACTACATTGGAAGACATTTGTAAAAGTCCACAGTGTGCACAAGACAAGTACATTCATGAAACAAGGTTAAAAATACAGAAATAAAACAAACAAAACAATAAACTATTGACTGTGAAATCGATCGACTAAAACAGCTTCAATACAAGATCATTAAAGTTTATGAACACATCACTACGGGTTGTAGCCTTGGGCTATTTTGCATCCGTTGTCCCACATTCGCACTCACAAACACACACTCATTCACCCTGAGCTATTGCACGTGTTTTAGTGGTAGGCGAAACCGTAGCACCCGGAGGAAACCTACGCAGACACAGGGAGAACATGCAAACTCCACTCAGAAAGGCCAGAAGGAAGAAGCTGGAACATGGCTTTTCCAGGGGCCAAAAGAGTCATTGATGATTCTAAGAGCTCGGTTTAAATGAATCTGAAAACGGCAATAAATAAGTTACTGCTTCAGGACGTTCAGCTGGTTTCATTTATCATCTGTCATTTATCATCTGTCATTTATCATCTGTCATTTATCATCTGTCATTTATCATCTGTCATTTATCATCTGTCATTTATCATCTGTCATTTATCATCTGTCATTTATCATCTGTCATTTATCATCTGTCATTTATCATCTGTCATTTATCATCTATCATTTATCATCTGTCATTTATCATCTGTCATTTATCATCTGTCATTTATCTGTCATTTATCATCTGTCATTTATCATCTGTCATTTATCTGTCATTTATCATCTGTCATTTATCTGTCATTTATCATCTGTCATTTATCTGTCATTTATCTATCATTTATCATTTATCATCTGTCATTTGTCATTTATCATTTGTCATTTATCATTTGTCATTTATCATTTGTCATTTATCATCTGTCATTTATCATCTGTCATTTATCATCTGTCATTTATCATCTGTCATTTATCATCTGTCATTTATCATCTGTCATTTATCATTTGTCATTTATCATCTGTCATTTATCATTTGTCATTTATCATTTGTCATTTATCATTTGTCATTTATCATTTGTCATTTATCATCTGTCATTTATCATTTGTCATTTATCATTTGTCATTTATCATTTGTCATTTATCATTTGTCATTTATCATTTGTCATTTATCATTTGTCATTTATCATCTGTCATTTATCATTTGTCATTTATCATTTGTCATTTATCATCTGTCATTTATCATCTGTCATTTGTCATTTGTCATTTATCATTTGTCATTTATCATCTGTCATTTATCATCTGTCATTTGTCATTTGTCATTTATCATCTGTCATTTATCATTTGTCATTTATCATCTGTCATTTATCATCTGTCATTTATCATCTGTCATTTATCATCTGTCATTTATCATCTGTCATTTATCATCTGTCATTTATCATCTGTCATTTATCATCTGTCATTTATCATCTGTCATTTGTCATCTGTCATTTATCATCTGTCATTTATCATCTGTCATTTATCATCTGTCATTTATCATCTGTCATTTATCATCTGTCATTTATCATCTGTCATTTGTCATCTGTCATTTATCATCTGTCATTTGTCATTTATCATTTGTCATTTATCATTTGTCATTTATCATTTGTCATTTATCATCTGTCATTTATCATCTGTCATTTATCATTTGTCATTTATCATCTGTCATTTATCATTTGTCATTTATCATCTGTCATTTATCATCTGTCATTTATCATCTGTCATTTATCATTTGTCATTTATCATTTGTCATTTATCATCTGTCATTTATCATCTGTCATTTATCATCTGTCATTTATCATCTGTCATTTATCATTTGTCATTTATCATCTGTCATTTATCATCTGTCATTTATCATCTGTCAGGCGGTGGTCTGTGTTGATGCTTTTGAACAGTTTTCTTGGTGGTTGCTGACTTCCTGCCTCTCTCTCCTACAGGTGTGTTCGTTTGTCCAGTCCGCCCGCTCGTCCGTCACGTCAGCGTCCGGCGTGTCGGTGAACTCCGCCTCCTCCATGGACTCTCTGGACAGTGTTCTCCGAAATGAAGACGGTCAGAACTCAAAGGGTCCAGAAGAGGGCGCCAGTCACAGCAGCACGGAGGTAACACGACACCAGCGTTTGTTAAAGCGGTGAATTTCCTCTTTCCTTTGAATCACTGTTTGTGCAAAGAACCTGCTTTACTGACCTCACCACACGCTTTCATGCTCTCTGAGAACTATAATCATCCTGTAACCAGGGTAAGGTACAAATCATATAATAATATCTGATATCTGAGTGTTATGGGCTTGAATCAGAAGGCTGTAGTTCCGACTCAGAGAGAGAGAAGGCAGAGACTGACTGTGGTTTGGTTGGTACCATGTCAAAGGTGTCACACATACAAACATACAGTGGATGAATTAAATGGCATTCAAGGTGAAAGCACTTTGGAAAAAACCCACAAACTAAATACATACAGTGCCTTGCAAAAGTATTCGGCCCCCTTGAACCTTTTAACATTTCGCCACATTTCAGGCTTCAAACATAAAGATATAAAATTTTAATTTTTTGTCATGCATCAACAACAAGTGGGACACAATCGTGAAGTGGAACAAAATTTATTGGATAATTTAAACTTTTTTAACAAATAAACTGAAAAGTGGGGCGTGCAATATTATTGGGCCCCTTTACTTTCAGTGCAGCAAACTCAGTCCAGAAGTTCAGTGAGGATCTTTGAATGATCCAATGTTGTCCTAAATGACTGATGATGATAAATAGAATGCACCTGTGTGTAATCAAGTCTCCGTATAAATGCACCTGCTCTTTGATAGTCTCAGGGTTCTGTTTAAAGCGCAGAGAGAACCATGAAGACAAAGGAACACACCAGGCAGGTCCGAGATACTGTTGTGGAGAAGTTTAAAGCCGGATTTGGATACAAAAAGATTTCCCAAGCTTTAAACATCTCAAAGAGCACTGTGCAAGCAATTATATTGAAATGGAAGGAGTATCAGACCACTGCAAATCTACCAAGACCCGGCCGTCCCTCCAAACTTTCATCTCAAACAAGGAGAAGACTGATCAGAGATGCAGACAAGAGGCCCATGATCACTCTGGATGAACTGCAGATAACTACAGCTGAGGTGGGAGAGTCTGTCCATAGGACAACAATCAGTCGTGCACTGCACAAATCTGGCCTTTATGGAAGAGTGGCCATTTCTCAAAGATATCCATAAAAAGTCTCTTAAAGTTTGCCACAAGCCACCTGGGAGACACACCAAACATGTGGAAGAAGGTGCTCTGGTCAGATGAAACCAAAATCAAACTTTTTGGCCACAATGCAAAACGATATGTTTGGCGTAAAAGTAACACAGCTCATCACCCTGAACACACCATCCCCACCTCAGCTGTAGTTATCTGCAGTTCATCCAGAATGATCATGGGCCTCTTGGCTGCATCTCTGATCAGTCTTCTCCTTGTTTGAGATGAAAGTTTGGAGGGACGGCCGGGTCTTGGTAGATTTGCAGTGGTCTGATACTCCTTCCATTTCAATATAATTGCTTGCACAGTGCTCCTTGAGATGTTTAAAGCTTGGGAAATCTTTTTGTATCCAAATCCGGCTTTAAACTTCTCCACAACAGTATCTCGGACCTGCCTGGTGTGTTCCTTTGTCTTCATGGTTCTCTCTGTGCTTTAAACAGAACCCTGAGACTATCAAAGAGCAGGTGCATTTATACGGAGACTTGATTACACACAGGTGCATTCTATTTATCATCATCAGTCATTTAGGACAACATTGGATCATTCAAAGATCCTCACTGAACTTCTGGACTGAGTTTGCTGCACTGAAAGTAAAGGGGCCGAATAATATTGCATGCCCCACTTTTCAGTTTTTTATTTGTTAAAAAAGTTGAAATTATCCAATAAATTTCATTCCACTTCATGATTGTGTCCCACTTGTTGTTGATTCATGACAAAAAATAAATTTTTTATATCTTTATGTTTGAAGCCTGAAATGTGGCGAAATGTTGAAAGGTTCAAGGGGGCTGAATACTTTCGCAAGGCACTGTATGTACATTTTGACAGAGTTTATAAAGAGAGCACAGTGGGACAGTCCTGGTGCCTCTGTGTCGTGAGTACAGTTCAATAGTTCATGATTGTTTCCAACTCAACCGAAAGGGAGTTTACCGACCAGAATTGTAGTAGTAGTAGTAGTAGTAGTAGTAGTAGTAGTAGTAGTAGTAGTAGTAGTAGTAGTCATACAGTCATACAGTCATACAGTCATACAGTCATACAGTCATACAGCCATACAGTCATACAGCCATACAGTCATACAGTCATACAGTCATACAGTCATACAGTCATACAGCCATACAGTCATACAGCCATACAGCCATACAGTCATACAGTCATACAGCCATACAGTCATACAGCCATACAGCCATACAGTCATACAGCCATACAGCCATACAGTCATACGCAGCTCAGACGACAAGTACCTGGCTCTGTGATCAGCTCTAGAACAAACAATGTGTCTAGAAAGATGCATCGGAGTCAGAATAATGACAGGTTCTAACGATCAGCACCTCCGACTGAAACAGGAAGTAGATCAACACAAACTGTAAGAAGTTATGTCTTTTCTGTTGTTTGGATCCAACATGAATCTGACTCCATTTGAGCCCGGCCCTTTATCTAGAACAGTAAATCTGAAGGGAGCAGTCGAACGAGAGCGAGGCCGTGACGAAGATGAAAAGCACAAGAGAGTGACCAGAATAAAACAGTTTTAACGAGACAGAGAGGAACAGTGACTCAGCAAAAGAAATCTGGAACAAAACAAGAGTGTTTTAATCTAAGAACCACTGTTTGGGATTATCCTGTTCACACCCGCTGTTAGGTCTAATTCAGTATTTTCTCACAAACTGTGGACTTTAAATGAGGTCAAATTGAAATAAATCACACAAAAAACAATTGTAGAGAGAATTTTCCAAAACGGCGTTATTAAAGCTGTTACTGCTGACACCACATTAAGTCTGTTGCTTATGAACAGTTTGTCATATTCATTTTTCTGTGGACATAAGATCATACTAAAGCCTTCACACAGACACACACAGACACACACACACAGACACACACACACACAGACACACACACACACAGACACACACACACACAGACACAGACAGACACAGACACACACACACAGACACAGACAGACACGCACAGACACACACACACAGACACACACAGACACAGACACGCACAGACACACACGCACAGACACACACACACAGACACACACAGACACAGACACACACAGACACACACACACACACACACACAAACGCACACACACACAGACACACACACACACACACAGACAGACACACACAGACACATACACAGACACACACACAGACACACACAGACAGACACACACAGACACAGACAGACACACACACAGACACAGACACACACAGACACACACACACACAGACACACACACACACAGACACACACAGACACTAGAAATCCTTGAATGAGAGGATAAATGCGAGGGTTGTCCGGTCATGATCAGATCTTGGCCTCAACATGTTTGGCCTAAATATTATTTTTAATCTGGTTTAATGCTTTCTATAAAAAATGGCTTCGAGTGATTGAGGCACAGAGAGAGAGAGAGACAGACAGAGAGAGAGACGGAGAGAGAGAGAGACGGACTGAGAGAGAGAGACGGAGAGAGAGAGAGACAGACTGAGAGAGAGAGACGGGGAGAGAGAGAGACGGACTGAGAGAGACAGACAGAGAGAGAGACGGAGAGAGAGAGAGACGGACTGAGAGAGAGAGACGGACTGAGAGAGAGACGGACTGAGAGAGAGACGGACTGAGAGAGAGAGACGGAGAGAGAGAGAGACGGACTGAGAGCGAGAGACGGACTGAGAGAGACAGACAGAGAGAGAGACGGAGAGAGAGAGAGAGACGGACTGAGAGAGAGAGACGGACTGAGAGAGAGACGGACTGAGAGAGAGAGACGGACTGAGAGAGAGACGGACTGAGAGAGAGAGACGGAGAGAGAGAGAGACGGACTGAGAGAGAGAGACGGGGAGAGAGACGGAGAGAGAGACGGAGAGAGAGACGGACTGAGAGAGAGAGACGGACTGAGAGAGAGACGGACTGAGAGAGAGAGACGGACTGAGAGAGAGACGGACTGAGAGAGAGAGACGGGGAGAGAGAGACGGACTGAGAGAGAGACGGACTGAGAGAGAGAGACGGGGAGAGAGAGAGACTGAGAAGAGAGAGAGAGAGACGGGGAGAGAGACGGACTGAGAGAGAGACGGGGAGAGAGAGACGGGGAGAGAGAGACGGACTGAGAGAGAGACGGACTGAGAGAGAGACGGACTGAGAGAGAGAGACGGACTGAGAGAGAGAGACGGGGAGAGAGAGACGGACTGAGAGAGAGACGGACTGAGAGAGAGAGACGGACTGAGAGACGGACTGAGGAGAGAGAGACGGACTGAGAGAGAGACGGACTGAGAGAGAGAGACGGGGAGAGAGAGACGGACTGAGAGAGAGAGACGGACTGAGAGAGAGACGGACTGAGAGAGAGAGACGGACTGAGAGAGAGAGACGGGGAGAGAGAGACGGACTGAGAGAGAGACGGACTGAGAGAGAGAGACGGGGAGAGAGAGAGACGGACTGAGAGAGAGAGACGGGGAGAGAGACGGAGAGAGAGACGGACTGAGAGAGAGAGACGGGGAGAGAGAGACGGACTGAGAGAGAGACGGACTGAGAGAGAGAGACGGACTGAGAGAGAGACGGACTGAGAGAGACGGACTGAGAGAGAGACGGACTGAGAGAGAGAGACGGACTGAGAGAGAGAGACGGGGAGAGAGAGACGGGGAGAGAGAGACGGACTGAGAGAGACGGACTGAGAGAGAGACGGACTGAGAGAGAGAGACGGGGAGAGAGAGACGGAGAGAGAGACGGACTGAGAGAGACGGACTGAGAGAGAGACGGACTGAGAGAGAGACGGACTGAGAGAGAGAGACGGACTGAGAGAGAGACGGACTGAGAGAGAGAGACGGGGAGAGAGAGACGGACTGAGAGAGAGAGACGGACTGAGAGAGAGAGACGGACTGAGAGAGAGAGACGGACTGAGAGAGAGAGACGGACTGAGAGAGAGAGACGGACTGAGAGAGAGAGACGGACTGAGAGAGAGACGGACTGAGAGAGAGACGGACTGAGAGAGAGAGACGGAGAGAGAGAGAGACGGACTGAGAGAGACAGAGACAGAGAGAGACGTAGAGAGAGAGACGGACTGAGACTGAGACGGACTGAGACTGAGACGGACTGAGACGGACTGAGACTGAGACGGACTGAGACTGAGACGGACTGAGACTGAGACGGCTGCAGTGGACGTGCTTCACAATAGTGAGTCCAGTCCTCGGAGCAGCCTTTTCCATGTTTAACAATAATATATTTGCAAACACACAATGAAATGTCTTGTGTCACTGTTTCTTGCAGAAGCTAATCCAGGTTTAGCTCCACAGCTTCCTTCTGCTGCCCACTTGATTTGCCGTTTCCAGCTGTGCGTCCTTCTCTCTGCACACCCACCAATGATCCCAGCGCCTAACTCGCTCTCTCCTTTGTTTCTGTTTCTGTCTGTCCGTTCAAAGCACTCGTATCTGGACAGGGAAACCTCACTGATTCTGAAAAACATAGCAGGAAAGCCCACGCACCTCCTGACCAAGGTGACCCACAATCACGGCCGCTCCTCTGGCTTTGCATCCGTGTGTGCATGAATGAACACGTTAGCATGTGCGACCATTGTAAGTGTTGCATGCTAACCTCTCGCATGTTTCCTCTCTGTGTGTCTTTTCGTTTGTATGTTAAAGGATTTTGGGCAGGTGTTGTGCGTTCATTGTGTAGTGTATTCTCAAAGCTTTATGTGGAAAATAAAGCATCACAAATGGTCTCTAATCTGGTGTGTGTGTGTGTGGTAAAGACGCACAACCTTTGCTCTGTCCATTGTGTAGCTGCCAAAAGCTCTGATGTATTTTTAAATGTGTTTGGATTGAACTGAAGTGCATTATGAACCACTTAGAAGCCCGAGTCCTCCTTCAGACGCAGCATCAAGTGTAAAGCTTTGAGAATATAAATATTGATTTGGTCCGAGGCATTTTAGGTTAAACTATGCATGACTTTTATCATGTTTTTATCATGTTTTTATCATGTTTTTATCATGTTTTTATAAGTTCAAAAGTATTGGGGTCATGTGCATCTTAACTTCAACCGCTCAAGTCCTCCGAACGCTCGGTTTGTTCTGATGGTTTCAGTGTTACAATGTGTCTGCTTGGTTCTGAACATACTGCACTTTGAACTTGTTACAGCTGCTGGTTACTTTATAACTCTGACTTTTTGATAACCTGCTCTGTCATGTCTGTTGTGTGTGCATGATATATGTGTACGTATATATGTGTGTATGTATACGTATGTGTGTGTGTATGTATACGTATGTGTGTGTGTGTGTACATGTGTGTGTATAAGCATATTCCAAGTTTGTGACTTCCTGTTGACTGATATGGTTCTGATTCTGGTCTCTAAAGTCCAGTCTGATTTGAAGGTGATGCACTGGGTCAGTAATGTATGGTTTAATCTCTGTATTCTTAAAGGAACTGTGTGTAATATGCACAAATTCATTACAATTACATCCAACTTGTGACAAATGCTCCTGAGTATTGTGAATTTGATAAAGATATGGGCCAAAACCAGTTTATTTCACGTAAGAAATGGCAACCCAAAAAAGGGTCGCATTATGATCTTTGGATGATACGCTTGAAAACCGTAAACCTAAAAATGATTGACTTTGTGTCCAACGTATTTCAATTATAAATAACTTTTGTTCAGAAAATGGTCAACGGAGATGTGTTTTCGTCGACCTTTTATCCGAGAACACATGAATGATTTAAAATGTAAATCTTACATACGTCCCTTTTTAAATACAGTTCTGTTCTTTGAAGTGGTACAGTATGGAGACAAACAAGACGCTCAAGATTCATGTTCAGAGTAGATCTAAAAGTGCCTTGTGGGTGTGTTAGCGAGTGTTAGCGAGCGGCTGTGAGTGCAGATAAAGCAGCGGCTAATGGGTTCTAAGCTGGTTTGTTTTGTCTGTAATGTGTTTGGAGCTGAGCCAGTTAAAGTCAGAGAATAGCTCCGAGCTCAGAGCAGATCGATGCACATCATGGTCCGGCTGGTTCTGATCGGTGTTGTTCAGAGAAGCTGCTGCAGCTCAGGAGACCTCAGGACGGTACCAAAGGAGACCTCAGGACAGGACCAAAGGAGACCTCAGGACAGGACCAAAGGAGACCTCAGGACAGGACCAAAGGAGACCTCAGGACAGGACCAAAGGAGACCTCAGGACAGGACCAAAGGAGACCTCGGGACAGGACCAAAGGAGACCTCAGGACAGGACCAAAGGAGACCTCAGGACGGGACCAAAGGAGACCTCAGGACAGGACCAAAGGAGACCTCAGGACAGGACCAAAGGAGACCTCAGGACAGGACCAAAGGAGACCTCAGGACGGGACCAAAGGAGACCTCAGGACAGGACCAAAGGAGACCTCAGGACAGGACCAAAGGAGACCTCAGGACAGGACCAAAGGAGACCTCAGGACGGGACCAAAGGAGACCTCAGGACAGGACCAAAGGAGACCTCAGGACGGGACCAAAGGAGACCTCAGGACGGGACCAAAGGAGACCTCAGGACGGGACCAAAGGAGACCTCAGGACAGGACCAAAGGAGACCTCAGGACAGGACCAAAGGAGACCTCAGGACAGGACCAAAGGAGACCTCAGGACAGGACCAAAGGAGACCTCAGGACGGGACCAAAGGAGACCTCAGGACAGGACCAAAGGAGACCTCAGGACAGGACCAAAGGAGACCTCAGGACAGGACCAAAGGAGACCTCAGGACAGGACCAAAAGAGATATTTACAAAGTGTATAAATATGGAAGTGACTGAAATAAAACGTCATAATTCATCCTAAAGCTCCTCTGAACCATGATGCAGAGGTTCTATGCTTCAGTCCCGCCTCACGCCGCAGTGACAGTGTGACCAGTGTGACCAGTTCGATCCTAACACGCCGCTCTGGGTTCGCATCCCTCTTCTGTGCAGTCAGTCTGAACAGTCGCTCCAATCAAACTCTGCGGGAGACGGATTGTGAAGCAGCGAAAGGGCAGGATGACAGAAAGAGCAGCTCAGCAATCTGCTTATGTGCCCCCAACCCCCCCACCTCGCCCTGACCCCCTCCACCTCGTCCCCCACCCCCCCATGGCCGCCCCTGTAGCCCCCCATGGCCGCCCTGTAGCCCCATATTCCATAAGCGGATAGCCATCCAGGCAGATGGAGGACATTACTGTATCAGCTAGTTTAGGCCGAGTGTGAGAGAAGCAAACACACACACGTGTTTGTAGAGTGTGTATTATGGGGTCTCCTGTGATTGCCCTAAAATACCTGTAAATGTCTTATTTTCATCACCGTCTTCCAGCTCAAGGTCAGAGCTCTAACCATGTATCGATCTGGTATCTAACGGCCTTATCCTTATTCTACCATGGCACGTTATACCTCATTTAAAGCTTGTGTTCACAGGACAACAGCCACAGCGTTTATTTTACTCTAAACCTTTTAGTCAGAACCACTTCAGTCTATTTCTTTGTCCACCTGTATTGTAAAACTGTTTTGACTGGATTCAGGCCGTTCTGAGATTTTAATTAAGTGTCCACAATGATACAAATTATATGGAGCTGAAGTTGGCTGAATGTTTGTGAGGAACAAAGTCAGTGACAGAAATGAAGAAGGACTGAGCTTTACAAAGAACCAGCGAAGATGAAGCTGGAAATGAATAAATTGGATAATTTTCGGTTAACAAAGCAGACCAAACCTGATCCGTGCCGTTCTAACTCCGACACAGACGTCTGGTCCAAGGCCCTCCAAGTGTTTTGACAATATTAAAAACAGACTCTGATAATGTGGGACGTCTGAAACCTTAGTTTGTGGCTCATAATCTGTATGAGCAGATGATGGTTTTCTAATGAATGGACAATAACATTACGTAACCACTGCTTTCACTAAAAGCTCCAAAAATGACCAAGTTGTAAATCCCAGAAGATGAAGAATGACATAATTCATTATAATCTGCATAAACAATGGAACTAAACAGAGAGCTGCAGTTTTAGTTCACTGAGAACAGACAGCACATTTAACTTATTTATACAATTAAACATTTCTTTCCTTTCAATACTTTTGGTGAGGTTTATAATATAACTTCTTTGTATCAAAGACTAATAAGACTCTTCTCTTAAAGGAGCTTCTGTTGTTTGGGCACTGATCTTTTCATATTTTACTGATATTTAACGTGACGCTCCGGCTGTTTCTAATGACAAGGACAAAAGATCATTTAATAACACTTTAATAATATTTAGTATTTGTCTGAAGTAAAACTGGAACATTACAATCTAGTGTTTTATATAAATACTTTTATTACATTTATATATATAGTATCTGTTTCTCATGTTCCTGGTGGGATGTGATGTCACATCCTCATCTGCTCGCAGCGTAAACACTCCTCTGGTAGATATTCTCCTGACCTACTTCACAGAAGCTAAATGAGCCGCGCTGGATCTGAACGCTGCAGTTCTTTTGAAGTCATAATCTGTGTCCCTCCTGAGCACCCGTAGTCTCCCACAGCAGCTCATGTGCGGCAGAAATGGGTCGTGGAAGTGCATTATGGGTAAAGTTAAAGCTGTAGCACTGACACAGAAAGATGAATGCTATCACACACACACACATATATATACTGTATATACGTATACATATACACATATACACATATATACATATACATATATGTATATATATATGTATATATGTATAATTCCACACGTGCAGTAAGTGCCAACAGCTGTATCCTGATGAATGACCAAACACCCTCAAACTAATGACTGCTTGGCCCCTCCCGCTGTAATCCCATCACAATCTTAGGGTCACCTAAAACGTCCATTCACCTAATTTCAAGATAAAATATTCATCCAATCACTATAACATAAGAATATTTGTTTCATCGCCACATTACGTTTATCATTCTCAAATGTCCTTTTGTCATAATCCTCTCGGACGACACTGCGGCAGGAGCAGAGCGGGACTTCTGTAAAACCTCATCGTTCTGGATTATAATCTGAGCAGGACCTGGAGCTGCAGAAAGTGTGGACTCAGTATAATCAGAGCACAACATGCCCCAAAGAGGATTAACCACAAATCTGCACGTTTCTCTGCATCGGCCAATCAGACGGCTCCATCTGCCTCAACAGCCAATAGAATCGTGACGTGGGCGATCCAATCATAACTGATCTATCCTTTAATCTGAATCCAACACACACAACGGGACAGGACCGTGAAGAAAAGTGCGGCCTTAAGTTTTAGCAGCTGTTTCTGTGATGACGAGTCCATGACGTCACCACTGCTCCCCAAACACGGATAAATGACGTCATACTGCTCCCCAAACACGGATAAATGACGTCATACTGCTCCCCAAACACGGATAAATGACGTCACCACTGCTCCCCAAACACGGATAAATGACGTCATACTGCTCCCCAAACACGGATAAATGATGTCACCACTGCTCCCCAAACACGGATAAATGATGTCACCACTGCTCCCCAAACACGGATAAATGACGTCACCACTGCTCCCCAAACACGGATAAATGACGTCACCACTGCTCCCCAAACACGGATAAATGACGTCACCACTGCTCCCCAAACACGGATAAATGACGTCACCACTGCTCCCCAAACACGGATAAATGACGTCACCACTGCTCCCCAAACACGGATAAATGATGTCACCACTGCTCCCCAAACACGGATAAATGACGTCACCACTGCTCCCCAAACACGGATAAATGACGTCACCACTGCTCCCCAAAGACGGATAAATGATGTCACCACTGCTCCCCAAACACGGATAAATGACGTCATACTGCTCCCCAAACACGGATAAATGACGTCACCACTGCTCCCCAAACACGGATAAATGATGTCATCACTGCTCCCCAAACACGGATAAATGATGTCATCACTGCTCCCCAAACACGGATAAATGATGTCATCACTGCTCCCCAAACACGGATAAATGATGTCATCACTGCTCCCCAAATATAATAATAATAATAATAAGTTTGATATTGTGTTTTTTTGGACACTCAAAGTCACTTCACATCATTATTCTTTCTCTCTAAACACGGTGGTGATAAACTACTACTGTAGCCACAGCTGCCCTGGGGCACACTGACAGAAGCAACCAGTCTGTACCATCGGCCCCTCCCACCACGTCTTGCCCAAGGACACAACGACATCAGTGGGAGTCTGTGGAGAAAAGTCTTGAGGTGGACTCGAACCCAACACCAGACGAGATGAATCCAGGAATTCACATTGTAGAATTTTTAAAGAATTTATTTGTAAATGATGGTGGAAAATAAGTATTTGGTCACTTCAAACAAGGAAGATCTGTGGCTCTCACAGACCTGTAACTTCTTTTTTAAGAAGCTCTTCTGTCCTCCACTCGTTACCTGTATTAATGGCACCTGTTTGAACTCATCTGTATAAAAGACACCTGTTACAGCCTCAAACAGTCAGACTCCAAACTCCACTATGGCCAAGACCAAAGAGCTGTCCAAGGACACCAGGAAAAGAATTGTAGACCTGCACCAGACTGGGAAGAGTGAATCTACAATAGGCAAGCAGCTTGGTGTGAACAAATCAACTGTGGGAGCAATTATCAGAAAATGGAAGACATACAAGACCACTGATAATCTCCCTCGATCTGGGGCTCCACGCAAGATCTCATCCCGTGGGGTCAAAATGATCATGAGAACGGTGATCAAAAGTCCCAGAACCACACGGGGGGACCTGATGAATGACCTGCAGAGAGCTGGGACCAAAGTAACAAAGGTTACCATCAGTAACACACTACGACGACAGGGAATCAGATCCTGCAGTGCCAGACGTGTCCCCTGCTGAAGCCAGTGCATGTCCAGGCCCGTCTGAAGTTTGCCAGAGAGCACATGGATGATACAGCAGAGGATTGGGAGAATGTCATGTGGTCAGATGAAACCAAAGTAAAACTGTTTGGTATAAACTCAACTGGTCGTGTTTGGAGGAAGAAGAACACCATACCTACTGTGAAGCATGGGGGTGGAAACATCATGCTTTGGGGCTGTTTTTCTGCTAAGGGGACAAGACGACTGATCAGTGTTAAGGAAAGAATGAATGGGGTCATGTATCGTGAGATTTTGAGCCAAAACCTCCTTCCATCAGTGAGAGCTTTGAAGATGAAACGTGGCTGGGTCTTCCATCATGACAATGATCCCAAACACACCGCCCGGGCAACGAAGGAGTGGCTCCGTAAGAAGCATTTGAAAGTCCTGGAGTGGCCTCGCCAGTCTCCAGACCTCAACCCCATTGAAAATCTGTGTTCACTGCTCTCGAGAAGATCTGCATGGAGGAATGGGCCAAAATACCAGCTACTGTGTGTGCAAACCTGGTAAAGACCTATAGTAATCGTTTGACCTCTGTTATTGCAAACAAAGGTTATATTACAAAGTATTGAGTTGAATTTTTGTTATTGACCAAATACTTATTTTCCACCATCATTTACAAATAAATTCTTTAAAAATCCTACAATGTGAATTCCTGGATTTTTGTTTTCACATTCTGTCTCTCACAGTTGAAGTGAACCTATGATGAACATTACAGACCTCTGTCATTATTTTAAGTGGGAGAACTTTCACAATCGGAGGCTGACTAAATACTTTTTTGCCCCACTGTGTACATATATATATATATGTCTACCTAATACAGTGGCTGGTGTTTGTATATTGTAATGTTACACATTTATTGTAGTTGGCAGCCCTCATAGCCCCTCCCCCTCTCTCTCCTCCCTCTCTCTCCTCCCCCTCCCTCTCTCTCCTCCCTCTCTCTCCTCTCCCTCTCTCTCCTCTCCCTCCCTCTCTCTCCTCCCCCTCCCTCTCTCTCCTCCCTCTCTCTCCTCCCCCTCCCTCTCTCTCCTCCCCCTCCCTCTCTCTCCTCCCTCTCTCTCCTCCCCCTCCCTCTCTCTCCTCCCTCTCTCTCCTCCCCCTCCCTCTCTCTCCTCCCTCTCTCTCCTCCCCCTCCCTCTCTCTCCTCCCTCTCTCTCCTCTCCCTCCCTCCTCCCCTCCCTCTCTCTCCTCTTCCTCCCCCTCTTCCTCTCGGCTTCTCTCACTCGTCTCATTCCAGCAGAGGATGTATCGCGGCAGGTGCAACATCTTCCTTTTGTGTTTTTGTTCTGTTCTGGATCAAACGTCCTGAGTTTGGATTAATGTCATATGTTTTTTATGATGTCGCACAGACTGAGTCCAGTTGATAATCTGGATAATCTGGATAGTTCTGACCCGTCGTGTGCAGAGGAAAAGGGAGATGAGATCAGGGCATTTGTGGAGACCCTGGAGCCTCCGTGTTGCTTCTCCTCAGCTGTAGTTTAGATCCGTGTTCCAGGCGTGTTCCAGGCGTGTTCCAGGCGTGTTCCAGGCGTGTTCCAGGCGTGTTCCAGGCGTGTTCCAAGCGTGTCCCAAGCGTGTGTTTAATCCCAGTGAAGCAATGTCAGCGTCTCAAAATGGGACTCTCTGCTGTCATTGTAGCACAGACTGGCATTTTGGCACAGTTGAAGTGATTTCCCCTCTGTTTGGTTGTACAGAAGCTGAAACTAGAATGAAACGTGAAGATTTAACTGATATTTATCTGATGTCTCATGTTCCTAACGGTCTCTGCTCTGTCTGCTCCTGCAGCGGAGTCGGCACAAGTATGTTTTGATAAATGTCACAAACTGGAGTTGGTAGAAAAGACATTTTTATGGCGTTTTAGTTTGTAACTTTGTCTTCTACGTGTTGTGTCTGTAACGTTGGTCAGACTCAGTCCTGTAAAGGTCAGTTTGAGAACTTCCTTCAGTTGATGATTTAGTACCAAAGAAAAGTGCATTTGTTCATGAAACGAAGCAGACACAGACTTGATTCCATTCACTGAACAACATGAACACTTGTTGGAGAAGTCAGGTGAGTCTAAAGATGTCGGCAACGCTCACTGCAAAAAATGAAATGAAATAAGTTACATTTGCTTCAATTTGATGATTCCTTAAAACACTTGGAATCAGAAACAAATATGAGTGAAATGTTTTGTGCTTATTTGTTCATTTTTTGCAGTGTCTTTGGTTGAAACATAATATTTTCTGAGATTAACGTTTCCTGAACTGTGTCCACTCAGGAGGAGCAAGCGGCAAAGTTAAAGGCCGACAACATCCGCTTGGCTTTGGAGAAGATCAAAGAAGCTCAGGTTAAGAAGGTGAGTGACGGACAGAGGTGCATGATGGGTACAGAGGTGCATGATGGGTACAGAGCAGTGTGGGCGGGTCCCGGCTCAAAAGTGTCCAAAATGACGTGCGCTGACATGCTGCAGTACCACCCCGGGCCTGTGGGGGTGGACCCGGAATAAGAATTAGCCAATGCTAACATATAGCATTAGCTGACCTCTGGAAAACGTCTTTACAGGATGGTCCAGTGTCTCTTGGCCCAAAGCTCCGTTCCACATGTGTGTCAATGCTGAGTGTTCTGGACCAGTCTAGTTTAGTCGCTGTGGACTTTAGAAGTCACTCGTTTAAATGAATGGAGCTGCGCCGGCTGACGCATGCGCAGATGTGTGTTTTTGTGTTTTTTCACAACTTTCTTGTGGGCGGGACCACTCGCGGCCATTTTGGATTGCTCCAGTAGAGCACAATTTTTTGCCCATTTGTTTGAAAGGCGGAGATAGGCGTGACTCTGTCCGTTAATATAAACAGTCTATGGTACAGAGGTGCATGATGGGTACAGAGGTGCATGATGGGTACAGAGGTGCATGATGGGTACAGAGGTGCATGATGGGTACAGAGGTGCATGATGGGTACAGAGGTGCATGATGGGTACAGAGGTGCATGATGGATACAGAGGTGCATGATGGGTACAGAGGTGCATGATGGGTACAGAGGTGCATGATGGGTACAGAGGTGCATGATGGGTACAGAGGTGCATGATGGATACAGAGGTGCATGATGGGTACAGAGGTGCATGATGGGTACAGAGGTGCATGATGGGTACAGAGGTGCATGATGGGTACAGAGGTGCATGATGGGTACAGAGGTGCATGATGGGTACAGAGGTGCATGATGGATACAGAGGTGCATGATGGGTACAGAGGTGCATGATGGGTACAGAGGTGCATGATGGGTACAGAGGTGCATGATGGGTACAGAGGTGCATGATGGATACAGAGGTGCATGATGGGTACAGAGGTGCATGATGGATACAGAGGTGCATGATGGGTACAGAGGTGCATGATGGATACAGAGGTGCATGGTGGGTACAGAAGTGCATGATGGGTACAGAGGTGCATGATGGGTACAGAGGTGCATGGTGGGTACAGAGGTGCATGATGGGTACAGAGGTGCATGATGGGTACAGAGGTGCATGATGGATACAGAGGTGCATGATGGATACAGAGGTGCATGGTGGGTACAGAGGTGCATGATGGATACAGAGGTGCATGATGGGTACAGAGGTGCATGATGGGTACAGAGGTGCATGATGGGTACAGAGGTGCATGGTGGGTACAGAGGTGCATGGTGGGTACAGAGGTGCATGATGGATACAGAGGTGCATGATGGGTACAGAGGTGCATGATGGGTACAGAGGTGCATGATGGGTACAGAGGTGCATGATGGGTACAGAGGTGCATGATGGGTACAGAGGTGCATGATGGGTACAGAGGTGCATGATGGGTACAGAGGTGCATGATGGGTACAGAGGTGCATGATGGGTACAGAGGTGCATGATGGGTACAGAGGTGCATGATGGGTACAGAGGTGCATGATGGGTACAGAGGTGCATGATGGGTACAGAGGTGCATGATGGGTACAGAGGTGCATGATGGATACAGAGGTGCATGATGGGTACAGAGGTGCATGATGGGTACAGAGGTGCATGATGGATACAGAGGTGCATGATGGGTACAGAGGTGCATGGTGGGTACAGAGGTGCATGATGGGTACAGAGGTGCATGATGGATACAGAGGTGCATGATGGGTACAGAGGTGCATGATGGGTACAGAGGTGCATGATGGGTACAGAGGTGCATGATGGGTACAGAGGTGCATGATGGGTACAGAGGTGCATGATGGGTACAGAGGTGCATGATGGATACAGAGGTGCATGATGGGTACAGAGGTGCATGATGGGTACAGAGGTGCATGATGGATACAGAGGTGCATGATGGGTACAGAGGTGCATGGTGGGTACAGAGGTGCATGATGGGTACAGAGGTGCATGATGGATACAGAGGTGCATGATGGGTACAGAGGTGCATGATGGGTACAGAGGTGCATGATGGGTACAGAGGTGCATGATGGGTACAGAGGTGCATGATGGGTACAGAGGTGCATGATGGGTACAGAGGTGCATGATGGGTACAGAGGTGCATGATGGGTACATACATGTGTGGCCCGTGCGGTGGCGTTTGTGGGTCAGGTCAGTGTGACTGTGGTCAGCAACAGCTGGGGTCAGGAGCACTCAGCGTAATGACCAGAGGCAGTTTAATCCCAATCCCACAGAGGGAGAGGAGAGGCCGGTATTATAACCTGGATTATAACCTGGATTATAACCTGGATTATAACCTGGATTATAACCTGGATTTACTACAATCATATATTTCATTACCTTCTCATGTGACTGTTTATAATGGAGCACAGGCAGAACATGCAAACTGTGGAGGAACAATGCTTTCAACAGAAACATTTAGTATTTTAGAAAGTCTGAAACTTAACGTCTGAACAAGAGACAATCCACATGGTTTAATCTGAAGAACCAGAAGGGTTTGGGTTTAGACACCAAAAGGGTCGCAAACACAGGTCACATTTATCAACTATTTTTACATTTAATGCAAATCTAGAACCAAAACCTGATGGTTCTGAACGTGATGGTTCTGAACGTGATGGTTCTGAACATGATGGTTCTGAACCTGATGGTTCTGAACGTGATGGTTCTGAACGTGATGGTTCTGAACGTGATGGTTCTGAACCTGATGGTTCTGAACGTGATGGTTCTGAACGTGATGGTTCTGAACGTGATGGTTCTGAACGTGATGGTTCTGAACGTGATGGTTCTGAACCTGATGGTTCTGAACGTGATGGTTCTGAACGTGATGGTTCTGAACCTGATGGTTCTGAACCTGATGGTTCTGAACCTGCATCATGTTGTGAACTGCGTTTGTTTAATGTGTTTGTGTCGGTGCTTCATGGTCGGGCTCTGACCCAGACAGAACATGTGTCTGTGAGATTCTGCTTTTATCTCTGATATTTGATGTATTATTATGATTATTCAGAGTTGTGCTGTTTGTTCCTTCGTCCTTCTGCAGACTGTGATGCAACACTGACATTTCCTCGCACTGGGATCTTTAAAAGTTATTAGTAACGTCCTGTAACTGCCACAACGTTTATCAAGTTCTTTAAACTCTGCGTCCTAAATAGAAATGTGGAAAATGTGTTTTTATTGTAGCTGAATATCTCCTGGGCATTTGGACACAGCCCCATCACCTGCTGTTTATGTGAAGAGCAGAGCAGAGCAGACGCAGAGCAGACAGAGCAGACGCAGAGCAGACAGAGCAGACGCAGAGCAGACAGAGCAGACGCAGAGCAGACAGAGCAGACGCAGAGCAGACAGAGCAGACGCAGAGCAGACAGAGCAGACGCAGAGCAGACAGAGCAGACGCAGAGCAGACAGAGCAGACGCAGAGCAGACAGAGCAGACAGAGCAGACGCAGAGCAGACGCAGAGCAGACGCAGAGCAGACAGAGCAGACGCAGACAGAGCAGACAGAGGAGACAGAGCAGACGCAGAGCAGACGCAGAGCAGACAGAGCAGACGCAGACAGAGCAGACGCAGAGCAGACAGAGCAGACGCAGAGCAGACAGAGCAGACGCAGAGCAGACGCAGAGCAGACAGAGCAGACGCAGAGCAGACGCAGAGCAGACGCAGAGCAGACGCAGAGCAGACGCAGAGCAGACAGAGCAGACGCAGAGCAGACGCAGAGCAGACAGAGCAGACGCAGAGCAGACAGAGCAGACGCAGAGCAGACAGAGCAGACGCAGAGCAGACGCAGAGCAGACGCAGAGCAGACGCAGAGCAGACAGAGTAGACGCAGACAGAGCAGACGCAGAGCAGACAGAGCAGACGCAGACAGAGCAGACGCAGAGCAGACGCAGAGCAGACAGAGCAGACGCAGAGCAGACAGAGCAGACGCAGAGCAGACGCAGAGCAGACGCAGAAGAGCTGTTGTCAGAGTTTGGAGAATTATTATTTTGACTTACTTGCAATGGAACACGTTTATTGTCAAAATAGTCCAGTTTAAACAGTTAAAACATTTAAAACAGTTAAAACAGTTTGAAGCTTTTCTCTGTTGGTTTTAGTGAAAACCCCGCGGCTTATATTCAAGTTTACCTTGTTTATTTACAGGTATTTACAAGGACCATAAAGTACAGGTTTATATACAGGTGCGGTTAATAGTCCAAGGACCATAAAGTACAGGTTTATATACAGGTGCGGTTAATAGTCCAAGGACCATAAAGTACAGGTTTATATACAGGTGCGGTTAATAGTCCAAGGACCATAAAGTACAGGTTTATATACAGGTGCGGTTAATAGTCCAAAGACCATAATGGTTTTATGGTTTTCTGGTTTCCTACAGTTGGTGATCCGTGTTCATCTGTCGGATGAGAGTTCTAAAACCATGATGGTGGATGAGCGGCAGACGGTCAGACAGGTACGACCAGCCTTTGATCTGATTAACCTAATATTTATATAATATTAATATATATTAATATAATATTAGTATATAATAATAAGTGCTAATGTTGTCGGTCTGCAGGTTCTGGACAGTCTGCTGGACAAGTCTCACTGTGGGTATAGTCCGGACTGGTCTCTGGTGGAAACCATCAACGAGCTGCAAATGGGTGAGACACTAAAGTTGTGTGTTTAACAACATGAAGTGTTTTAGTGCATTTCTTTAGTTCATGTTTTTGATAATAATATAGTTTTTACAGAAATGATCAAACTCATCAATCTTCATTGATTTTAACTCATTATTGTAAATGGGCGTGGCCAAAAACAACTCTGCAAAGTTGTTTTATTTATAATACAGTAAACATTCTCCCACATAATACACACACATATACACAAAGACACACACGCACACACACAGACACACACACACACACACACACACACACACACAGACACACACAGTAGAGTAATGTAGGGCCAGGGCAGTGAGGCGTGTGATCTAACCCACATCTTCAGGCTCATGCAGCCTCAGCAACTAAGAGACCAGAGAGAGAGACCAGAGAGAGAGACCAGAGAGAGAGACCAGAGAGAGAGAGACCAGAGAGAGAGAGACCAGAGAGAGAGACCAGAGAGAGAGACCAGAGAGAGAGACCAGAGAGAGAGACCAGAGAGAGACCAGAGAGAGAGAGACCAGAGAGAGACCAGAGAGAGACCAGAGAGAGAGAGACCAGAGAGAGAGAGACCAGAGAGAGACCAGAGAGAGAGAGACCAGAGAGAGAGACCAGAGAGAGAGAGACCAGAGAGAGAGAGACCAGAGAGAGAGAGACCAGAGAGAGAGAGACCAGAGAGAGACCAGAGAGAGACCAGAGAGAGACCAGAGAGAGACCAGAGAGAGACCAGAGAGAGAGACCAGAGAGAGAGACCAGAGAGAGAGACCAGAGAGAGACCAGAGAGAGAGACCAGAGAGAGAGAGACCAGAGAGAGAGACCAGAGAGAGAGACCAGAGAGAGAGACCAGAGAGAGAGAGACCAGAGAGAGAGAGACCAGAGAGAGAGAGACCAGAGAGAGAGAGACCAGAGAGAGAGACCAGAGAGAGACCAGAGAGAGACCAGAGAGAGAGAGACCAGAGAGAGAGAGACCAGAGAGAGAGAGAGAGAGACCAGAGAGAGAGAGACCAGAGAGAGAGAGACCAGAGAGAGACCAGAGAGAGACCAGAGAGAGACCAGAGAGAGACCAGAGAGAGACCAGAGAGAGACCAGAGAGAGAGACCAGAGAGAGAGACCAGAGAGAGAGACCAGAGAGAGAGACCAGAGAGAGAGACCAGAGAGAGAGAGACCAGAGAGAGAGACCAGAGAGAGAGACCAGAGAGAGAGACCAGAGAGAGAGACCAGAGAGAGAGACCAGAGAGAGAGAGACCAGAGAGAGAGAGACCAGAGAGAGAGAGACCAGAGAGAGAGAGACCAGAGAGAGAGAGACCAGAGAGAGAGACCAGAGAGAGAGAGACCAGAGAGAGACCAGAGAGAGAGACCAGAGAGAGAGACCAGAGAGAGACCAGAGAGAGAGACCAGAGAGAGACCAGAGAGAGACCAGAGAGAGAGACCAGAGAGAGAGACCAGAGAGAGAGACCAGAGAGAGAGACCAGAGAGAGAGACCTGAGAGAGAGACCAGAGAGAGAGACCAGAGAGAGAGACCAGAGAGAGAGAGACCAGAGAGAAAGACCAGAGAGAGAGACCAGAGAGAGAGAGACCAGAGAGAGAGACCAGAGAGAGAGAGACCAGAGAGAGAGACCAGAGAGAGAGACCAGAGAGAGAGACCAGAGAGAGAGACCAGAGAGAGAGACCAGAGAGAGAGACCAGAGAGAGAGACCAGAGAGAGACCAGAGAGAGACCAGAGAGAGAGACCAGAGAGAGACCAGAGAGAGAGACCAGAGAGAGACCAGAGAGAGAGAGAGACCAGAGAGAGAGACCAGAGAGAGACCAGAGAGAGAGAGACCAGAGAGAGACAGACCAGAGAGAGAGAGACCAGAGAGAGAGACCAGAGAGAGAGAGACCAGAGAGAGAGAGACCAGAGAGAGACAGACCAGAGAGAGAGAGACCAGAGAGAGAGAGACCAGAGAGAGAGAGACCAGAGAGAGAGAGAGACCAGAGAGAGAGAGACCAGAGAGAGAGAGACCAGAGAGAGAGACCAGAGAGAGAGAGACCAGAGAGAGAGAGACCAGAGAGAGAGAGACCAGAGAGAGAGAGACCAGAGAGAGAGACCAGAGAGAGAGACCAGAGAGAGAGACCAGAGAGAGACCAGAGAGAGAGAGACCAGAGAGAGAGACCAGAGAGAGAGACCAGAGAGAGAGACCAGAGCTGTGTGTTTCCCTCGGGCAGAATAGATCGACTGTGACCTCTGAAGCAAATGACACCAGATTTACGGTTCATAAAGTGGACTTCATCTTTCAGAGGATTTACATTTTTATTCTTGTGATGGCTTCATTTCTACAGCAGGACATTGAACTATTGTATTATTATTTTTATTTATTTATTTGAATTATTATTGTAACAAAAGTGTACATTTGTAGCTTAAGAGTCAAAGGTCTGGTATTTGTTCTTTGGTGTAATTTGTTAAAACATGAAAACTTAAAACCTCTTGATGAATTTAAGATGAGCGTTCCTTTATCTGTCCCACAGTAGGGACATTTCAGTGTTGCCGCGCACAGGCAGCACAGTAGTAAGAGCACACAGAAGATACACAATATACAAAATGATTATGAATGATTTGGAGCTTCTTGGATGACTAAGTGCATATTTATTTATTTATAGAACATTTCTCTATTGTCAGATCAAATAAGTGACTGTGACTCGAGGCCCGATGACCAAAGCCAAACTCTGGAAATAGGTCATTGTTGCTTCATGTTTTATTGGATAAAACTGAAAGGAACTGTGGGACAAAGAGAGGAAAGGAGGTAATGGGGGCAGAGATCGCCAAAAGCCATGTTTTATCTGAGTCATTGTGCTGCAGTGGAAAACTGAAGAGCACTTTGTCTAAACAGTACAATTCTAAATCACGTTGAGAAAAAGAATTGTTGGTTCTTTGGTCGGACCGAAGTGTGGCCTCTTCATCAATGTTGTCGTTAAGTCTGTGTTGTAAACTGTATGTGTTGTGTTGTGTGCAGAGCGTGTCTTTGAGGACCATGAGAACCTGGTGGAGAACCTTCTGAACTGGACCAGAGACAGTCAGAACCGACTCATGTTCACGGAGCGCATCGAGAAGTACGCGGTCTTCAAGAACCCTCAGGTACCGAACACTGCGAGGTCATTCCACCGATTCAGAACCATTAACACAGACTGTCTGCTTTAAAGAACTATTTGCTGGGGCGGAAGGAGACGTGTGAGATGACGGAGAGGAACAAAGAGGCGCTGCTGGAGGTACAGGATTATCTAAAGAACACCATCATCGTTCGTTAATATTTAATTAAATTATTATTATTATTATTCTCTGTCATTAGGAGTGTTTTGGAGGAACGTCGGTGTCTGTTCCTGAGATGGAAGGAGTTCTCTGGCTCAAAGAAGATGGGAAGAAATCGTGGAAGAAGCGATATTTTTTGCTTAGAGCGTCTGGTATTTACTATGTGCCCAAAGGAAAGGCCAAGGTCAGTGGAGATTGTGACACACTCATAATATTTTAATATTATCATTTAGACATAAACGGACTTATGTCGAATGTTTCCAGGCGTCCAGAGACCTGGTGTGTTTCCTGCAGTTGGACCATGTCAATGTCTACTTTGGTCAGGACTATAAAAGCAAATACAAAGCCCCCACAGACTACTGCATGGTGCTCAAGGTATGAATGGGTTCATCTGTGTGGGAGCAGTGCCCTCTAGTGGCGACTGGGGCACATCGCACCACATTCAGATTATTAGAAACAAGACTTCATCTGTAGTTTATCATTCAGGGTTTAAATTAGATAATACCTCCATATATTTGTTTGACAATGTTCTTAGAAGGTAGATATCTTTGACCTGCAAATTCAACCAGACAACACCAGAACCAGACTTCTGCCGAACACTTTGAAAGTCACAAATATTTTATTAATATGTCATTATGAATCATCCAAACATACAAAATATTCAAATAACAACATTTGCAAACATTACACAATTTAATTATTGTGTTTGGTTGATGACAAAGTGAATGCAGAACATCTGAACACACACCAGAACACCTGAAGACACCTGAACACACCTGAACACACGAACACACCTGAACACACCTAAACACACACGAACACACCAGAACACACCAGAACACACACGAACACACCAGAACACACCAGAACACACACGAACACACCAGAACACACACGAACACACCAGAACACACACGAACACACACCAGAACACACCTGAACACACACACGAACACACACGCACACATCTGAACACACCTGAACACACACGAACACACCAGAACACACACGAACACACCAGAACACACACCAGAACACACCTGAACACACACACGAACACACCTGAACACACACGCACACATCTGAACACACCTGAACACACCAGAACACACCCCTGAACACACCCCTGAACACACACCAACACACACCAACACACACGAACACACACCTGAACACACACCAGAACACACCAGAACACACCTGAACACACACCTGAACACACACCAGAACACACACCAGAACACACACCTGAACACACCTGAACACACACCTGAACACACACCTGAACACACACCTGAACACACCAGAACACACACCAGAACACACACCAGAACACACACCTGAACACACCAGAACACACACCTGAACACACCTGAACACACACCTGAACACACACCTGAACACACACCAGAACACACACCTGAACACACACCAGAACACACCAGAACACACACCAGAACACACACCTGAACACACACCTGAACACCAGAACACACACCTGAACACACACCAGAACACCAGAACACACACCAGAACACACCTGAACACACACCAGAACACACACCAGAACACACACCAGAACACACACCAGAACACACACCAGAACACACACCTGAACACACACCAGAACACACCAGAACACACCTGAACACACACCTGAACACACACCTGAACACACACCTGAACACACACCAGAACACACCTGAACACACCTGAACACACACCAGAACACACCTGAACACACCTGAACACACACCTGAACACACCAGAACACACTTGAACACACCTGAACACACACCAGAACACACCTGAACACACACCTGAACACACCTGAACACACACCAGAACACACCTGAACACACCTGAACACACACCTGAACACACACCAGAACACATCTGAACACACCTGAACACACACCAGAACACACCTGAACACACCTGAACACACCTGAACACACTTGAACACATCTGAACACACCTGAACACACACCAGAACACACCTGAACACACACCAGAACACACCTGAACACACACCTGAACACACCAGAACACACCTGAACACACACCAGAACACACCAGAACACACTTGAACACACCTGAACACACCTGAACACACACCAGAACACACCTGAACACACACCTGAACACACACCTGAACACACACCAGAACACACAGCTGAACACACCTGAACACACACCAGAACACACACCTGAACACACACCAGAACACACACCTGAACACACCTGAACACACACCTGAACACACACCTGAACACACACCTGAACACACACCAGAACACACCTGAACACACCTGAACACACACCAGAACACACACCTGAACACACACCAGAACACCTGAACACACACCAGAACACACCTGAACACACACCAGAACACACACCTGAACACACACCTGAACACACACCAGAACACACACCTGAACACACACCAGAACACCAGAACACACACCTGAACACACACCTGAACACACACCAGAACACACACCTGAACACACACCAGAACACACCTGAACACACACCAGAACACACACCTGAACACACACCTGAACTCACACCTGAACACACACCTAAACACACCTGAACACACACCAGAACACACACCTGAACACACACCTGAACTCACACCTGAACACACACCTGAACACACACCTGAACTCACACCTGAACACACACCTAAACACATCCTGCTCTTTTGTTCTGAAAATGTCTCAGTTTAAATGACTTTTGGAGCCATTACTTAGTGTCACACTCCGCACAGACGCTACATTCTTTATCAGCTCAGACTGAGTCTTAAAAATGTAAAGTGTGTCTCGATATTTAAAAACTATAACATTTCACCTTTTTTAATCAATTTTAATCAGTTTTAATGACACACTTCTGATGTTTTCAAAGAGGAGAAAGATAATTTTATATTTTCATCTGAAGCATCCTCAGATCCAGAAGAAGTCTCAGTACATCAAGTACCTGTGCTGCGACGACGTCCGCACGCTGCAGCAGTGGATCCACAGCATCCGCATCGCCAAGGTAACGTATCACGCCTGTATCACATCACGCCTGTATCACATCACACCTGTATCACATCACACCTGTATAACATCACGCCTGTATCACATTACGCCTGTATAACATCACACCTGTATCACATTACGCCTGTATAACATCACGCCTGTATCACATTACGCCTGTATCACATCACGCCTGTATCACATTACGCTTGTATCACATCACGCCTGTATCACATTACGCCTGTATCACATTACGCCTGTATAACATCACGCCTGTATCACATTACGCCTGTATAACATCACGCCTGTATCACATCACGCCTGTATCACATTACGCCTGTATCACATTACACCTGTATAACATTACGCCTGTATCACATCACGCCTGTATAACATTACGCCTGTATCGCATTATGCCTGTATCACATTACACCTGTATCACATTACACCTGTATCACATTACGCCTGTATAACATCACGCCTGTATCGCATCACACCTGTATCGCATTACGTCTGTATTGCATTACGCCTGTATCCCATTACGCCTGTATCCCATTACGCCTGTATCGCATTACGCCTGTATAACATCACGCCTTTATAACATCACGCCTGTATAACATCACGCCTGTATCACATCACGCCTGTATAACATCACGCCTGTATCACATCACGCCTGTATAACATGACGCCAGTATAACATGACGCCAGTATAACATGACGCCTGTATAACATCACGCCTGTATCACATCACGCCTGTATAACATGACGCCAGTATAACATGACGCCAGTATAACATGACGCCTGTATCACATTACGCCTGTATCACATCACGCCTGTATCACATCACGCCTGTATAACATCACGCCTGTATCACATCACGCCTGTATCACATCACGCCTGTATAACATGACGCCAGTATAACATGACGCCAGTATAACATGACGCCTGTATAACATCACGCCTGTATCACATCACGCCAGTATAACATGACGCCTGTATAACATGACGCCAGTATAACATGACGCCTGTATCACATGACGCCAGTATAACATGACGCCAGTATAACATGACGCCAGTATAACATGACGCCTGTATAACATGACGCCAGTATAACATGACGCCTGTATCACATCACGCCTTTATGACATCACGCCTGTATCACATCACGCCTGTATAACATCACGCCTGTATAACATCACGCCTGTATCACATCACGCCAGTATAACATGACGCCAGTATAACATGACGCCAGTATAACATGACGCCAGTATAACATGACGCCTGTATCACATGACGCCTGTATAACATGACGCCTGTATCACATGACGCCTGTATAACATCACGCCTGTATAACATCACGCCTGTATAACATGACGCCTGTATAACATCACGCCTGTATCACATCACGCCAGTATAACATCACGCCTGTATCACATCACGCCAGTATAACATGACGCCTGTATCACATGACGCCTGTATACTGCATCTGTTGTATGTCTCTCTCCTGCAGTACGGGAAGCAGCTGTACCTGAACTACCAAGAGGCCGTGAGACGCTCTGAGGCGGCGTACGACTGGTCCTCTCTGTCTTCTTCATCCATAAAGTCTGGGTCCAGCTCCTCCAGCCTCCCAGGTCTGTCCAACAGGGTCTAACCTGGTCTAACCTGGTCCAACAGGGTCCAACCGGGTCTAACCTGGTCCAACAGGGTCCAACCGGGTCTAACCTGGTCCAACAGGGTCCAACCGGGTCCAACCGGGTCCAACAGGGTCCAACGGGGTCCAACAGGGTCCAACAGGGTCCAACAGGGTCCAACGGGGTCCAACGGGGTCCAACAGGGTCTAACAGGGTCCAACAGGGTCCAACAGGGTCCAACGGGGTCCAACGGGGTCCAACAGGGTCCAACAGGGTCCAACGGGGTCCAACAGGGTCCAACAGGGTCCAACAGGGTCCAACGGGGTCCAACAGGGTCCAACAGGGTCCAACAGGGTCCAACGGGGTCCAACGGGGTCCAACGGGGTCCAACAGGGTCCAACAGGGTCCAACAGGGTCTAGTCTTTTCAAGCCTTTATCATCTGTTCTTTATAATGTCTTTACTGTGGGATTAATGAAAGTATTATTCATTCTTATACAAAACACTAAAAACACAGATCAGGATGAAAACAATCACAGATAAAAGATAAAAACCATATTATTATATGAAAAAGAAGGATGTCTTTGAGACCTAAAGGCATTTCTGAACAAACTGTTGAATTAAAACAGTTTTTAACTATTACTATTAAGTAAATAGAAATGGAATTTAAAAAATGTATTCACAAAATACTGAATTCAAGTTAATTTAAAAACATTTGTCTTTATTAAATCATTTCAGAGAAAAAGAGAAATGTTGCAGAAAGTCAAAGGTTCGACCTCAAGATTCTGTTTTTTATATTTATGATAAAACGTCTTTTCCATTAGTTTGAGACTGATCCTTTTGAGTCACTTTTTGATGCTTTGGGTCGAGTGAGAATACTCTTCTGATTCTGATAAAAAGATGTGACAGAAACTGTGCTTTAAACATTTGTTAATCTTTAATGTTTCTTTATAATTATATATTTATGGATTATAAACTTCAGAATGATCTGAATCGTCTCACTGTGACGTTGTCTGACGCAGAATCCCAGTCCAACCATTCGAGCCAATCAGACAGCGGCGTGTCCGAGCTGGCCTCGAGCCACACCCGCTCCCAGAGCGCCGTCAGCTCCATCTTCTCTGACGCCTGGAGGAGAGGGACCCAGGGAGAGGTGAGCTCACTACTGCCCCCTGCTGACCAGCATTCAACTGCATTTGCCATGATCCTGTGCCTTTCTGCTCTCCTGCCAGAGGCCTAGAAAGAAAGGACGTTTGGCCGTTCCTCTTTGTGTAGGAGGAGGCGGAGGCAGTGGAGGTCAGACAGGAAGTGATGTCACAGACGTGACCACGGTCCAGCTGCAGCCCAAACACACTGGGCTGCATCCAAATTAGGAACAATCCTCCTTCCTTTTCCTTCCAAATCCCTCCCTTATTGACCTCAGAGGCAGGTTAGAGCGTTTTGTTTCTGATTTGTTATAAACAGTCGATGAAAAGACGAAGGAGGTATTATGTTTATTTGGATGCAGCCGTGTTTGTGCCACTTCCTGTTCTCCACAGGAAGTTTATCACTTTGTCTGGAAACTTACAAACATATGTTTCAAAATGTTGTGGCATTTTTATTATACATGATTTTTGATTATTCACAATTAAAGCTGAGATACGTAAAACCTTTCAAACCACCACAAAAGTAACTATGTAAAAAGTTCTTATTTTTCACATTTGTGTTTCGGCCTCTTTAGCCCAAAGGGGTTAGCTAACCCAGCTCTCAGCCCCAAGAGGCAGTGACATGTTTTGGTCTGATTTGTTCACAGTATTTGAACAACAATATTTGCTTCTTAAATAGACCTTTGGCCACGGTTCTGTAGAAACTGCATCACAATAAAAGGTTCATTCTCTTTGGTTAAAATCTTTGTCTACATTTATAAATGGAGGTTATTTTGGCAGCAGCTGTAACTGGACTGAACCACATTAACTCCGTGTGACGCCTTGGAACGTCTAACCAAAACTATTGTTTGGAGTCTAAAGCCTGGTTCACACGGCAGGATATTTAGGCCGATTTAGACCCGATTTACCCCTTACGACAATCTTAAGAAACGCTCCGATTTCCGTAACAAAGTCTTACAGATATCCTGCCGTGTGGTGTGTTAAGACTGCACTCGTCGCTCGGAAGGACATCGGGACTGCTCCCGATCTCAAATCGGGGATATCCAACATGTTGGATTGTTTTGGCCCGATTTCTTGTCGTGTGTGGTGTCCTCCGAGGACAAGCGAGCGCGTTGCCATGACTACGGCGTGTAGCCAATAAGAAGACGAGGTGACAAGCCGGTGAGGGAACACCGGAAAAAAACCAAAACACAGCAGCATGGCTTTGACCATTGCCTTTTCTTTGGATTACGTGTCTTCTCTGTTAACAACAAACTGCACACTATCGCCACTGCATCCTCTTCGTCCGCCATGACTGTTTACTCTGAAGTCACGCTTGATCTCGAGAGATTTTGTGAGATTTCCGTCTGACCTGGGAATGCTCGGGGGGGGTGTCGGTTCGTGTGTGATGTTTGTGGCTTGCGTGATCTTGCCGTGTGGCTACGCACCACACACTGCACGACCAAAGTGGTTAGACGCAGGATTTTTAATCTCCCCGTGTGGGGTCTAACACGGAGAAAAATCGGCCGACAATTTTAAAATCGTCTCGTGTGAACCAGGCTTTCCTCTGTGTTGTTCTGAAGCAGCGTGACTTTAGTGTGTTTTTAAAAGAGTGCTGTGCTTTGATGAATGAGAGCATTAAAGGAGAAGTATTATGTGGTTAAAAACATTTAACCACAACATTGTTCACTCAGAAAACACTTGTTTTTAGTCCATTGCGCCTGAATCTGCAGATTACAGGATAAATCCACTCACAACATATAAATATGTTCAAGTATTGCATAATATTTCTTCTATAATTCTAGCCTTGGGTTTTGTCTGATTGAAACACACTTGTCTTCCTTGCGCTGGTTTGTTTCTGTGCATCTCGTGCTGAATAGTTGTTTTTCTTCTCCGTAAACTCTTTTCTTATTTTCCTCCTGCTGCAGATGATGAGGATGGACCCGATCAGTCGACCCATCCCAGTCCAGATCCCAACACTGTCCTCGCAGCCGCTGTCTCTGTCCCAGCCCAGCACGCCTCGCACGAGCTACACAGAAGAACTCAACTCCGACGAGAGCACGCCGTCTCCCCCGTCGCCCCCACCCCCTCCGCCCCCGCCCCCCGTGGAGGCCGTGGCCCCCCAGCCGCCCGCCGTGTCTCCCTACATCAAATACAGCACACTGGCTCGCCTCCAAAGCCAAAACCAAGCGAGGCCCGTGGTGGTCCTCAACGCCATGTCCGCGCCTTCCAGCAAATCCAACTACAACACGCTTCCAGCCGGATACGACGCCGCTCCGCCGCCTCAGCCCCCGTCCCCCCCCCCTCCACCGCCTCTGGCCGCGCCCGCACCCGGATCAGCCATGGCCATGTTGAAGTACGGTTCGCCAAGCCCCTCCGCCGCTCTCCCCCCACCCCCGCCCATCGAGGAGATTCCCCATGAGCCCTCCTACCTGCCCCCCCCTCCTCCAGAGTGTGTTGAGGAGAACGGACTGCCCCCCCCACCGCCGCCGGGTCAGAATCCCTGCTCCCAGCTCTCCAACGCCGGTTTGCAACAATTCTTGGCACAAAAGTTTCCCAACATGAGTTACGACTTCTGCCAAAATGATGAAAACAGCACACACCTGGCGCCCGGGTTGTCTCCGCCCGCCACGCTCCCAAATCTTAGACCGGTGTCGCCCAATGCCCCGCCCCCAGCGCCGCCTAAAACCTTCACGAGTCCGTTCCCGCCACAATCCGCACGCAAACTTTCAGGCCCGGCGTCTCTCCCAATGGCTCTCTCGCCCGTGTCTCCCACGCCGCCGTGCAACGCTCACGGGTCGTTCAAAAAGCAGCAGAGCTTCTCGACGGGACACTCGCCAAACCAGCCCCCGCCCACGCTCCCCAAACAGCACAGCCTGTCCTCCAAGAACCTCAGCGCTCTGTCTCCGTCCGCATCATCAGCGTCGGTGTCAATCGCTGCTGCTACGTCCTCATTGGTTAAACAGATCGTCAATCAGTTTCCTGGACACTCCCCGCCCTCTTCTCTGCCCTCGTCCAATCACACGGAGGGGTGCAGGTCCGGTGCCCCCCAGTCTCCTCCAGCCGTCAAAGCCAAACCCAAGTGGCAGCCTGGGGGGGTCGTGCAGTCTCCAGAGTTTCCACCTCCGCCCAATGAGAACTTCCCGCCTCCTCCTGCCTCCAACAGCTCCTCCAAAACTGGATCTCCGATTAAGAAGTCTCCCTCTTCTTCTTCCAGCGGCTCAAACAAGCGAGGGCCGCCCCCGACCCCCCAGCGAGCCTCGTCCATGCGAGAAGGACAGGAAGAAAGGCCCAAAAAGGTCGAAAGTCTCGTGAATAAGTTTGGCCAAAGTGTTCAAACCGGGACGTCCTCGACTTCATCATCGGTGACTGGGTCTCCCTCAAAGGAGGCGTCTGCTCCCTCTGCTCCTCCCAAACCTGGGAAACTGAACTTGGCCAATCTGCCTTTAGCTCTGCAGGGGATCCAGACTGGACCGCAGACTGGACCGCAGACTGGACCGCAGACTGAGTTCCCCACTCCTCCTCCCCCACCTCCTCCTCCTCAGCCGCTGCACATCGACTCGCCCGATTACTTTCCTCCTCCCCCCAGTGACTTTGAGCTCTTCCCTCCCCCTCCTCATCCGTCTGAGTTCCATCCTCCGCCTAAAGTCGCGGTGGTGAATCCTCAGCCTCAAACGCAGCAGAATCCAGCCTCATGGAAACAAAGCTCCCTGAAGAAAGGAGCAGTGCCTCCGCCAACGCTGTCGAGGCGCAGCAGTAACACGGCACAGTTTGACTCTGCTCCTTTAATGCCTCTTTCTCCTCCGCCCATGTCCCAAACGCCACCTCCTTCCTTAACATCCTACTCCTCCTCTTCCTCCCCTGTGCCTCCCACTTCTCCCAAATCTGTGGGTCCTGCAACTCTCACACTGAAGACCAACTTCCTGGAAGACCTGAACCGCACTCTGAAAAGGAAGTCCGTGTCACGCCACGGCTCGCTCACCTCCTCCCACCTCATCACCTCCTCCAAGATGGAGCCTATGACCACCATGGACGACATGGCCCTGCTCCCCCCTCCCCCCCCGGAGCTGATGCAGCAGGGCAGCCGTGGCCACTCCAAGACTCTCTCCCGTCACCACACGCACTCCCAGTCCGCCAAAAACGCCAACATCTCAGGCTATGCAACGCTGCGGCGAGGTCCGCCTCCTGCTCCGCCCAAAAGGGACCAAAGCACCAAACTGACCAGTGACTGGTGAAAGTGAGGATCCAAACGTACTGTGTGTAATGTGGACGACCTTTGTTTACTCTATAGATTCTACTATAGAACCTATTACTCCCCAAACTTTGTTTTCAATTGGTTTCCTAAAAATACTCTACCTCTATCTCAAAGTAAAGTCCATCATAAGAAAGTTTCTGATTGGGGTAAGAAGTCACCGTTTCCATGTTTCCATCGGGACACACTGCTCTCTCTTTGGCTAAGCCTAAATAAGTGACTTTAATGATAAAACATTTCATTCTAAATCATTTCCGTGGATACAAGTAGCAAACCCAGTTCCTAATATTAAAATAAGATTATACTTGTTCCATTATTCATCATAATTATAACAATACATGTGTTAATCCAATGAGTAAAAGTATATATGTGTATATAATATCTGTATACAAGACCTGTCACTCAGCTTTTTCACTGCGTCTGTGCAGCTTCGCAATTCAAAAGTATAAAAGAAGTAAGTTACTTAGTTACTTGTAAAACAAGACTTGAACAGCATCAAAGACTTTTGCTGCGTTTAATGTGGATCTGCACGAAGCTTTTCATGAAGGGAAAAAACAGAAGGAATCAGCAAAGAAGAAGTTTGGATGTAAATAATGGGACTTAAGAGCGGGACACTCTGAGAAGGAGCTTTGCCATTTTTAAACTGTTTGTGTTTTATATAAGATTATTTAATACTGGAAAGATATAATTATTTTAAGTTTATAGAGTCAAAGAAGAATGAGTTTGACTGGATGTGTCTGAGTTACCAAATTTAACATTTGTGTTATTTTGCTTCAATGTCCTGATTGATCAAACCTTCACTATTTATGGTTTTGTGGCTACAATAATAAACACTATGCATTTGTTTTCATCCTTTAAATGTATTGAGTACATTTGAGTGAGGCTCGTGTGAAAGACACAGTTGGACTGTTATTTATGGATGATTTAACCCTAACTGTGGACTCTGAACTCAGCCTTAACACGTCTGCGACATTTTGGTGCAAGTGTGATTCTGAAACGAGCCGGACGTCTGGAGACTAGTCGTTAGTTCTTTGTTAGAAACAGCTCCACTGGACTCTGGGGATCATACCTTTTATACTTAATAAACCACAAGTTTTGTCAGCCTCATGACTTCCTGTCTCTTCATTTATACATTTATCTGGAATAGAATCATAACATGTAAACTAAACCCTAACGTCTCATCTCTGAGTAATTCACCATTTTACAATAATTCATTTTTCTACATTCTATTCCTTCGTAGTTGCTCTGAACGTGTACGATGCTACAGGACACAATAACAAGTATAATGCAGAGATGATTTTATCCACAAGACTCTTGTGAGACGTGGAATTTAATGATCCAGGATTCTCTGGAGTCAGTTTAACGTCTAACGTCTAAAACATGCACACGTGATTTATGGACCATGTCCAACGATGAGGAGGTGGTGAAAAGTGTCTTGCCAAAAGGCACTTTGTAACGGCAGAGCTGCGGTTCTTTGGTTGCATCAGTTTATTGTGTCCTCCTGAAAAAAACAAACTTATTCAGTTGAAATATTATTTTCTTAGAAGACTGTTGAAGCGTACCAAAACATTGATCCACTGTGAGTTGCTGTAAATGTAGAGAGACTTTCTGTCCGGCCTCAGAACCATCACATTCTCGGCTCGCAGCCTCCGCATCTGCTTCTCTCCGTCTGCCACAAAGATCTGTGAAGAAACAGATTCATGTTAGCGCTGTTCTCCTTCAGACCACTAGAGGGAGACGTGGAGACAAACAGAAGCATATTTTAGTCCACAGTAGATCTATGTGTCTAATATTGGACTTGTTTATTTTGATATAAATAATGGTTCTAGATGTGAAAACTCACGCTGTACACTCTGTTGTCCTCTTTGAACATCTGATTACTGGAGCAGTTGCACCGAGGGGCCGCCCCTGGATCTCCGGGGTCTCCCTGAAGTCCTGGCAGCACATGCACTGTCACAAAAACACGTTTGTCACTAGTTATGGTTCTTTTGATTATGATTGTGAAGATGATGGATAAATAAACGACACCACATCAACTACAAACCTTGTCCTGGATTTCCAGATTCTCCAGGAAGACCATGGAGTCCTGCTGGACCTGCGTGACCCGTCTTTCCCAAAGGTCCAGAGGATCCTTTAGGTCCCTACAAAACATTTCATTTGGTCTCATTTAAAACAGAAGAATCAAACACAAAGCGTACCACAGCTCCTCTGTGACCGTTATCTCCTCTGGGCCCCGGCTCTCCTCTGGGGCCCGGGTCTCCTTTCAGGCCTGAGTCTCCCTGCAACAAACAAACATGTCCCATAAAGTGTGACGCATCTGACAATATTCACAATGTTTTACTTTTGCTCCGCGCTTTCCAGCGATTCCTCTGCCCCCCTAAAGGAAGACAGCCACTTTGAATATACATATACATTTATAAATATGTGTGTGTGTAAATATATATATATATATATATATATCTTCTCGTGAAGTAAAGAAGTCCACAAACCTTTTCTCCAGTCGGCCCTGTGTGTCCTTTGGCGCCCTTCGCCCCCTGTGTTTGTGTGAAGCAGAGTAAGACCAGGGTTTGATCGTGTTGTGGCTGTATCACACTTTTAGAAATAGATATAATAACTTCACAAATTACCTGATTTCCTTTAAGTCCCTTAGCGCCCTGTTAAAAATACATATTTCAAAAACATGTTATTGTGATTAAATATTCAGGTCAGTGGATACCTTTATCATTCCAGGACTCCCGATGTCTCCATAGAGGCCTCTCCATCCCCTCTCTCCTTTGTCTCCCTACAACAATATCGATAATATGATTAAGTATTGATCAAAGTGATCCACATAGTTCAGATAAATGGGGCTGGGGTACGACCTTTGGACCCACTTCTCCCATAGGTCCCTGTGGTCCTGGCTCTCCTTCCAGTCCTGGGACACCCGGGTCCCCCTGACAGCAGAGACATGAATGAGATGATCTTATTTGTGGATGTAGTTATGGATCATTGTGAGCGCACCTTGGGCCCTCGGACTCCCCGACAGCCCTGGAACAATCATGAACAACAGCTGAGAGTCATGACTGACAGAGACTGACAGTGACTGACAGTGACTGACAGAGACTGACAGAGACTGACAGAGACTGACAGAGACTGACAGTGACTGACAGTGACTGACAGAGACTGACAGAGACTGACAGAGACTGACAGTGACTGACAGTGACTGACAGAGACTGACAGTGACTGACAGAGACTGACAGAGACTGACAGTGACTGACAGTGACTGACAGAGACTGACAGAGACTGACAGAGACTGACAGTGACTGACAGAGACTGACAGAGACTGACAGTGACTGACAGAGACTGACAGTGACTGACAGAGACTGACAGAGACTGACAGTGACTGACAGTGACTGACAGAGACTGACAGAGACTGACAGTGACTGACAGTGACTGACAGTGACTGACAGAGACTGACAGAGACTGACAGAGACTGACAGAGACTGACAGTGACTGACAGTGACTGACAGTGACTGACAGTGACTGACAGAGACTGACAGAGACTGACAGAGACTGACAGAGACTGACAGTGACTGACAGTGACTGACAGTGACTGACAGAGACTGACAGAGACTGACAGAGACTGACAGAGACTGACAGAGACTGACAGAGACTGACAGTGACTGACAGTGACTGACAGTGACTGACAGAGACTGACAGAGACTGACAGAGACTGACAGTGACTGACAGTGACTGACAGTGACTGACAGAGACTGACAGAGACTGACAGAGACTGACAGTGACTGACAGAGACTGACAGAGACTGACAGTGACTGACAGAGACTGACAGTGACTGACAGAGACTGACAGAGACTGACAGAGACTGACAGTGACTGACAGAGACTGACAGAGACTGACAGTGACTGACAGTGACTGACAGAGACTGACAGAGACTGATAGAGACTGACAGTGACTGACAGTGACTGACAGTGACTGACAGAGACTGACAGAGACTGACAGAGACTGACAGAGACTGACAGAGACTGACAGTGACTGACAGTGACTGACAGTGACTGACAGAGACTGACAGTGACTGACAGTGACTGACAGAGACTGACAGTGACTGACAGTGACTGACAGTGACTGACAGTGACTGACAGTGACTGTCAGAGACTGACAGAGACTGACAGAGACTGACAGTGACTGACAGTGACTGACAGAGACTGACAGAGACTGACAGAGACTGACAGTGACTGACAGAGACTGACAGTGACTGACAGAGACTGACAGAGACTGACAGTGACTGACAGTGACTGACAGAGACTGACAGAGACTGACAGTGACTGACAGTGACTGTCAGAGACTGACAGAGACTGACAGTGACTGACAGTGACTGACAGTGACTGACAGAGACTGACAGAGACTGACAGAGACTGACAGAGACTGACAGAGACTGACAGTGACTGACAGAGACTGACAGAGACTGACAGAGACTGACAGTGACTGACAGTGACTGACAGTGACTGACAGAGACTGACAGAGACTGACAGTGACTGACAGAGACTGACAGTGACTGACAGAGACTGACAGAGACTGACAGAGACTGACAGAGACTGACAGTGACTGACAGTGACTGACAGTGACTGACAGAGACTGACAGAGACTGACAGAGACTGACAGTGACTGACAGTGACTGACAGTGACTGACAGAGACTGACAGAGACTGACAGTGACTGACAGTGACTGACAGTGACTGACAGAGACTGACAGAGACTGACAGAGACTGACAGTGACTGACAGTGACTGACAGTGACTGACAGAGACTGACAGAGACTGACAGAGACTGACAGAGACTGACAGAGACTGACAGAGACTGACAGTGACTGACAGAGACTGACAGTGACTGACAGAGACTGACAGAGACTGACAGAGACTGACAGAGACTGACAGAGACTGACAGTGACTGACAGTGACTGACAGAGACTGACAGAGACTGACAGAGACTGACAGAGACTGACAGAGACTGACAGTGACTGACAGAGACTGACAGAGACTGATAGAGACTGACAGTGACTGACAGTGACTGACAGTGACTGACAGAGACTGACAGAGACTGACAGAGACTGACAGAGACTGACAGAGACTGATAGAGACTGACAGTGACTGACAGAGACTGACAGTGACTGACAGTGACTGACAGAGACTGACAGTGACTGACAGAGACTGACAGTGACTGACAGTGACTGACAGTGACTGTCAGAGACTGACAGAGACTGACAGAGACTGACAGTGACTGACAGTGACTGACAGAGACTGACAGTGACTGACAGAGACTGACAGAGACTGACAGAGACTGACAGAGACTGACAGAGACTGACAGTGACTGACAGAGACTGACAGAGACTGACAGAGACTGACAGTGACTGACAGTGACTGACAGAGACTGACAGAGACTGACAGTGACTGACAGTGACTGACAGAGACTGACAGAGACTGACAGTGACTGACAGAGACTGATAGAGACTGACAGTGACTGACAGAGACTGACAGTGACTAACAGTGACTGACAGAGACTGACAGTGACTGACAGAGACTGACAGTGACTGACAGTGACTGACAGTGACTGTCAGAGACTGACAGAGACTGACAGAGACTGACAGTGACTGACAGTGACTGACAGAGACTGACAGTGACTGACAGAGACTGACAGAGACTGACAGAGACTGACAGAGACTGACAGAGACTGACAGTGACTGACAGAGACTGACAGAGACTGACAGAGACTGACAGTGACTGACAGTGACTGACAGAGACTGACAGAGACTGACAGTGACTGACAGAGACTGACAGAGACTGACAGAGACTGACAGAGACTGACAGAGACTGACAGAGACTGACAGTGACGACCTGTAAATATACTGTACCTTTGCACCTTTCATCCCAGTGATGTGTTCACTGATGTCCACCTGGAACAAGAGTCATTAGTTTCATCTCATTCTGTAATATCTAAATCAGAAGCAGATACCAGCAGTTCTTGTTTTCGTTTGACGGAGGGGAACATGGGAGGAGGTGCAGGAGGAGGGACGAACACTCTACATTTCTGTGGAGACCATGGACTCGTTGGAAACCCTAGAACACAGAGACTGCAGGTAACACTGGGACAGCTACAGCTGGTTCATTAGACACAATGGGGACTGCAGTTGTACTCACTGCGTGAGGAAAGAGTTAGAGCAGGACAGCACAGAGCCACAGTCCATCCCATCACAAGATGAGCCCACATGTTCACTGTTCCTGCAAACACATCATGGAACAGGTTTTGTTCATGTAAAAAGAACAAAATGATCGTTTGATTAAGTGGAAGTCTGGAGCGTCACTAACTATAACTCTGCTGCATCATGTCCGCCTGATCCTAAACCAACACATTCAGAAAAGACAAGAAGCTGAAGGCCGAGCAGACAGGGACATGTCTTGCTTTAGGGCACAACAACAGAGCTCCATAAAGCGCCCGCATTACTGCTGTAAAAATGAAATCTACATTAAAGGCACACACCATAAAGTCACGCTTACCTCCAGAGTCGCTCCTCTAACCATGAGTGTCCGGTGCTGCTGGTTCTGGTCATTCTCCAGCGGCGCAGTCCAATCTGCTGCTGGTTCTGGTCCTTCTCCAGCGGCGCAGTCCAATCTGCTGCTGGTTCTGGTCATTCTCCAGCGGCGCAGTCCAATCTGCTGGCCTTGCACTCGCCTCACTCTAACTTATCTCTACGGTCGTGGAAAGGCAGAGGCAGCTCTCTGCAGAAATAATCAGATAATTACCTTCACACTGAGCCAAACAGGCGCTGGACAGAAAAGAGAGTAAGTCTTACTGTAGTTCCATTAAAGTCAGGCAGGCGGCCAACCCCACACAGGTCCAAACGGGTTTTAGAATGTAACCGATTAGTTATCTTCATAGATCTAGTTCTGACCAAAGCGTGTTGCTGCAGCTGAGGGTCCAATGAAAGGAGATCAATAAAACTAACATCCATCAGCCCTGACGTTACGGAGCGACAGGAGGAAACCACGGCTCCCAGCTTTAATCACATTAAGTACAGAAGATATCTCCACCAACGACGTCCAGGAAAGAATTTATCTGAAAGAGAAGAAAGAGACTGATCATCAGAGATCATCAGTGATCATCAGGGATCATCAGGGATCATCATCAGGGATCATCAGTGATCATCAGGGATCATCAGGGATCATCATCAGGGATCATCATCAGGGATCATCAGTGATCATCAGTGATCATCAGGGATCATCATCAGGGATCATCAGTGATCATCAGTGATCATCAGGGATCATCAGTGATCATCATCAGTGATCATCAGGGATCATCAGTGATCATCAGGGATCATCAGTGATCATCAGGGATCATCAGTGATCATCAGGGATCATCAGTGATCATCAGGGATCATCAGGGATCATCAGTGATTATCAGGGATCATCATCAGGGATCATCAGTGATCAGCATCAGTGATCATCAGGGATCACCCGCAGAAATTTGTTTTTTATGCAAAATTGATTTAAAAAAATATTTCTGTAGCAAAAAATCCTGACCTGATTGAGCAAAACCAAGGTCATTTTCAGACTCAGGGCATCAACATTAGTCTAATTCAGCTGAAAACCCCTGGACTATTTTCAGAAAAATATTATTTTGTTACCCAGTGTAATGAGTGATAACAAACTCTGCAGAATCCTGGAGGTGGAACATTAAAGCCATATTTTGGAATTTTCTCCATGGTTTTGGTATCGTCTTCTAAAACCACAGACTCAGTGGGGGGTGTGTTGCGTGTGGGGTCAGGTTAATACTTGTATAAAACATTGTTTGTGAGTCAGTTTTTGGTGGAACTAAACGCCTGGAGCATGAAGAGGTGAATGAACCAAATCAAAAGTGCATCAGAGTCAGGGCTTTCCCTCCTGGAGACATTTCTATTTCAGATTTAATTTAATATAATTAGATATAATTGATATATTTTAATAACAAACTTTCACCGTGCTTAGTATTTAAGCCAATCACAATGCGACAAAGGTAAAACTCGTCTGAAGTTTAGTCTGAAAACCCTTCAGCCTCACGGTGTCTGATGAACATGAGCAGACCTGTGTGCAGGCGCTGCAGACAAACTAGACTGTTACAAGTTGAATCAAAGATTACAACTGAAGTATTTTGCTCAAGTCATTTTTTATTGAAATATTTAAAAGTTAAAATATGGAAGTGCCGCATGCCTAAAACTATCACAATAAAATGACATCAAGAAAAACTATTTACACCCAAAGCTTTGGACAGATTCACCGACAACGGGAGCAGCTTGTACTTTTGGAGGTTCTCATTGTTTCAACATTTATCCTGTAATATTATTATTATATTATAGGATATTATTATAATAATAATATTATAAGATTCCCAGTTCTGCTTCACATTTAAAAAACATTTCACTTCTAAACATTACCTTTTAATCCAGTACAAATTCACAATTTAAAACAAAGACATTTAAATCGCACAATGGATCCCGAGTCCTTCTGTTCCCGTCGGTGCAGTCATGTTGGTGAAATACAATCCTTAGAAAAACAGTCTTAATAACAATAATAATTAGTCTTATTGTGAAAGGTTCGTGAGGCGTGAGTGCAACTCCAGGACCACAGCCTTCATCATTCCAGCCAACTGCTCATGCATGTGGAGCAGCTGTGGAGAGGAGCAGAGGCCCAGAGCAGAGGGAGTGGTCCTGCAGCGGAGACAGTCCACCTCCGAGACCAGACCAGAGACTGGGGCCTGGACTGGGGCCTGGACTGGGGCCTGGACTGGGGCCTGGACTGGGGCCTGGACTGGGGCCTGGACTGGGGCCTGGACTGGGGCCTGGACTGGGGCCTGGACTGGGGCCTGGACTGGGGCCTGGACTGGGGCCTGGACTGGGGCCTGGACTGGGGCCTGGACCTGGACTTGAGCTTCAGGGGAGTGGGTGACGTCCTGGGCCCCGTCCTCAGCATCAAACTCCAGCTCTGTAGCTGTGGAAACACAAAAGTTGCTCAAATTAATGTTGGAGTTTACTTTAACTTTTCAAATCACTAAAACTATAATCACATTAGTCTCTTACGTCGCCGCACACAGATGTGTCATTTTAGTTTCACAGATGACACAACACAAACTTATTCCCCACAGTGAGATACATCAAAGGTTCTTTTAAGTCTTACTTTTCAGAGTTTCAGATCCTGGTTTTATCAACAACATGTGACGTCTGCCCCAGCTTTAGCTCAGAACCATCACACTACTTCACGAATAATAATAATAATAATAATATTATTGAGACAAAAACATGTATCATTTATGATCCAAAAAAGGTGAGGTCCCCTCGCCTCCCAGGCCTCACACAGACCTAATGTGTCTGGAGTTTTCTGGTCCTCGTTATGAGCAGTGCTGGTCTCTCCTTCAGACGTCATCATTTCTGTTTCATCAAAACTCTTCAAATCGTCTCCACCTCGACCTTTACGCTGCAAACATGTCACACGTCAATCAATAGGTCAGCTCATGCTTCACGACCTACCCGCTGCTGCTGCTGCTGACCTACCCGCTGCTGCTGCTGCTGACCTACCCGCTGCTGCTGCTGCTGACCTACCCGCTGCTGCTGCTGCTGACCTACCCGCTGCTGCTGCTGCTGACCTACCCGCTGCTGCTGCTGCTGACCTACCCGCTGCTGCTGCTGACCTACCCGCTGCTGCTGCTGCCCTACCCACTGCTGCTGCTGCTGCTGACCTCCCCCCACTGCTGCTGCCGACCTACCTGCTGCTGACCCCCCCACTGCTGCTGCTGCTGCTGCCCTACCCGCTGCTGCTGACCTCCCCACTGCTGCTGCTGACCTCCCCACTGCTGCTGCTGACCTCCCCACTGCTGCTGCTGACCTACCCGCTGCTGCCCTACCCGCTGCTGCTGCTGCTGACCTCCCCCCACTGCTGCTGCCGACCTACCTGCTGCTGACCCCCCCACTGCTGCTGCTGCCCTACCCGCTGCTGCTGACCTCCCCACTGCTGCTGCCGACCTCCCCACTGCTGCTGCTGCCCTACCCGCTGCTGCTGCTGCTGACCTCCCCCCACTGCTGCTGCCGACCTACCTTGCTGACCCCCCCACTGCTGCTGCTGCTGCTGCCCTACCCGCTGCTGCTGACCTCCCCACTGCTGCTGACCTCCCCACTGCTGCTGACCTCCCCCTGCTGCTGCTGCTGACCCCCCCACTGCTGCTGCTGCTGCCCTACCCGCTGCTGCTGACCTACCTGCTGCTCGTATATTTTCAGAGCCTTCTTGACGTTGGAGACCTTGGGAGACCTGATGGGCAGAACCTTGACTTCAGTCGGAGTTAAAGCACTCAGGTCACCCACGGTTTTAATATTTCTGGCTCGAACAATTTGTCCAAAACCACGAGACCTAAAAACAAAGCAGCAGCAACAATGAGAGAAACAGAACAGGTCTAGACCTCTTCGGCGCGCACACACACACACACTTATAAAAAACAGACGTAAACATAGACGTAAACTCGTACCACATGGTTGAAGCGATCTGGGGCAGGACGGCCTCCACAGGCGCCGTGCAGCCCACCAGAGCAGGGTACACACAGTCTTTAGACACAGGACGAGGCTCTTGACCCATCTCAGAAATCTAGAAGAATGTTTGTAGGACAGATTAGAGCACGCTGTAAAATCTAAGTTATTCTGTGGTGTTTATAATACCAGGCATTTCTTGGAGCTCTTGTAACCGGGACTATTCAAGTTCCTGGGACTCAACGTGATGATGCCTTTTGTGGGCGTGGTGACGTACTGAAACACAGAAATGTAGGTTCTGAGTGAAAGTCTTCCTTGCTGCAGAGAGAGAACATGCAAACAGACTTTACTTTTGGCTGTGGGATGCTGCTGATGCCCATCTTGGTTCTTCTCGGTGAGCTGGTTCTGAGAGCAGGGCTGCGGCGATCAATATCGTCTGCCAGCTCCTGGTGCTGGATCGGATCAGCAAACGACACCCTTCTTGACTAAAACAAAAACCCCCAAAACCAACCATTAACTTAAATGAACACTTCATTACCCCTTTTTTGAATCAAGAGACAAATTCCGCTCACCTTGACCAGGGGTGAGGGAGTTTCCACCTCCAGCGCCCTCTTCTGGGCCTTCTTTAAGATGCTAGTGGACGGTGATGCTGCTGGAGACCATGTTCCTAAGGTCCGGCTGCTCGGACTCTGTGCGGCCTCTGCTCCAGTCACTGCCTCCAGGTCCCTCTGCTTCACCGGGGAGTCTGGGAGTCCCTGGTTGTCAGCTGGAGGAGCAAAAGACTCCTCCAGAGTAGCATCTGTTGTAGTCCGGTCCTCAGTCCGGTCCTCAGTCCGGTCCTCAGTCCGGTCCTCAGTCCGGTCCATGATCTGGCCAGCTGTGTCATGGTTGTCATGGATGGCTGTAATGTCTTCGCTGACCACTAGGGGCTGGTCTTGGTCTATGGTCGTAGTCTCCTCCTGTGGCAGTTCGTCTGCAGAGGCGTCACCTGGTGCAGGTTCATGGTCCTGTGCTGCCGTCTGTGCTTCAGAATCCCCTAGTTCTACATTTACATCTGTTTGGCTTTCCTCAGTCGCATCTATGCCCACCGGGTCCTCCAACCCCACCGGGTCCTCCAACCCCACCGGGTCCTCCAACCCCACCGGGTCCTCCAACCCCACCGGGTCCTCCAACCCCACCGGGTCCTCCAACCCCACCGGGTCCTCCAACCCCACCGGGTCCTCCACAGCATCACAGAGGTCCTGCTGTTCGGGGGACGGTGGTTGTGCAGTCTCAGGTTCTTCCTCTACCTCTGCTTCTGATGATGCAATATCTTGTAATGAGCTTGCTATAGTACATGGCGGTGGAACTACAGAAATGACACAATCTTCAGCCCCTTTTTGCTGTACGTCTTGTAATAATGGTTCTTGTGTTGACGCTGTATTTTCACAATGAGAAGAGTGTTCTGCCTCCATTTCAACCTCTTTAGTATTTAGTTCATTAGTCTGTTCCTCTGCTATTTCCGACTCTACAACATTCGCAGACTTTTCTATTGTATTTTGTGATACATTTGTCTCTGATGCGTCCAGATTGCCTTTGGAATCACTTTTCCCAGCACTTCTTTCATCTTTAGCCGCAAATGTCAGAGGGCTGAGAGCAGCAAGAACTTTAGAGCCCTTTCCCTTTCGTTTAACCAAAGGCGAGTCTTCAGATTTGTCTAAAGTTTGAGAGTCCTTCAGCTGTGCAGAGGCTCGCCGTGTGGACCTCCTGCTCCGGGACGATTCAGAGCCCACAGATTGGGAATCGTCTTGTTGTGAATTACTTGGTGTCGACCCACGAGACTTCACCTCTTCCTGCACCATGCTCCTCCTCGTCCGCACACTGGAGCTGCTTTGTTTCTCTGTGTCCGTCGGAGTCTGTGTTTCATCAGGATCTGTCAAAGCTTTGCTCCTTCTGGACCTTCGTCGTGTCTGAGCTTCTGCAGAGGACACAGACTGGGAATCTTGACTTTCCTGACTAAGCTCCTCTGTCATTGCAGTCCCAGTTTCTGCCTTATGAAGCTCGGCCGTTTCACTGTTTCTTTGAGAATCGCTGTGTGAAGATTTGGAAACGAGATCCACTGAATCAGACTGAGACAAGTCTGTCACGCACACCTCAAGCTCCGAAGAGCTTTGGTGCATCAGCATTTTGTCCATGACAACCACTGCCTGAGAGTGCGGTGATAAAGTCTGCTGGTGGTCATTTCTTTCCTCCGAATGATTTTCAGTTTCATTTATACTTTTCTCAACAACGGCGTCAGTTTTCTCCTCAATATCTTGCGCTTCACTTTCAGACGTTAATTTGGTTTTGCGAGGTCTTTTCAGCGACTGGATTTCATTTTCAGAGTGTGACCCTGAGTCTGTTTGGCTGGACTCTCTCAAACTTCTCCTTCCAGGTTTATCCATGAAGTCCTGAGAACTGCTGAAGAGCTTTACCCTCTTCTTGGCAGAGGGAGTTTGACTAATCTCTTTATCCTTTTGAGATCTTGATCTTAGTCTGTCTCTGGGACCTTCTTTCTCCACAGATCTGCTTCTTGTATTAGGCTTGACAGAAACAGGGCTAGACTTTTTAGAGTCATCAGTCGAATGCTTTCGTTTGTTTTGTGCAAACTTCTCATTGCGTTCTTTGGGATCTTCACCAGGACGCAGCGGTGGGACCCTCGGTCTGCCCGATCGTCTCGGCTCTCCCTGAGATGAGACTGATGATTGAGAGTCACCATCAGACTCCTCTGGTTGTGAGGACTCACTTCCCGGAGAAATAGATGCTTCTTTGGGCTCTTTTTCAGTTTGTGTGTCTGGAATCATGTCGTCCTCCTCTGTGGTGTCACTTGGAAGTCTGTCAGTCAGTTTGACTGCTTTCATTTCTATTCCGTCTTTAGGCCGACGAGGAGATTCTGGAGTACAGTGAGGTAGGGGTTTTTCATTGTCAGTTTGTATATTTTGTGAGCTCGGACTGTTCGTGGTGCAGGAAGTAGAGGGAGAACTTCTTTGTTGAGATGTTTTAAGTAAAAGCCCCGTGAATCCAGTGCTTGGACTGGAGGATTTCCCTTCTGAATATTTCTCCAGCGTTATAAAGCTCTGGCGCCTGCTTTTCTGCGGCGTCCCTGATAACAAATCTGAAGACATGTTTGGGCTCTCGTTAGTTTGGGAGGGTGTCCCTTTACTCGTTTCCACATTGTGGCCCTGCTCCTCCTCCATAGACACATCTGTGGACTCTGGGACCATCTCTTCTGACTGGTCACATGGCGCCTGAGCTTCAACTTCAGCTCTAACTTCAGGTTCTGGACTCGCAAAGTCTTGGGTCTCAATTGCCATGTCCGTTATTCCAGCTCCAACCGTTGGTTCTGTTGGGGAAGCCTGCAAAGCACAAATAAAATACTCAGAAAATAAATACCTTTGAAAAATGATTAGTGGCCCTCGTCATTTTGACCCAAAACATGCTGAAAGCTCGTCTCCAATACCTTCACAGAATCCTCCTGTTTCACATCTGCATCAGTCCCTTGCGCTGCTGGCAATGTGTCCCTGAAGACAAAAATGTGTTTATACATGACTTAATGAAATCCATATTTGTCTGGATGTATTTGAGAACATCCACTCACACAGAATCCTCCTGGCTCTGCGTGTACTGTGTGAAAACTGTGCTGTCCAAGGATGCATCCAGGTTGTTGTACATGGCAGGGATGTCGACCCTGAAGTTAAGACAATTACACAAAAGACATTAGAAAAACATGTCCATAATTGTACGACTGGAAATCTAAAAAATTCAGACCTTTTTGTTCGCTTCATTTCCTTTTGATGCTCTGTCAAAACTCGCTCCTTCGTCTCTGGAGGAATGAAGACGAAGTCCACAGACTCTTCTTCCTCCAGGGCGTTTCGGCGAAGAGGTTTAGGAGAACCAAAGTTCAGTTTTGTCTGCAGAAATAATAAGCAAAGCATTTACATACATTCAAAATACCCAGAAACATTTTATGAAAATGGATTCTCACTGAAACGAGCTTTGATGTTTTGCAGGACGTCCGATCCTTTGCTTCAGGAGTCTTTCCCAAAAGTGAATCCCTCATTCCCACGGAGCAGATGGGAATGCCACTAAGCTTGGTTTCCAACTGAGAGCATTCAGACTAAAAACAAACACAAATGAGTGCAAGATCTGAGTGTGAGGGGTAGTCATGAAACAGTGGAACTCACAGAATCCTGTCCAGAGAGTTCATCAGGGATACTGAGCACTTCAAATCCAGGAAGGATGATTGGCATCTTCGGCTTTAGCTGGCTCAGGATATGCCTGTAACAGTGACAGATGAGCATCTCCCACTGAACTAGAAAAACTAATTGGTAAAAGCAGTAGCCTCACCTCAGCTCCTCCGGGTAAACGAGGCTGACAGAGTTGGCGAAGGATGAGTTCCAGAAATGTGTAACAGTGGTTCTAATGTGCTTGTTTTTGTGTGAGAAAAGCTCACAGAGCAGAGGGCACAGAAGATCCAGCAGCTCTGAGTTAAAGGTCAGAGTGGAGCGAGACTGCAAACAGCTCAGGACCTCAGACAGAAGCTTCTCCAACTGCAAACAGCAAAACTTTACAATCTGCTTCACCAAGAAAACTGAAAACAATGTTACTGAATATGAAACTTACTCTGGTCACAAACTGGGAGGTGAGTTTGACGGGTTCAGCGCCGGCCTGTTTGTACAGCTCTGTGAGAGGCGGGACCACAGCGGTCAGCAGCTCGTGCACAGAGTTGGGCAGGAGCAGGTTATTAAACAGACTGGACAGAATGGAGACGAGGGCTGCTCCTGTGGCCTCGGACGGGTCGCTTTCTTCCAAAAACATGTTAAAACACTGAACCACCAGAGACTGGAACGTGCAAAGGTTCCCCATAACCTTGTTTCTCTTTTTCATCCAATTCACAGGAGTGTGTGGAGCTGAAGAAACAAAAACAACGCAAAAGATCAAAAAATGTAATGTAATTTAACTAGGCCTTTCACTTTTTCAATGTTGATGGTACTGGTAGTAGTTGAAAATACTGAAACTACTCAATGCCACTGATAATAACAACAGAATAGATTAAAGCATGTTTTATGATTTGTCCATTTCATTAATTAGCATGTGATGAATTAAGTCATTATATTCAGTCATTTAGCCAAAACCTCAACTAGCTAAAAACTCCACTTTATAGTCTGAACCTTTTCTTTGCCAAATATTGAGGCAAAATATATGGTTTAATCTCTTAGTGAATAATAAGTTGATATTGTAGTTATCGCAATGTGGGAACTTACACTTAATCTTCTGCTGGAAATGAGGGCTGTAGGGAGTGAAGTCCACACTCTCTACCATCACTTGAAGAATATTTGAAGTCATGTTTAACGTCGAGGGAACCTGACACAGACAGAATGTAAATCTTTCACTTTCATCACCACAGACCGATGACCTCCACCCACTCACCGCCAGAGCGTCCTTGTTCAATGCAGCGGCCATCTTGGTACAGAGCTCTTCACAGCAGATGTTTTCTTCTGCAGTTACCACCAGAGAAGAACAACGGGCAAAGACCTTGTACAGCTTGGACCATATGGACAACATTGACTTTTGTGAGGCCTGGACAAGTGACAAAAACAGTCAGTTCAGATGAAATGCTCTTGTTATCAATAACTGGTCAGACCTGTTGGAGAGGGGCGCCAGGTAAGAGGTGCGTGACTGGAAACATCAGGGCAGAGTACATGGCATTGAAGTTGTGCTCCAAAGCGTCCCCTTGGTTCACCTCGTTGGACTGAAAAAGAAAATTTAAATTAAAATAAGCTCCAAAGCATGAGGAAATTTGGCAAAGATCAGAATAATGGTTTACCTGCGTGACCGTGTCTGTCAAAGAGCTCACTACCACACTCCACATCTTCCACAGCTGCTCCTTGTTCTGAACAGTCCCCGAGCTTCGTTTGATGGCGCTCAACACGGCCTCCCCAAACGCCAGAGGAGACGTGGGCCCTGAAAGTCCACAGCTCACCAGAGTCTGCAGGCACTGTGCAAACCTACACACATTTCATTTTAATAACCACACATTTCTGCTTTTGTAGATTGTAAAGCAGCAGCTCACCTCTGGTCCTCCACATACGCAGCCAACATGCTGCTGTCATAGAGCAGCTGGATCAGGAACAGAGCTGGAGTCCCCTGGAACAGAACCAAGACGAGGATCATGCATTACGGTCATCATGGGGGTTTCAAACAAGCATTACGCAGAGGACACTCACATTTAACACATCCATCTTTCCCACTTGGTACGAGGCGGAGCCCAGAACTCGAGGAGGAATGCCTTTTACTGTCGCTTCAATCAAAAACTGAAAATACATATCGTTTTTAAAAAAAAAGGTAAGTAACCAAATAAACAGTGGAATCTTCAGCAGCTTACCAGAACTCTGTTGGCGGGTAAAGCTTCGGACATGACAATGCTCTGAAGCGCCTGCAGAGTCAGGGTGAGCGCTTCACTGCCCTGCCGATCCTTTTTACAACCAACTAAAGAAAAGTTCTCACGTTATAATTTAGAACTAATATAAATATTCTAATGTATAACAGGAGATGAGCATCACTGGGGACAGACCCCTCAGACTGGTAAATCTTCACTGAGTCCATAAAAGAACTCTCTGACTTAAACTGATGAAAATGCTAGTGGGCTGCACATCAGACAAAGACATGGTCTGTTGGTCTTCATCTCAGAGGAGCCCAATGAGAACTCTATGTGACGCTGCCAGGCAGGACTCAAGAGCTTTTAAAGCCTACACCAACAGCAGCAGTCACAAACAGCATCAACACAAAAGTAATAAAGTCATTGATTTATCCAGATACAAGTTTGTAGATACTGTGGGTAACATACCTACAGTAGCATAGTTATCATGTGTTTTCAAATGGACATGGTAAAGACTCACCTGATTCAATAGATAAATTGACAAACTGAATAAGACTTGTCCATAAAAGCACAAGAAGAGGTTCTGTGGGAAAAAGATTATAAAGTGTTTATTGAGAGAGCTGCAGTCACCAATGGACCAGAGTTTGTGTTAGTAAAGTAAAGTTACCTGGGGCATCTTTGCCGATCCCAATAACTCCATCTCTGACACATGTGATGAGCAGAGCAGCATGTTTAGTGAAAGAAGAAATGCCAGAAAGAAACGGGTGCTGCAGTGTCTCTGGAGGGAAAACGTCACTTCAGTTTAGAGTTGCCATAGTAATAATATTTCCTGCGACGCATTTGGCCTCGTACCAAGGTTAAGATGGAGCTTGGTCTTTCCTGCTGCAGCTACAACCTCTGGGCCCATGAAATAGTGCAGGAGCATCTCCAGCCCCAGGAGTTGGATGGAGGGGAAGCTGGAGGAAGTGCAAATGCTGGAGGTTGAGAGGTTCATCCGAGGAGTGCCTATTGTTGCGTTGAGCGCTGATGAAGCTGCTGTGAACAGGACAGAACCTCAGACACAGATTCATTTGTCATTATTAAAACAAAGGATAAAAGTACAAACCAGTCTTAGGAGTTCCAGGTGGATGAACCCCATTTGGAATTCCACTTCTGGATGGAGTACCAGGGACTGAGGCCTCACAGCCAAGGGTGCTTTGGAGCAGAGGAACTGAAACCTACGCACAGCCGACAATTAGACTGTGCAACAAGCAGAAGACTGAGACTGATAAGGATTCCACATCAATGTTATTTGTTAGAAGCAGTTGTGACAAACTTTGACATACTGTACAGACCATACATTTAATCTTCTGTTGGAATCAACAAGTTAATGTTCTGGTTATGTTATACTTTATTCTACCTGTTGGGTAAATCGTAGGACATTTTATCTACCTAGTACACATATTTAAATAACAGCTATAGTTATTTATCCCCAATGATCAAACCACGTTCATACAAAACAGACAGGGTTTACAAAGACACACTAACAGAGCAGAATACAGGACTAACCACATCAAAGTTTGGAGCCAGGTTTGGACCCAGCTTCACCACCAGGTACCACCAGACCTCCACCTTAGTCAGAAGCAGCGGCTCCGTCCTGACATTGATGGACGAGAGCGGCTGCATCAGGAGCTTCATACGTTTAGAACTGCACAGAATGTCTAACGTTGAAGAGAAAAACACTTTAGAAAACACAGAAACAGTTGAAAGTAAAGAAATAAAAAGAAAAGTCTCAAACCTGGATTAAGAGCGAAGTTGTCGATCAAACTCTTCCAGGCGAGAAAGGCAATTTTCTTGATAGTCGGAGACGAGTTACGGAAGCCAAGCTCTTCCAAATGCAGTAAGGAGTTGATAAATGGACCTCCTTTGTGCAAAAGCTGAAAACACGACACGGTTTTTAAACTACTCCAATCACCTCCCTGTAAAGAGTATTTCTTTACCTTTCCGAGTAATCGAACAAACAAAGGCCAGAGTTTTAGCACATTCGTTTCATTCTTGGTCTTAAAAAGCTTCTGCATTTCAGGGATCAATTTCTGTGGAAAAATATAATGAATGTAAACAATTTCCCCACCGCTGTCAGACTGTACAATAAGTCACTTTAAGCACTTTATGCACTAGGACTGAAATAACTGATGCTATTTCCACATTTTATTGTACAAAATTATATCCTGCACAGACTATATATGTTTCACACTTCTGTCTTTTGCACAATCCGCTCTCTATGGAGAGATACAAATGCCCACAACTGTAAACCGCTTTGTGACTCCTACATAAATAAACATAACTTAAAATCTGAGTGATTCTACAGTGCCTTGCGAAAGTATTCGGCCCCCTTGAACCTTTCAACATTTCGCCACATTTCAGGCTTCAAACATAAAGATATAAAAATTTAAATTTTTTGTCATGAATCAACAACAAGTGGGACACAATCGTGAAGTGGAACAAAATTTATTGGATAATTTAAACTTTTTTAACAAATAAAAAACTGAAAAGTGGGGCGTGCAATATTATTGGGCCCCTTTACTTTCAGTGCAGCAAACTCAGTCCAGAAGTTCAGTGAGGATCTTTGAATGATCCAATGTTGTCCTAAATGACTGATGATGATAAATAGAATGCACCTGTGTGTAATCAAGTCTCCGTATAAATGCACCTGCTCTTTGATAGTCTCAGGGTTCTGTTTAAAGCACAGAGAGAACCATGAAGACAAAGGAACACACCAGGCAGGTCCGAGATACTGTTGTGGAGAAGTTTAAAGCCGGATTTGGATACAAAAAGATTTCCCAAGCTTTAAACATCTCAAGGAGCACTGTGCAAGCAATTATATTGAAATGGAAGGAGTATCAAACCACTGCAAATCTACCAAGACCCGGCCGTTCCTCCAAACTTTCATCTCAAACAAGGAGAAGACTGATCAGAGATGCAGCCAAGAGGCCCATGATCACTCTGGATGAACTGCAGATAACTACAGCTGAGGTGGGAGAGTCTGTCCATAGGACAACAATCAGTCGTGCACTGCACAAATCTGGCCTTTATGGAAGAGTGGCAAGAAGAAAGCCATTTCTCAAAGATATCCATAAAAAGTCTGGTTTAAAGTTTGCCACAAGCCACCTGGGAGACACACCAAACATGTGGAAGAAGGTGCTCTGGTCAGATGAAACCAAAATCACACTTTTTGGCCACAATGCAAAACGATATGTTTGGCGTAAAAGCAACACAGCTCATCACCCTGAACACACCATCCCCACTGTCAAACATGGGGGTGGCAGCATCATGCTTTGGGCCTGCTTTTCTTCAGCAGGGACAGGGAAGATGGCTAAAATTGATGGGAAGATGGATGGAGCCAAATACAGGACCATTCTGGAAGAAAACCTGTTGGAGTCTGCAAAAGACCTGAGACTGGGACGGAGATTTATCTTCCAACAGGACAATGATCCAAAACATAAAGCCAAATCTACAATGGAATGGTTCACAAATAGACGTATCCAGGTGTTAGAATGGCCAAGTCAAAGTCCAGACCTGAATCCAATCGAGAATCTGTGGAAAGAGCTGAAGACTGCTGTTCACAAACGCTCTCCATCCAACCTCACTGAGCTCCAGCTGTTTTGCAAGGAAGAATGGGCAAGAATTCCAGTCTCTCGATGTGCAAAACTGATAGAGACATACCCCAAGCGACTTGCAGAATAATATTGCACGCCCCACTTCAGTTTTTAAATTTGTTAAAAAGGTTTAAATTATCCAATAAATTTTGTTCCACTTCACGATTGTGTCGCACTTGTTGATTCTTGAAAAAAAATATTTTTTATATCTTTATGTTTGAAGCCTGAAATGTGGCGAAATGTTGAAAGGTTCAAGGGGGCCGAATACTTTCGCAAGGCACTGTATCTGTGCCAAATGTGACATGTACATTTCTCCATCAGAGATCAATAAAGTCTGTCTTATCTTAGGTCATAGTTTCAGTGCAATCAACAGGACAGCATGATTCTTTTCTTACCGAGCACATGAGTGGTTCAATGATAGCTGCGACTTGTGTCTGTTTGTCCATCAGCAGAGGCATGCCCATCTCCAGGGCGGCTGCGGCTCTCAGACGCACTTTTGGGGCCGAATGCACGACCAGAGGGATGATCAGCTTGGCCCACTGCACGGCCCCTTCTCCCATCTCTGCGGGCACCTGCTCTAGCATCCTGTCAGGAAAAAACACAACTATTTAAAATCTATTAAAAAAACACAACAATATGGTTCTGTGTCCAGCTCACTGCACCTGATCACAACACTCAGGGCTTCATGCTCCATCACCACAGACTGGACGTCCGCTCTGCTCCACACACTCTCCAATGCTGCTAGGATCAAAGGCACCTGCACAAAAACATTCTACAGGTAAAACACAAAGCTACAATTCTACAGGTAAAACAGAGAAACTAATGAACAAGTTCAGTGGGACGGACTCTCACACACTCACACACTCTCACACTCACGTACTTTTGCTGCTACTACTTTTGAAGGGAAGTTCTGTTTGGAGATGACCCAAAGTGCCCGAGTGCATGTGTTCTTATCCGTCGACTTCACCACTAATGAGCAAAGTGCTGAGAGTATTTCATCTGTTAAGGATTCTAGAAAGAAAAACACTGTCAATTAGTGTTCTTTTTACACTTAGAAGAAGTACATGTCGTTTAAAAACAGCACCTGCTGCTCCCGAGACCACGTTGGAATGATACACACAGAAGCCCAGAGCTTGAAGGGCGGCTTGGCTTAGCTCCACATGTGTACAAGTTATATGACTCTTTAATCAAACAAAACAATATAAATATACCAGCCCGACTGTGCAAGAAAAAGGTTTATATAAAATGTTAATCTTACCAAAATAATTTTACCCAAACGGGAAAAGTGCTTTTCAACTGCAGGCAGAAACTGGCGCCCTTCATCGCCGCTTAATCGACTAAACAAAGACGACAGTTGAAACACTTTGAACGTTTGTGGTAATCATTTGTAACGTCAGTGTGTGGCGTACTTGGCGATGGTGAGGTAGGCATCGGTCTGACTGGACTGTCCCGCTGCACTGTCCTCCAGAGATTCAAGCAGAGGCAGGAGGCTGGAATGACCTGGAGGTCCAGCTGATGCCATCATTATGACCGAGCTGCTCAAGCCCTGAACAAAAAATACATTCATTTTTTTGGATTGTAACAAAAGCATGAAAGAGCAATTATGATCATAAACTCGGATTTCCACGACATGAATGCAGTATGTAAAAAATAACATGCCATGTGCGGTTATATGAAGTGTGTTAAGGAAATGTGAGCGGTTTTAAAACCTAGATTGTAGAGCACGATCAGCATAAGGTGTGTTGCCATTCACCCATGAGTAAAGAGTAGTTGTTAGGACGTATTACTTAAACTGTAGCTCTTCTACAAAGTGAAATGAAGTGAATAAAGAAGCCAGTCCAAGGGTCAGGATAACACCTGTGGCCCTGACACAGGCTAATGATATTAACGATCATAATGGTCTACTAGTCCACTTGTGGCTGAACTGTGAGCTGTTGGACTTTGATAAAGCTGACGTTATAAGAAGCATAACATATGCATGTGTCAGCGTGGGGCAAACAGGGTAAAGAGCTGCATGGTGCTTAGCACTGCTTAGCTAACCAGGCTCTGGCTTCACCCCCAACACATCTACAGCTGTCTTTAACCTCTACATATGACGTGGTGACATGACTCTTTGGACCAGGCTGTAGTTAAACAGCAGACAACAGTCCAGGCCGATGGTGGTACTTACAGGAGCTGTTTACAGAACACAACATGCGCCACGGCAGCCACCGCTGGTGCTAAGCTCTCCCACAGCCACAGCTGCCCTCATGTAAGCTAACCATGGATCTATAATAATAAGAAGCTAACACAGCCGTGACTCTGCAGAATGTCCTACTGTGATGCTAACCCCGCGTTATTCTGAAGAATCGACTCCTGCTGTTGTTCTCACACAAATGTTGCTCCCGCGAAACCTCTGGCGCCAAAGCAGAACGTAGACCTCTGACGTAGAGCTGACGTAGAGGTACGTAGCTTCCTCTGACCCCGTGCGTCACTACAGCCCGCCCACTTTACCTTATATGGCAATCAGACAAACTCTGCTTTTTCTCTTTTCTATGGATCTATTAAAGCTCTGTTCTCTGGTTTATTCCACTCGATAGTGATCCTCAGGCTTAACACTTTATAAAACAAACAATATCCTGTTCAAGTGATTGGCTGCAGTCTGTCAGAGACACTCCTCCCCCTTCCTTTCTGATTGGTCTACGCCTACGTTTCCGTAAAGCCTCGCGTACATCGACAGAGAAACTGGAGACAACTAGTTGAAGGCGGCTTTTGGCGACTGAGAGGAGACGATGGAGATGATCAGTCGGTCTCCAGTTTCAGTCAGTTGCCCGTGTTCTACTTACTTAGTTGTCCTCAGTTTCGGAGATATGACCCGATGTGCGCGCTCCATGCGCCGCTCCGACAACGTGTGTGTATAGCGCCCTCTACAGTTTATGTCAGAAAACACACTGTGGTTGAGGCCAGTTGCTGTCGATGTACGCGCTGTTATTCCCGAGACTGGCCTGATGCAGGAGTTGCCCGTTTTCGTCAGATTGTGGATGTGTGCGGGGCAGCAACTCATATGCGACGGATATAATCAGTTGCCAGTCCGATGTACGCTAGGCTTAACAATCAGAGAACACATTATACATATACATCATTAATACACATGCACGGAGGTTTTCAGAATTATTTGTTTACGTTTTAATGAAAAAATAGTGTTTTAATGCACAAAAAAACGATCGCAGCAAACCCGGAAGTAGCTATTTTCATTATAGGACACATCTGCAGAGGATCTGATTATGGATATAGGTTCATATATAAATGATTATGGATATAGGTTCATATATAAATGATTATGGATATAGGTTCATATATAAATGATTATGGATATAGGTTCATATATAAATGATTATGGATATAGGTTCATATATAAATGATTATGGATATAGGTTCAGTATATAAATGATTATGGATATAGGTTCATATATAAATGATGATGATTGACAGCTCTTGGCATGACTCGATTGGTTAACCTCGACGGCACCGTGGATTCTGAACTATAGCTAAGAGAAGGGAAGGCGGGACTTACCGTAATATAAGAATTAATAAAATGACTTATTTTATATCAACATTTAAGGCCAGGAGGTCAATTTAATACAATTATTAAATTTGTAATTAATTTAGAGTTACAGACTCTAAATGAATTTTTCACTTTAAACATGGAATCTTTGCTGTGGACTGAGATGAGGAAGACGCCAGAATGACATTGATAATATTTGCACAAAATGTATATTTAGTTGTTGAGGTAAATTACTTTAATGCTAGTTCTACATTCTATTGAAGGAAGTGGTGCCATGTGACTTCGGTGGCATCTCTGATTAAAAATGGATTAAAGGAAATGAATGGATGAATAGTTCTTTATTCCATCTTTTTATTTTATTGATGCGTTCATAACAAGCATAAGACACACTGCTGCACTGACTCTGTGTTAAACAGTTGAATATCTCAAAAGTTCACTTGTTTTTAGATTGGTTCATTATTGGCTGATTTTTTGCTGAGATTTCCGTCTGCAAAATCTCTGACTCAAAATATATATTTATTATTTATCATAGAGACATATAACAATGTTAATGTATGTTTTATGCAGAGATAACACTTAACTAATAACCAAAGCACTACTATGTTAAACATATCGATGCCGAATACAAGAGTGAAATAAACAAAACACATGTCTTTTCCAGGTTTGTTTATTAGTTCAAAACTCTGCACACTTCTATTCCTGTCTTCTGTGGTACATATAATGTGCAGTATAAATATGACAAAGTAACCTCAAAAACAATCACTTAAAATAATCTGTGTTTTGTGAAATAGTGGATGTGTTCACGGCTTTGTACTGGAGCTGAAAACCTCCTGCAGTGACTGAAGCGTCGGACAAAAACTTTAATGTCATAACGTTTCCTGAAGATACAAAGAAAGGAGCAAACATCACAATTAGGTCAATGATCAAAGTAAACAGTTGTATCCTCAGAAAGTAGCAGTTTAAAGTATTATCGGCAGAATCAACATTTGATCAATGATGGAAAGATGAGACTCACCGGAGCTTGTGATGTCAGTCGGTAAATAATCACCACAGAATCTGAAAGAACAGAAGGTTCAGGTTCAAGTGCATTTGAAGAATTATTATTATGTGAATTAAGAATGTGTGTTCGAAGATATTTACACTTATTGCTACTTTTAACACATTCAAGGAAAGTGGCTCAACATGAGATAAAAGTGAGATCGTCCCCAAAAGTGAAAGTATTTAATAACCAGTGACTTGATCACACTTCCACAAAACTAAAACTACAAAGAAAATGTGTGAAAGATGAACATCGAGCTCCCAAACATAATGTTCCATGTTGTTAAGATTATTGTGTGTCCTCTGCATTAGAGCTGTTCTTTAAGAGCTTTGGGGAAACCAGGAGCCAGAGCCAGGAGCTGGGGGCTCAGGAGCCCAGGAGCCCAGGAGCCAGGAGCTGGGGGCTCAGGAGCCCAGGAGCCCAGGAGCCCAGGAGCCAGAGCCAGGAGCTGGGGGCTCAGGAGCCCAGGAGCCCAGGAGCCAGAGCCAGGAGCTGGGGGCTCAGGAGCCCAGGAGCCCAGGAGCCAGAGCCAGGAGCTGGGGGCTCAGAAGCCCAGGAGCCCAGGAGCCAGAGCCAGGAGCTGGGGGCTCAGGAGCCCAGGAGCCCAGGAGCCAGAGCCAGGAGCTGGGGGCTCAGGTGCCCAGGAGCCCAGGAGCAGGAGCCAGGAGCTGGGGGGCTCAGGAGCCCAGGAGCCCAGGTGCCCAGGAGCCCAGGAGCCAGAGCCAGGAGCTGGGGGCTCAGGAGCCCAGGAGCCTAGGAGCCAGAGCCAGGAGCTGGGGGCTCAGGAGCCCAGGAGCCCAGGAGCCAGAGCCAGGAGCTAGGGGCTCAGGAGCCCAGGAGCCCAGGTGCCCAGGAGCCCAGGAGCCAGAGCCAGGAGCTAGGGGCTCAGGAGCCCAGGAGCCCAGGAGCCCAGGAGCCCAGGAGCCAGAGCCAGGAGCTAGGGGCTCAGGAGCCCAGGAGCCCAGGTGCCCAGGAGCCCAGGAGCCAGAGCCAGGAGCTAGGGGCTCAGGAGCCCAGGATCCCAGGAGCCAGAGCCAGGAGCTGGGGGCTCAGGAGCCCAGGAGCCCAGGAGCCAGAGCCAGGAGCCCAGGAGCCAAGGAGCCAGAGCCAGGAGCCCAGGAGCCAGAGCCAGGAGCCCAGGAGCCCAGGAGCCAGAGCCAGGAGCTGGGGGCTCAGGAGCCCAGGAGCCCAGGAGCCAGAGCCAGGAGCCCAGGAGCCAGAGCCAGGAGCCCAGGAGCCAGAGCCAGGAGCCCAGGAGCCCAGGAGCCAGAGCCAGGAGCTTATCATTGGCTTGGTCAGGATCGGTGACGCTGGAGAGGATTTTACCCATGGAGCATGTTTTGATGGCAGAAGCTGGAGCACCCGGAGCACCCGGAGGAACCCATACGTTGCACATAGTTGTTTCGTCAGACATTACTCTTTTGGACTCTGACCTTCCAACAAACCCCGTCACGTCGTCGTAGCTGTCGTAGACCTCCAGATAATCAGCCAGACAGTCAGTGTCATCCTCCACGTCGAACTCCAGGAAGTGCAGCCGGACCCTCTGCCCCAGACGGACTCGGATGTGCCAATAACAGATCTGTTCATCCTGGTACTCTGCGGGGAAGCCGGGGGTCTGCAGGACCCGCTCCGGCTCCGTCAGGACCCCCCCACACTCCTTAGCTGCAGAGAGGGAAGAAGGATTTACTAAACTGCTGATGGACTTTGGGAAATAAGGTGTTATGGTGTTGCTCTCCAGGTTTACAGAGAAGAGCTTTATACTTATTTTTACTAACTTTCAAACCACAAAAACTAACTTTCAGCTTTTAGATCAGAAAACCAAAGTGACTAAAAAAAAGATCTCAGCCCAAAAAATCAAATAATCACTCAGAAAGTTCATTTTCTGGTCTGACTTGATCACAACTCACAATATATTACTTTTACAAAACAACGTTCATTATTCATGACAAAGTTAGGTAGCTCAGCTTTAAGTCTCAACTCTTACTTTTACTTTGGTGAATATTTCTGTGTTGTCTTTTCAAACTCTCAAGTGGTCGTTTCTCTGCCCTCTACTTCACAGATGTACTCGAGTCACAGAAGTTACAGTTACTTTACAGCTGTGTACAGTCATGTTCTGGAAGATGGTCCAAAGGAGACCAAGGGAACGTTCTGGAACTACGCAGAAGTGATTTAGGCTCAAAGAAAGAGAACTTTGTTATGAACAAATAAGACACAGATGTTGAAACAAACAACAGCTCAGGAGCCGCCGGGAGGCAGACACTGTACTGCAGAGGAATACTTCATGTACTGCAGAGGAATACTTCATGTACTGCAGAGGAATACTTCATGTACTGCAGAGAAATACTTCATGTACTGCAGAGGAATACTTCATGTACTGCAGAGGAATACTTCATGTACTGCAGAGGAATACTTCATGTACTGCAGAGGAATACTTCATGTACTGCAGAGGAATACTTCATGTACTGCAGAGGAATACTTCATGTACTGCAGAGGAATACTTCATGTACTGCAGAGGAATACTTCATGTACTGCAGAGGAATACTTCATGTACTGCAGAGGAATACTTCATGTACTGCAGAGGAATACTTCATGTACTGCAGAGGAATACTTCATGTACTGCAGAGGAATACTTCATGTACTGCAGAGGAATACTTCATGTACTGCAGAGGAATACTTCATGTACTGCAGAGGAATACTTCATGTACTGCAGAGGAATACTTCATGTACTGCAGAGGAATACTTCATGTACTGCAGAGGAATACTTCATGTACTGCAGAGGAATACTTCATGTACTGCAGAGGAATACTTCATGTACTGCAGAGGAATACTTCATGTACTGCAGAGGAATACTTCATGTACTGCAGAGGAATACTTCATGTACTGCAGAGGAATACTTCATGTACTGCAGAGGAATACTTCATGTACTGCAGAGGAATACTTCATGTACTGCAGAGGAATACTTCATGTACTGCAGAGGAATACTTCATGTACTGCAGAGGAATACTTCATGTACTGCAGAGGAATACTTCATGTACTGCAGAGGAATACTTCATGTACTGCAGAGGAATACTTCATGTACTGCAGAGGAATACTTCATGTACTGCAGAGGAATACTTCATGTACTGCAGAGGAATACTTCATGTACTGCAGAGGAATACTTCATGTACTGCAGAGGAATACTTCATGTACTGCAGAGGAATACTTCATGTACTGCAGAGGAATACTTCATGTACTGCAGAGGAATACTTCATGTACTGCAGAGGAATACTTCATGTACTGCAGAGGAATACTTCATGTACTGCAGAGGAATACTTCATGTACTGCAGAGGAATACTTCATGTACTGCAGAGGAATACTTCATGTACTGCAGAGGAATACTTCATGTACTGCAGAGGAATACTTCATGTACTGCAGAGGAATACTTCATGTACTGCAGAGGAATACTTCATGTACTGCAGAGGAATACTTCATGTACTGCAGAGGAATACTTCATGTACTGCAGAGGAATACTTCATGTACTGCAGAGGAATACTTCATGTACTGCAGAGGAATACTTCATGTACTGCAGAGGTGACACTGGGGTCTTACTGAAGAGGACTTACTCTGATTCTACAGAACCATTTGTGAAAGTGTCTCTCCTGAAGCTTCTGTTTAGACTCCTCTGAGGAGGAGCTGAAACAGACCAGGACCACCCGGGACCACCCGGGACCACCCGGGACCACCCGGGACCACCCGGGGCCACCCGGGGCCACCCAGGGCCACCTTGTCTCTGTCTTATCCTGTTCCACACACATCCTGCTCTTGTCCTATTTTTGGGAACTCCAAGATACAGAACAAAGAAAGACTGGGATTTATAAACAGTTCTTTCCATATTATATAATTACTAAAAAAGTTCTCATTTGCACCAAAGTAAAAGTAGTACAACCTATGAATGCCTAAAGTTACTATTTATCACAGGTGTCGAGTAACTAAGTAAATCCTAAAGTACTGTATTTACTTATTGTCTCAAATTAAATAAAACAAAATTCATAGAAATGGAGATACTTTTGAGGAAGGCAACGATTTCAGTTCTTTAACAGCTAAGTCCTTGAGACTCAATAGTATCTGTAATTATGGTAGTAATAGTAATAGTAATAAAGTATTGGGGAAAGTAAACGAAAGCCTCTCACCGCTCGGGTTGTAGCAGAACACGTCCCATTTCTCGCTCTTGTTGAGTCTGTATCCGTAGTCGATGATCCCGATCCTCCCAAAGCCACAGTTTGCTCCAGCTTTGACGATTGGATATCCCACTCTGCCTTTATCGAACCACCCGGCCGAGCACACGTGGAAACCTGGACCAGACACACCTGTCGTTTATGACCCACTACAAAGTGCAGAGGACCCACTACAAAGTGCAGAGGACCCACTACAAAGTGCAGATGACCCACTACAAAGTGCAGAGGACCCACTACAAAGTGCAGAGGACCCACTACAAAGTGTAGAGGACCCACTACAAAGTGCAGATGACCCACTACAAAGTGCAGAGGACCCACTACAAAGTGCAGAGGACCCACTACAAAGTGCAGATGACCCACTACAAAGTGCAGAGGACCCACTACAAAGTGCAGAGGACCCACTACAAAGTGCAGAGGACCCACTACAAAGTGCAGAGGACCCACTACAAAGTGCAGATGACCCACTACAAAGTGCAGAGGACCCACTACAAAGTGCAGAGGACCCACTACAAAGTGCAGAGGACCCACTACAAAGTGCAGAGGACCCACTACAAAGTGCAGAGGACCCACTACAAAGTGCAGAGGACCCACTACAAAGTGTAGAGGACCCACTACAAAGTGCAGATGACCCACTACAAAGTGCAGAGGACCCACTACAAAGTGCAGAGGACCCACTACAAAGTGCAGATGACCCACTACAAAGTGCAGAGGACCCACTACAAAGTGCAGAGGACCCACTACAAAGTGCAGAGGACCCACTACAAAGTGCAGAGGACCCACTACAAAGTGCAGATGACCCACTACAAAGTGCAGAGGACCCACTACAAAGTGCAGAGGACCCACTACAAAGTGCAGAGGACCCACTACAAAGTGCAGATGACCCACTACAAAGTGCAGAGGACCCACTACAAAGTGCAGAGGACCCACTACAAAGTGCAGATGACCCAGCCCCTTTTACAGTCTGTTTCACTCTGACCTTTGACCTTGGAGCATTCCACGCCTCCACAGATGTGTTCATTACAGACAGATGTCACAGAAATAATGTTAGGTCCAGATATAATCTGTAAATGTCAGATTAGGTGCAGATATAATCTGTAAATGTTAGGTCCAGATATAATCTGTAAATGATAAATCCAGATATAATCTGTAAATGTCAGATTAGGTGCAGATATAATCTGTAAATGTCAGATTAGGGGCAGATATAATCTGTAAATGTTAGGTCCAGATATAATCTGTAAATGATAAATCCAGATATAATCTGTAAATGTCAGATTAGGTGCAGATATAATCTGTAAATGTCAGATTAGGGGCAGATATAATCTGTAATTGTCAGATTAGGGGCAGATATAATCTGTAAATGTCAGATTAGGGGCAGATATAATCTGTAAATGTTAGATTAGGTGCAGATATAATCTGTAAATGTCAGATTAGGTGCAGATATAATCTGTAAATGTCAGATTAGGTGCAGATATAATCTGTAAATGTCAGATTAGGTGCAGATATGATCTGTAAATGTCAGATTAGGGGCAGATATAATCTGTAAATGTTAGATTAGGTGCAGATATAATCTGTAAATGTCAGATTAGGTCCAGATATAATCTGTAAATGTCATATTAGGTGCAGATATAATCTGTAAATGTCAGATTAGGTCCAGATATAATCTGTAAATGTCAGATTAGGTGCAGATATGATCTGTAAATGTCAGATTAGGTGCAGATATAATCTGTAAATGTCAGATTAGGTGCAGATATAATCTGTAAATGTCAGATTAGGTGCAGATATGATCTGTAAATGTCAGATTAGGGGCAGATATAATCTGTAAATGTTAGATTAGGTGCAGATATAATCTGTAAATGTCAGATTAGGTCCAGATATAATCTGTAAATGTCATATTAGGTGCAGATATAATCTGTAAATGTCAGATTAGGTCCAGATATAATCTGTAAATGTCATATTAGGTGCAGATATAATCTGTAAATGTCAGATTAGGGGCAGATATAATCTGTAAATGTCAGATTAGGGGCAGATATAATTTGTAAATGTCAGATTAGGGGCAGACCTATCTTCCGCGCTGCTTCCAGCTGGTCGTACGTGGCCAGGGCCCCGCCCTCATACTTGCAGACAGCGATGGCTTCTTTATACGTCAGCTGGTATCTGCCTTTGCGTGACTCTCGATGGTAGACACCAGCTGCCTGCTCTGTGCAGACACAGACAAGTACCATGTGTCTATAAACATACAGTCAAAGTACCATGTGTCTATAAACATACAGTCAAAGTACCATGTGACTATAAACATACAGTCAAAGTACCATGTGACTATAAACATACAGTCAAAGTACCATGTGACTATAAACATACAGTCAAATTACCATGTGACTATAAACATACAGTCAAATACTATGTGTCTATAAACATACAGTCAAAGTACCATCTGTGCACTCTGTCTACAGTAGGACCATGTACAGGATGCTTGTGCCTGTGTATGGTCCTACAGACAGAGGGGGTTAGAGCTGAGAGAAGAAGACACATGGTCACGACTGAGACTGGGAGACTGATGGTGTCACCATAGACCAGTTTAGGAAACTGTCCGGCACATAAGGACATTATGATCGTTTACTTGTGTTAAATAGGAGCTAAGGTAGAAGAACACAACACTGTTCACTGCAGTGAGCTCATGCACCATGTGGAAGGGAAGTCTCCATCTTTATTGGCCGCACAGATGGTCATAGGTTCTAAACATGTTTGGCTCGAAGCAAAGCTGAACCGTAAAAACCCAAACTTACAAATGAAATGAACAGAGAAAGTTTGAAGTTTTAGCGTCTAACAGAAAAATGCTTTTCCTCAATCAGCAAAAGAGACAGACTCACCCAACCAGATGGAGTTGTGGAAGACGCCGTTGCGGTAGCCCCAGGTGTGGACCTCCGAGAGCAGCAGAGCCAGGGTCCAGACCAGAGTCCAGACCGGAGTCCAGACCTTCATGGTGCAGTCTGGAGACAGCTGTGATCTGCACATGTGTCAGAGCTGCTGCTTATACTGACCCCCCCCCCCCCCCCCCCCCCACCCAGAGGAGAGGAGGGGTGACTACTGAGACCCCCCCCCCAGACTAGAGGAGGGGTGACTACAGACCCCCCAGAGGAGAGGAGGAGTGACTACTTTTTAATTTTAGGCTTTTTATTTGGACCATAGGATCTTTCCGTCAGAGGTCAAACCAACATTCATTCCAAAAGAAAGGTTCTGAGATGAAAAGAAAAATGGAGAATATTCATGTTTTACCGTTTGAACCTTCCTACCTCTGAGCTCACTCTGTTCCCACACAGACCACACGGAGCTGCATTTCCCAACAGTCTGTTACTGTCCAGATCCAAACAAGGGCTTCCAGATGTCTCCACCCCCCAGGTCTCAGCGGAGACTCAACCCCCCAGGTCTCAGCGGAGACTCAACCCCCCCAGGTCTCAGCGGAGACTCAACCCCCCCAGGTCTCAGCGGAGACTCAACCCCCCCAGGTCTCAGCGGAGACTCAACCCCCCAGGTCCCAGCGCCAGGTCTCAGCAGAGACAAACAGGCCCCGTCCCAATTCTCACCCTTGCCCTTAGGTGTGAGTGCCCTCCCAGTGGGGAGTGCACTCACAACATTCTCCCACACCCCTGATACCAACAAGGATGAAGACCAACACTAAAACAAGCCTTTTCCAGCCTGAGAGAGGACAGAGGAGAGAGGACATAGGAGAGAGGACAGAGGACAGAGGACAGAGGACAGAGGAGAGAGGACAGAGGACAGAGGAGAGAGGACAGAGACTGTAGTGAGTTTCTTCAGAGGGACCTGTTCCTGAAACATGTTTCTGGTCGACTTCAGCAGAGACTGTTGTTTTTACAGTTACTGCGTCAGAGATGAACCTTTAATTCTGTTTTTACAGTTATAAATATATATATATAATTTAATGTATATATATATTGTGTGACAGATGAACCTTTAGTTCAATAAAAACTCACGTCTGCTGGAGACAAACCGTTTGTCCTTCTTTGATGATTCAGGAGAGTGCGGAAAGCTTCGGGCGTTGGTTCACCGTAAATATGTTAGTAAGAGATGAAACATTTACCACAGATGCCCACGATTCTGTGGTAAAAGTGTTTCAAAATCCAGCAGTGAACTTTCGTCATAAATGTGTCTGAAGAAAAGTAATGCATGACTCAAAAACATCCTTCACTCTCCTCATGCTCTGTGTGCCCACAATACAGAGGCACTACTGAACAACTGACAGGAAATGAAAACAGATTGAAATGTGGGATTAGGATTAGAATTAGAGTTAGTTACTTTTACAGTATTGTTCACACCCAGTGCTTCTCAAAATGGTGTCTGCCCAAAGCTTGTCCACATAACTCAATACAATATTGTATTGTACTTCACATAACTGCTTTTTAACATAAATTGTGTATTTGTCTGCATTGTTTATGTTTAGATATAAATATAGATACTTTATATACTGAAGTCCTTCAGCATAACAAAGGATTTCTGCTGAAAGCCTGATCCTGGCAGATGTTAGTCATCTGTGGGCATTTACCCTCTCTCTCCACACGGGGGCGGGGTCATACAGGAGCACATCTTACATTGTACATGTTTTAGTGGTAGGGGAAACCGGAGCACCCAGAGGAAAAACAGAACATGCAAACTCCACACAGAAAAGTCTGGGGCACAAGTGCTCACCACCGCGCCGCTGTCAGAAGATAAGCAGAGAGGAGGCTGGTTAGTACAGTGATGGGACCCCTCTGGATGGAAAACCCGGCACCACAGTGAGACAGCTGCAGTTTATCAGTGAGAGAATCATGAATATGACAGTATGAAACTGTGACGTCATAATACACCACTAGATGGCGCCATCGCTGTGTGTCTGTAAATCCAGGTTAAAAAAACACTTTGCTGTGGCATGGATGTTGTAAAATGCAATGGCCTGCAGGGGGCAGTGTTGTAGTGACTGTATTTAACCCTATGGACATAAACAGCGGTGTGAGGGCGTGAACCACATTCATATTACTATTCATTTGGCTCTTCAGGGACGTTTACATCAGAGCAGTGTAGGTTCGTCTCAACCACAGGCTGGGATCTGAACTCAACCACAGGCTGGGATCTGAACTCAACCACAGACTGGGCTCTGAACTCAACCACAGACTGGGATCTGAACTCAACCACAGGCTGGGATCTGAACTCAACCACAGACTGGGCTCTGAACTCAACCACAGACTGGGATCTGAACTCAACCACAGGCTGGGATCTGAACTCAACCACAGACTGGGATCTGAACTCAACCACAGGCTGGGATCTGAACTCAACCACAGACTGGGATCTGAACTCAACCACAGACTGGGATCTGAACTCAACCACAGGCTGGGATCTGAACTCAACCACAGACTGGGATCTGAACTCAACCACAGGCTGGGATCTGAACTCAACCACAGACTGGGATCTGAACTCAACCACAGACTGGGATCTGAACTCAACCACAGGCTGGGATCTGAACTCAACCACAGGCTGGGATCTGAACTCAACCACAGACTGGGATCTGAACTCAACCACAGACTGGGATCTGAACTCAACCACAGACTGGGATCTGAACCACAGGCTGGGATCTGAACTCAACCACAGGCTGGGATCTGAACTCAACCACAGACTGGGATCTGAACCACAGGCTGGGATCTGAACTCAAGTTTAAGGTTTAGTTAAGGCGCAGTGAGAGATGGACCAGACTCATCCCGGGTCATAGATCTATGATATCATGGGAGGAGCGGTGACCACTGAGACCCCCCAGAGGAGGAGGGTCAGAGGCAGAAGCTCAGTGACTTCTGGACAATGTGGTTTCACATGGATCATGGAGCCACAGAGAGGATAGCAGAGAGGTCAGAGGTCAGTGAGGGCTGAGGTAAGTAAGGTCAGAGAGGGCTGAGGTCAGAGGTCAGTGAGGGCTGAGGTCAGAGGTCAGTGAGGTCAGTGAGGGCTGAGGTCAGTGAGGGCTGAGGTCAGAGAGGGCTGAGGTCAGAGGTCAGTGAGGGCTGAGGTCAGTGAGGGCTGAGGTCAGAGAGGGCTGAGGTCAGAGGTCAGTGAGGTCAGTGAGGGCTGAGGTCAGAGGTCAGTGAGGTCAGTGAGGTCAGAGAGGGCTGAGGTCAGAGGTCAGTGAGGTCTTGCACAAACTATCTAAACTTGAACCATTTGACACAAAGAAGGTTTTATTGTGGCCTCTTCCATCTACACCTGCGGACTGCCCCGCCCGACCCGCCTGGGAGTGCTTCAGTCCTGCACCGGACCTGTCCACGTTCAGCGTCCACTGGTCCACGTTCTGTAGCTAGCTTAGGTCCTGGATCATTAGTCTGTCCGTCCGGAGGAGCGGATCCCTTTCTCATATGGGTCTCCCTCCCTGTGGGTTTCCCTAGTGCTCCCCAAGGTTTCTCACTTTTTCCCACTGGGTTTTTTAAGAGTTGTTCCTTGTGGATGCAGGAGGGTCTTGTTGGACAGTTAGTGTCCAACAGAAAGGATTGGTGATGATCAGGACACTTTAGCATTCTACAACATGTATGGACATTTTCTTCTGTGTGTGCTTTATATTCTTCATGTGTTTTAACTGTTGATTCTCTGACCTGTGTTGGTGATTTCAATGGTTTTGTTAAGTCTCTGAGATGACTTCTGTTGTGACCTAGGGCTATACAAGAATACATTCTATTGTATTGTATTGTGTATTGTCTGTTACAGTTTTACATCTTGTTGGTGACCATAAAAACGACTGAACTATTTGGCAACAATTGTAACTTGTGTGAAACATACAACAATTCTGTAAATTCATCTCATGTAAATATGTACACACTGCACATACCCTCAGACTGTTATATACACACACACACACACAACTCTCCCTCTGCTGCACCACCCGTCTGTCCCTCTGCTGCACCACCCGTCTCTCCCTCTGCTGCACCACCCGTCTCTCCTCTGCTGCACCACCCGTCTGAACCTCTGCTGCACCACCCGTCTCTCCCTCTGCTGCACCACCCGTCTCTCCCTCTGCTGCACCACCCGTCTCTCCCTCTGCTGCACCACCCGTCTGAACCACTGCTGCACCACCCGTCTGAACCACTGCTGCACCACCCCGTCTGTCCCTCTGCTGCACCACCCGTCTGTCCCTCTGCTGCACCACCCGTCTGTCCCTCTGCTGCACCACCCGTCTCTCCCTCTGCTGCACCACCCGTCTCTCCCTCTGCTGCATCACCCCGTCTCTCCCTCTGCTGCACCACCCGTCTCTCCCTCTGCTGCACCACCCGTCTCTCCCTCTGCTGCACCACCCGTCTCTCCCTCTGCTGCATCACCCCGTCTCTCCCTCTGCTGCACCACCCGTCTCTCCCTCTGCTGCACCACCCGTCTCTCCCTCTGCTGCACCACCCGTCTCTCCCTCTGCTGCACCACCCGTCTCTCCCTCTGCTGCACCACCCGTCTGAACCTCTGCTGCACCACCCGTCTGAACCTCTGCTGCACCACCCGTCTCTCCCTCTGCTGCACCACCCGTCTCTCCCTCTGCTGCATCACCCCGTCTCTCCCTCTGCTGCATCACCCCGTCTCTCCCTCTGCTGCATCACCCCGTCTCTCCCTCTGCTGCACCACCCGTCTCTCCCTCTGCTGCACCACCCGTCTGTCCCTCTGCTGCACCACCCGTCTCTCCCTCTGCTGCACCACCCGTCTGTCCCTCTGCTGCACCACCCGTCTCTCCCTCTGCTCAGAGGATGTAACTGGTTTATAAACACATCAGACTGGTTTTTCTACTGTTCACCACATTTACCATTTTAGGTTAAACGGTTAAGCACCAATTCCAAAAACATGAAACTATGGCAAAGAAGCACCAGACGCAGAAAACAACCATTTTAGAAATAGACCAGTTTTCTGTGAGCAATACACCTCGTCTGTCTCGTAATTCATTAATATTTCAAAGATATTATTTAAATATTATTGCCAGGATTATGGAGAAGGTGGAGATGTTTTGGTCGATTGTCACTCTTGGCAGTTAAATGTGTTTAGTGCAAAGCTCATGGTAAGAGAACGTGTTTGACCATGAACAGTAAAGTGGAGTTCTCTGAGACCAGTGGCTTCTTTAAAGCAGTGCAATCCAAGCCCCACAACATTCACACATAATAAAAACACTTTACAAGACTTTTGTGCAAAGATGGCGGCTGTTTGGCGCTGTAAGAAGTACCACAAACATGTGACAGCCGCTTTCTGCAACATGTGCTGAATATTCACTGACCCGAGTCCAACGAGGTCCATCCAACTGGTTCTGAATATTCACTGACCCGAGTCCAACGAGGTCCATCCAACTGGTTCTGAATATTCACTGACCCGAGTCCAACGAGGTCCATCCAACTGGTTCTGAATATTCACTGACCCGAGTCCAACGAGGTCCATCCAACTGGTTCTGAATATTCACTGACCCGAGTCCAACGAGGTCCATCCAACTGGTTCTGAATATTCACTGACCCGAGTCCAATGAGGTCCATCCAACTGGTTCTGAATATTCACTGACCCGAGTCCAACGAGGTCCATCCAACTGATTCTGAATATTCACTGACCCGAGTCCAACGAGGTCCATCCAACTGGTTCTGAATATTCACTGACCCGAGTCCAACGAGGTCCATCCAACTGGTTCTGAATATTCACTGACCCGAGTCCAACGAGGTCCATCCAACTGGTTCTGAATATTCACTGACCCGAGTCCAACGAGGTCCATCCAACTGGTTCTGAATATTCACTGACCCGAGTCCAACGAGGTCCATCCAACTGGTTCTGAATATTCACTGACCCGAGTCCAACGAGGTCCATCCAACTGGTTCTGAATATTCACTGACCCGAGTCCAACGAGGTCCATCCAACTGGTTCTGAATATTCACTGACCCGAGTCCAACGAGGTCCATCCAACTGGTTCTGAATATTCACTGACCCGAGTCCAACGAGGTCCATCCAACTGGTTCTGAATATTCACTGACCCGAGTCCAACGAGGTCCATCCAACTGGTTCTGAATATTCACTGACCCGAGTCCAACGAGGTCCATCCAACTGGTTCTGAATATTCACTGACCCGAGTCCAACGAGGTCCATCCAACTGGTTCTGAATATTCACTGACCCGAGTCCAACGAGGTCCATCCAACTGGTTCTGAATATTCACTGACCCGAGTCCAACGAGGTCCATCCAACTGGTTCTGAATATTCACTGACCCGAGTCCAACGAGGTCCATCCAACTGGTTCTGAATATTCACTGACCCGAGTCCAACGAGGTCCATCCAACTGGTTCTGAATATTCACTGACCCGAGTCCAACGAGGTCCATCCAACTGGTTCTGAATATTCACTGACCCGAGTCCAACGAGGTCCATCCAACTGGTTCTGAATATTCACTGACCCGAGTCCAACGAGGTCCATCCAACTGGTTCTGAATATTCACTGACCCGAGTCCAACGAGGTCCATCCAACTGGTTCTGAATATTCACTGACCCGAGTCCAACGAGGTCCATCCAACTGGTTCTGAATATTCACTGACCCGAGTCCAACGAGGTCCATCCAACTGGTTCTGAATATTCACTGACCCGAGTCCAACGAGGTCCATCCAACTGGTTCTGAATATTCACTGACCCGAGTCCAACGAGGTCCATCCAACTGGTTCTGAATATTCACTGACCCGAGTCCAACGAGGTCCATCCAACTGGTTCAAAAAGGCATTTCTTTTTATAAAAATATACAATTTTGGGCCTGTACAAGAAGAATACGAGAGGACAAATCCTCCAAACGTCTGAGACGCGGTCTGAGACCTGGTCACAGACCTGGTCTGAGACTCGGTCTGAGACTCGGTCTGAGACTCGGTCTGAGACTCGGTCTGAGACTCGGTCTGAGACACGGTCTGAGACTCGGTCTGAGACTCGGTCTGAGACTCGGTCTGAGACTCGGTCTGAGACTCGGTCTGAGACTCGGTCTGAGGCCTGGTCTGAGACTCGGTCTGAGGCCTGGTCTGAGACTCGGTCTGAGACACGGTCTGAGACACGGTCTGAGACACTGTCTGAGACTCGGTCTGAGACTCGGTCTGAGACTCGGTCTGAGACTCGGTCTGAGACTCGGTCTGAGACACGGTCTGAGACTCGGTCTGAGACTCGGTCTGAGACTCGGTCTGAGACTCGGTCTGAGACACGGTCTGAGACTCGGTCTGAGACTCGGTCTGAGACACGGTCTGAGACTCGGTCTGAGACTCGGTCTGAGACTCGGTCTGAGACTCGGTCTGAGACTCGGTCTGAGACACGGTCTGAGACACGGTCTGAGACACGGTCTGAGACACGGTCTGAGACTCTGTCTGAGACACGGTCTGAGACACGGTCTGAGACTCGGTCTGAGACTCGGTCTGAGACACGGTCTGAGACACGGTCTGAGACACGGTCTGAGACACGGTCTGAGACTCGGTCTGAGACTCGGTCTGAGACTCGGTCTGAGACTCGGTCTGAGACACGGTCTGAGACACGGTCTGAGACTCGGTCTGAGACTCGGTCTGAGACTCGGCCTGAGACTCGGTCTGAGACTCGGTCTGAGACTCGGTCTGAGGCCTGGTCTGAGACTCGGTCTGAGGCCTGGTCTGAGACTCGGTCTGAGACTCGGTCTGAGACTCGGTCTGAGACTCGGTCTGAGACTCGGTCTGAGACACGGTCTGAGGCCTGGTCTGAGACTCGGTCTGAGACTCGGTCTGAGACTCGGTCTGAGACTCGGTCTGAGACTCGGTCTGAGACACGGTCTGAGACACGGTCTGAGACTCGGTCTGAGACTCGGTCTGAGACTCGGTCTGAGACACGGTCTGAGACACGGTCTGAGACACGGTCTGTCCCTGGCTCTGATCCGGACCGGTCCTGCCGTGCCCTGGTCCCAGGCATCAGAGGAGGCCTCCGTTATTGTACGACTTCCCAAACATTTCAAAGTCTGTCTCCACAGAGTGAGTCGTCACCGGAGACTTGAACAGAGGGTTGGAGGCCTGTGAGGGACACAAACCATCAGTGTTGCTTTAGTTACATTACTAATGTAATCCTAAAGTACAGTTCAGTTACTAATGTAATCCTAAAGTACAGTTCAGTTACTAATGTAATCCTGAAGTACAGTTCAGTTACTAATGTAATCCTGAAGTACAGTTCAGTTACTAATGTAATCCTAAAGTACAGTTCAGTTACTAATGTAATCCTGAAGTACAGTTCAGTTACTAATGTAATCCTAAAGTACAGTTCAGTTACTAATGTAATCCTAAAGTACAGTTCAGTTACTAATGTAATCCTAAAGTACAGTTCAGTTACTAATGTAATCCTAAAGTACAGTTCAGTTACTAATGTAATCCTAAAGTACAGTTCAGTTACTAATGTAATCCTAAAGTACAGTTCAGTTACTAATGTAATCCTAAAGTACAGTTCAGTTACTAATGTAATCCTAAAGTACAGTTCAGTTACTAATGTAATCCTGAAGTACAGTTCAGTTACTAATGTAATCCTAAAGTACAGTTCAGTTACTAATGTAATCCTAAAGTACAGTTCAGTTACTAATGTAATCCTAAAGTACAGTTCAGTTACTAATGTAATCCTGAAGTACAGTTCAGTTACTAATGTAATCCTAAAGTACAGTTCAGTTACTAATGTAATCCTAAAGTACAGTTCAGTTACTAATGTAATCCTAAAGTACAGTTCAGTTACTAATGTAATCCTAAAGTACAGTTCAGTTACTAATGTAATCCTAAAGTACAGTTCAGTTACTAATGTAATCCTAAAGTACAGTTCAGTTACTAATGTAATCCTAAAGTACAGTTCAGTTACTAATGTAATCCTAAAGTACAGTTCAGTTACTAATGTAATCCTAAAGTACAGTTCAGTTACTAATGTAATCCTGAAGTACAGTTCAGTTACTAATGTAATCCTAAAGTACAGTTCAGTTACTAATGTAATCCTAAAGTACAGTTCAGTTACTAATGTAATCCTAAAGTACAGTTCAGTTACTAATGTAATCCTAAAGTACAGTTCAGTTACTAATGTAATCCTAAAGTACCGTTCAGTTACTAATGTAATCCTAAAGTACATACTGACCATCTCGTATCGGGCTCGGGATCTGGCGTTTTGAAACCGTGTGAACTCGCGGCGGTCGTGGACCGTGATGACCAGCTTCCAGACGGCGAGCAGCACCACACCCACCACCAGAATACTACACACAACACTGAGCAGCACCGTGAGGGCGTCCGGCCCACTCACACACTCTGCAACACACACATTACACACAAGACGACAGTCATAACACACATTCTGACAACTACACACAAGACTACAGTCATAACACACATTCTGACAACTACACACAAGACTACAGTCATAACACACATTCTGACAACTACACACAAGACTACAGTCATAACACACATTCTGACAACTACACACAAGACTACAGTCATAACACACATTCTGACAACTACACACAAGACTACAGTCATAACACACATTCTGACAACTACACACAAGACTACAGTCATAACACACATTCTGACAACTACACACAACACTGCAGTCATAACACACATTCTGACACCTACACACAACACTGCAGTCATAACACACATTCTGACACCTACACACAACACTGCAGTCATAACACACATTCTGACAACTACACACAAGACTACAGTCATAACACACATTCTGACAACTACACACAACACTGCAGTCATAACACACATTCTGACAACTACACACAACACTGCAGTCATAACACACATTCTGACACCTACACACAACACTGCAGTCATAACACACATTCTGACACCTACACACAACACTGCAGTCATAACACACATTCTGACAACTACACACAACACTGCAGTCATAACACACATTCTGACACCTACACACAACACTGCAGTCATAACACACATTCTGACAACTACACACAACACTGCAGTCATAACACACATTCTGACAACTACACACAACACTGCAGTCATAACACACATTCTGACACCTACACACAACACTGCAGTCATAACACACATTCTGACAACTACACACAACACTGCAGTCATAACACACATTCTGACAACTACACATAAGACTACAGTCATAACACACATTCTGACACCTACACACAACACTGCAGTCATAACACACATTCTGACAACTACACACAACACTGCAGTCATAACACACATTCTGACAACTACACACAAGACTACAGTCATAACACACATTCTGACACCTACACACAACACTGCAGTCATAACACACATTCTGACACCTACACACAACACTGCAGTAACAGATGAACTCTTAAACAGTGGATGCAGTGGTTTGGTCTGAGCAGACACACGTCTCATTGATTCATTTGTTGTGACTTTTTCAGGACACACTTCTACAGCCTTTGTATTGATAACTTCTGCTTGTTATGTGGAATAATAATGAGCCTCAGACTCTTACATTTGAAATGTCAATCTAACCCCATTCAATGTTTGGACATAGTTGGTTTTATTCCAGGATTATTTGTGAAATAGTTATTTAAATTCCAACATGACTTATCTCCTGAACCCAGTCCCCGAGGCTCAAACTCCAACAAACCAAGCTGAAGGAGGTGTTGTGTTCAGCAGGACATTAAGCGGGCACAAAGACGGAGCTAATGGTGGCTGTGGCGTGCACTGACCTGGCTCTTTGAGCGCCGTGAGCACGGATTGGCCGCTCGCATGCTCAGAATACGTAAATTTCATCACACAATCGTTGTCCGTCTTAAAGACACAAAGAACAGCTCCGGGCTCGTCTGTTTCTGTGGAGAGGAGAGTATGTCAGTGATGTTTGAAATATAGCAATGTTTCCATTATTGTTTATTATAATTATATTGTAAAAAGTCACGCTGTGCTTAGAACAAATTTAAATAGACAAACCTCGACATATTTATCACAATATTCCATCCACAGCATAACTTCAGACCAGGCCAACAGAGATTAACAATTCAAAACAAAGTCTTTTTAGGAAAATGTTCCCAAAAAACAGAAAGTTGAACCAGACCTTCTCAAATCTGGTTTTACTTCAGACAGTAGACTGACTTTCAAAAATGCCATTGAAACTGACAATTCAGTAAAAACACTTTTTCTAAAACAACCAAACAGCACAAAGTCAGAAGCATGACCTCTTTTCACAAACCAAAAGATAATCATTAAATATTGACCCTGTTCAAAGTTTTTGTTTGGGATCGATCTCCATCAGCCCAACACGAGGGAGGCTGAGGTCAGACCCTCCTCCCCCCCCTCACCCTCCTCCCCCCCCTCCTCACCCTCACCCCCCCACCCTCACCCTCCTCCTCCCTGTTCCATTTCATGCACCAAGAATGTGGAATGTACATGTGGAGTGCATTAGCAGCAGTCAGATGGCTAAACTAGAGGGAGTGCAGTGAAAGACGTCAGGTTTGGGCCGAAGCCAAAGTCCAGAACGATATTAGAGCCTTTAAGAGTCGGTTTTACAGTAATGGACATTTTTCCTCTTTCCGTGTGCCACAGCACGACAACACACTCAAAGGTGCCCATAAATCCCAGCGTCTTTAAACATGCACTGTCAGATCGGGACTGACAGTTTACAATGTCATGTGAAGGGAGTGGAAAAGCTTTAAAAAGAGCAGCATTTGTCTGGAAATCTGGAAAAAATACAGCGGATTAAATGTGAAGCAGACCAGATGTGTGTGCACTGGCATCGACGGGCTCATAGAAGGAAAAGTCTCTGAAAAATGACATCTCTAGTCAAAACAGTCTTGAACAATCAATCTGTGTTAAAAAGTGCATTTCTTGACTTTTAGGATTAAATGTTATTTCTAAGCAGCAAAACACCTGGTCCTACTGTGATGGGAGACACAGCACCAAAGACAATAACTATCTACTCTTTTACATTTAAGTTAACTCCAGTCCATAGTTATTTATGTCTTTAGCTTGTTAAAAAAGTTAGATCATTTCACATAATTACTGCTCATGTGTTAAATACTGAACTACTTACTGACTCGAAAGCCTCCACGAAAACACTCATCAGTAAATATTCTAATAAAACTCAGATGTAGAGATGTGAGAATGAGCAGATGTGACTCATGAACATTGGTCCCGAGTCCCGGGTCCCGGGTCCTGGGTCCTGAGTCCCGGGTCCTGGGTCCTGAGTCCTGAGTCCCGGGTCCTGGGTACTGAGTCCCGGGTCCTGGGTCCTGAGTCCCGGGTCCTGAGTCCTGAGTCCCGGGTCCTGAGTCCTGAGTCCCGGGTCCTGAGTCCTGAGTCCCGGGTCCTGACCGACCCAAACATTGCTGTCTGCTCAGTGTTTACTCACGGAGCGTCTCCACGGTGATGATCTCATCCTTACACAGACGCTGGCACGTCTGGTTGTCCGCTGCACGTCCAGAGCTGAAGAGGCGGCACTCGATGCACTCCCTGAAGCAAAGGAGACATATTTATAATATTATAATATTTAATATTATACCATCTATAAGTCTGTTTATGTGATACAGAGACAGAACCATCTGGGTTTGAGTTATGGTCTGTTCTTCTAAGACCTTTACAAGTACAAGCAATCCATTATTATTATTATTATTATGAAGGACTATTCATATTATTATAATGTAAATCAATAAAACATTTTGAAGACGGTAACATTAAAAGCATATAACTGACAAACAATCGAACATGCAATGTGATAAATATGGAGAAAAAAAAGTGTTTTTTCAACTGCTTGGGAGCAGCAAGGAATTTTTAGTAGTTTTTATTAGACACCGAATTCAGATTCAGATTCAGTTTATTTGCCATTTGCAGTAAAAAAACCACATTGGAATACATTAGCGAAAAGTCTCCAGTGTGCACAGACAAATACAGACATAAAACAACATTAAAAGACAAAAATAAAACAAATAAAACAGTAAACAAAAGTCACTGTGAAATCGATCGACTAAAACAGGTGCAAATCATTAAAGTGCTCTGGGAGATGTGTGTGTGTGAGGAGGTCTGGGAGATGTGTGTGTGTGTGTGTGTGTGAGGAGGTCTGGGAGCTGTGTGTGTGTGTGTGTGAGGAGGTGTGTGTGTGTGTGAGAACCCTCGCCTCAGACTCAGCTTCAAACAGACGCACACACGGTTCATTGAAAGGGTCATAAAGGCACCACAGTTATCTCAGTCTGAGGAGAGTGCAGATAAGAACTGGAGACAGTGAGACTGGATTGTTCAACACTTCTTAAGTTTAATAAAACATTCTTATTTTTAGTTTTGTTGTGATTTTCTCAATGTAAAGCTCTCACAAATAAGAATTCCACATTTGTAAATCTATTGATAATGGTACATTTAGAGGCCTGGACACATGTGTTTTAACCTTGAATTACAGGATAGAAATTCTTGGAAACTTTAGAAAACAAGCATAACAAGAACTTCACGGTGGGATAGTACTGGTGGTTTTTGATTATTGTTTAACCTGTGTTGTTACTGAAATGTTGCTTTTAGATTATCTTTTTAATGAATTTTGAGAACATAGTGTTTTAAAATCCAGGTCATGACATGGTCGGTATATGTATATTAGTACTCTCGTCTCCTAGAAGTCTGGCAGGAGGTGTTTCATGCAGATGCGGGCCATGCAGATGCGGGCCATGCAGATGCGGGCCATGCAGATGCGGGCCATGCAGATGCGGGCCATGCAGATGCGGGCCATGCAGATGCGGGCCATGCAGATGCGGGCCATGCCGATGCGGGCCATGCAGATGCGGGCCATTGTCTCCTTGCCTCCTGTGTCCTGTATGCATATGTTTGACTGTTTGCATGTAAATACGGAGGCTTTCTTTTGAAACTCTTTGTGGGTGTGTTCTGAGACTGTTTCATGAATAAAGTTGGTTTGTGCAGAGATCAGAGACCTTCGATTGGAGCTGAGCACAGCGGCCTTCTCCGTCTCCTTCACAGACGTCTAACCATGTTAAATAGAATGACTTTGGCCTAATCGTTGTGTGCTTTGGTCTAGATGAGCTGCAGTCCAGTCAAAAGAACAATTATGAGGATGAATTACAGAGCATTACAAACTTAACATTTAAAACACCCTTTTTAATTAAAGTTTGGGTGCCATGTAACATCTTTCAAGAGTACTACATCTGCTTTTTCAGAAATCAAAAAGAAAACAAAAGAAAATATTGAATCAAATGAAAAAAATTTCAGCCAATTTGAAATCTTTTAGACCTATTAATGTTAAGCCATGTTTTCTGCTCAGACCCTCCTCACCTCTCGGTCTCATGTGTTCACCCTCCTCACCTCTCGGTCTCATGTGTTCACCCTCCTCACCTCTCGGTCTCATGTGTTCACCCTCCTCACCTCTCGGTCTCATGTGTTCACCCTCCTCACCTCTCGGTCTCATGTGTTCACCCTCCTCACCTCTCGGTCTCATGTGTTCACCCTCCTCACCTCGGTCTCATGTGTTCAACCTCCTCACCTCGGTCTCATGTGTTCACCCTCCTCACCTCGATCTCATGTGTTCACCCTCCTCACCTCTCGGTCTCATGTGTTCACCCTCCTCACCTCTCGGTCTCATGTCTTCACCCTCCTCACCTCTCGTCGGTCTCATGTGTTCACCCTCCTCACCTCTCGGTCTCATGTGTTCACCCTCCTCACCTCTCGGTCTCATGTGTTCACCCTCCTCACCTCTCGGTCTCATGTGTTCAACCTCCTCACCTCGGTCTCATGTACCCTCCTCACCTCGATCTCATGTGTTCACCCTCCTCACCTCTCGGTCTCATGTGTTCACCCTCCTCACCTCTCGGTCTCATGTCTTCACCCTCCTCACCTCTCGTCGGTCTCATGTGTTCACCCTCCTCACCTCTCGGTCTCATGTGTTCACCCTCCTCACCTCTCGGTCTCATGTGTTCACCCTCCTCACCTCTCGGTCTCATGTGTTCACCCTCCTCACCTCTCGGTCTCATGTGTTCACCCTCCTCACCTCTCGGTCTCATGTGTTCACCCTCCTCACCTCTCGGTCTCATGTGTTCACCCTCCTCACCTCTCGGTCTCATGTGTTCACCCTCCTCACCTCTCGGTCTCATGTGTTCACCCTCCTCACCTCTCGGTCTCATGTGTTCACCCTCCTCACCTCTCGGTCTCATGTGTTCACCCTCCTCACCTCTTGGTCTCGCAGGCGTCGGGGCAGGTGGGGCACTTGTCGCAGGTGTCTCCGAAGGCGCCGGGCTGAGAGCACTGACAGCGGCCGCACACACACAGGCCCCGCCCACTGCACATCTGTCCATCATTGGACACACAGGAGCTGGTCTCTGTGGCGCAGTTACAGTTATCACCAACGAAACCAGCGTGGCACTTACACTCGCCACAGTGGCACTCCCCGTGACCTGAAACACACACACATACACACAGGTACAAACACACACACACACACACAGACACACTTTATTAACATTTGCGTTGAAGTTTACGACTAACTGATGTAGTGGATTATTCAGGGTTAAACAAAGTCTCTCAAAGTCTGTTCACCAAATTGAATTATTTCTACAAACAATAAAATCAATATTTCAAAATTGAGAAATACTTTTCAATGTGAAAATAAAGATATATACAATATTTACCACAAGAACCTTTTAAATCCAATGAGTCAATGGTAATGCATCAGAGTGAGATAATGAGACATCTGTAGTGAGCTGGAATCATGTGAAGTCCGTCGCTCTCAAAACAGTTAGATTCCATCGCTCCTTTTCACATGTGTGTACATCTGGGTGAGGTTTAGAGAAAGCTTGTTGTGACTGGCTGTGATGAAGAGAAGCATCCCTCTCTCAGCCAATCAGCTCTCAGTATGTCACAATGTACAGTTTTTCAGTAAGATATAGATGTTCTGGTCTGATGTATTCACACATTGTTACTTACACAATACTCTCTGTTTGGACACATTTATGAAACACAGGCTTTCTACCTCTAAGACATTGAATAATAGTTTGTATGGATTGTGTCCTTGAATGGAGGCCTTGTGTTTAGTGTAGTTTCATCCTGTATCTTTGACTGAAAAGCAGCTGGTGCGGCCTCAGCGGCTGCGGCTAACCTCCTGTTCTCGGACCACACTCATTCATTTGTTTTTGGCAGCAGTACAGCTCTCGACAATAAAGAGTGGCGTTAAATGTCATGTTGAACTGGGATTAGTCGTGGCTGTTGAGTCTGGCCACAACAAAACAAGTGGTTCTTACAGCTGTTTTAATTGATGAGACATAACAAATGGACAGGGTCTTTCACACTGGGGCCTCCTCTGTACAGTTATAATCGTGTCATTGATGGATGGGACCAGCACAAGGCTCACTTATGCTGCTGCTGTAATCTACGGTTTGGTCAAATGAGAAGAGCCGAAGACAAACGCTTCACTGTTGGTGTTGGCTGTGCAGATCGAAAATATGCTGAAAAAGGGTTTACATTTCAATACTTCATAAGAAAAATGTCCCCAGATAGAAGATCAGAATATTACATGTAAAAGTGTATCATATTTTACCTTTTCTGTGAAAAGGGGTTTTCATCTTAGTTTTAAAATAACTAATGTGTCGGTAATCGGTGCTTAGAAGTTTAATGAATCGCTATTCATCAAATGTTGGATTAATTGTAAGGATTTAATTTAACCACAGATGTGCATACTACTTAGACCCTTTGTTATAAGGGACTATGATCAGTAGTAGATCAGACGCTGCCGTGACGCTGCCGTGACGCTGCCGTGACGCTGCCGAGACGCTGCCGAGACGCTGCCGAGACGCTGCCGAGACGCTGCCGTGACGCTGCCGAGACGCTGCCGAGACGCTGCCGAGACGCTGCAGAGACGCTGCCGAGACGCTGCCGAGACGCTGCCGAGACGCTGCCGAGACGCTGCCGAGACGCTGCCGAGACGCTGCCGAGACGCTGCCGTGACGCTGGCGTGACGCTGCCGTGACGCTGCCGTGACGCTGCCGAGACGCTGCCGAGACGCTGCCGAGACGCTGCCGAGACGCTGCCGAGACGCTGGCGTGACGCTGGCGTGACGCTGGCGTGACGCTGCCGTGACGCTGCCGTGACGCTGGCGAGACGCTGCCGAGACGCTGCCGAGACGCTGCCGAGACGCTGGCGTGACGCTGCCGTGACGCTGCAGAGACGCTGCAGAGACGCTGCAGAGACGCTGCAGAGACGCTGCCGTGACGCTGCCGTGACGCTGCCGTGACGCTGCCGTGACGCTGCCGTGACGCTGCCGAGACGCTGCCGAGACGCTGCCGTGACGCTGCAGAGACGCTGCCGAGACGCTGCCGAGACGCTGCCGAGACGCTGCCGAGACGCTGCAGAGACGCTGCAGAGACGCTGCAGAGACGCTGCAGAGACGCTGCAGAGACGCTGCCGTGACGCTGCCGTGACGCTGCCGTGACGCTGCCGAGACGCTGCCGAGACGCTGCCGAGACGCTGCCGTGACGCTGCAGAGACGCTGCAGAGACGCTGCCGTGACGCTGCCGAGACGCTGCCGAGACGCTGCCGAGACGCTGCAGAGACGCTGCCGAGACGCTGCCGAGACGCTGCCGAGACGCTGGCGAGACGCTGCCGAGACGCTGCCGAGACGCTGCCTGTCATGGTGTGGATTTTATTTTTGGAAATGTTTTTATTTTGACTTGAGTTCTGTAGTTTTTTTTGTTTGACTTCCTCTTCCCCTCTTGATTGTCTGCCCCACCCTAATGTGTTTCACCTGTGTTCTGTGTCTGCATGCACCAGCGTCCGCATGCACCAGCGTCCGCATGTACCAGCGTCCGCATGTACCAGCGTCCGCATGTATCAGCGTCCGCATGCACCAGCGTCCGCATGTACCAGCGTCCGCATGCACCAGCGTCCGCATGCACCAGCGTCCGCATGCACCAGCGTCCGCATGCACCAGCGTCCGCATGCACCAGCGTCCGCATGCACCAGCGTTCGCATGCACCAGCGTCTGCATGTACCAGCGTCCGCATGCACCAGCGTCCGCATGCACCAGCGTCTGCATGTACCAGCGTCCGCATGCACCAGCGTCTGCATGTACCAGCGTGGATTTTGAGTTTGTTTTTACCTTGGACTTTTGTTTTATCTTTGTCATTAAATCATTATTTTTGCATTTCTGCATTTTGGGACACACCCACCCTCCTGAGAGGAAATGGTTTATTACATTTATCAATGGATAGTAGACTGCTCGGTGAGGCCTTTTCTTTCAAAAGCTACGACATGTATTATAACTAAATGAGTGGTATGAGTCTTGAGAAGGCGCTCATTAATGGCTGCAGCAGACGTTCTGGGACACACATTTGGACCAGAAATACACAATAGCAGCAGTTTACAATTCAACACAGACTCCCCAGAGGTCAGAGGCATCAGTGTGGTCAGCATTGTGCAACATGTCGTGCAGACGCGGCTTTCAAAAGATTCTGTTTAAACACTGAAACATTCCAAATTGCAGTGGAAATTTTCAACCAGCACAGCCACCTCGCTCCAGTTCAAGTGTGGACTGTGTGGACTGTGTGGACTGTGTGGACTGTGTGGACATGTGAGGCTGAGTCACTGCACCAGCGCTGTGGAGACATGTCCCGAAATGACAGGACCTGCTTCTGGGCACAGACGGGGAGAGGAAGGGGAGAGGAAGGAGAGAGGAAGGAGAGAGGAAGGGGAGAGGAAGGGGAGAGGAAGGGGAGAGGAAGGGGAGAGGAAGGGGAGAGGAAGGGGAGAGGAAGGGGAGAGGAAGGGGAGAGGAAGGGGAGAGGAAGGGGAGAGGAAGGGGAGAGGAAGGGGAGAGGAAGGGGAGAGGAAGGGGAGAGGAAGGGGAGAGGACGGAGAAAACTTGGAGAAAACTTAACCTTAGTCTGTGCCTTAACATTAACCTCAGTCTTCATGAATCTTTTATTTCAAGGCTTAGGTCTTATTTCTTGATAAATAATAATAATAATAATAAAATGAACCAACAATAGTATCTCTTAAGCACTAACAAGGAAACATGTTTAATGCTTAGAAGACAGAACATGTAAAGAAGCGAACATGTCAGGTAATTAAAAGAACCTTCTAAACATTAAACATAACTTTTTACATTAAGGTAGACGTGTTCACAAAAACACATATCCAGCAACATTATTGTTGTTGTGACAGATGAAGAAAAACAAATCCTTATTTTCAACTGTAGAAAAGCAGTTGCAGCGCGCACCACCGTGAGGCGCTATTCCATTCCTTAAATCTATAATCAAAAGGCTTTTAAAGCATATACACTGTACAGGAGATCATATGTTCGCATTTTCTGAGCTTTTCCTCAACTTTGAGTAATGCTGCTGTAACGGAGACAAACCCTCATGAAAACACTCCTTGGAGAATATGTCTGGTGTCGAAAGCAGCACAGCCCTGTCCTACTTCAGTCTCTGCACCAGTTTGGCTAAAGCAAATATTTACATTGAATATCAGGAGGAAATGAGGGTGTGGGTTATTTTTAGGCACATATCTGACATATTTCTACAGTAAATGACAGAAACAGGTTTTAAAACAACAACTTCTAATACTAATACAACTAATACTTCAGAGGAGAAGAATGTGAAAACAAACTCTTGGAGAATATTATTTGAGTATTTCCCTTTGAAAACCATTACACTGCTGTTTAAAAAAACGACTGTTGGACCAAAGTTGACCTTTAATGCACCAAATGCATGCAATGCTTCAAATCCTCTCATTTTTGCCCTTTTTCCTCATAATATTAAACAAAACTGGATGTATGAGATCACAACATCACCAACGACTAAACAGAGCTACTTTTTAGCTCTGTATTGTTTTATGACAGTCCCCAAACATTTAGTCATCCATTGTATTTACTACGACAGGAACAGTAAGTGATCACCATGGAAACGGTGACTAAAAACTGCCTTGGAGACAACTGCAGCGGCGACAGTACTTCATCTTCTCTCTACTCCACCCTACTCCTGCCTACTCCTGCCTACTCCTGCCTACTCCTGCCTACTCCCGCCTACTCCCGCCTACTCCTGCCTACTCCTGCCTACTCCTGCCTACTCCACCCTACTCCACCCTACTCCACCCTACTCCACCCTACTCCACCCTACTCCACCCTACTCCACCCTACTCCACCCTACTCCACCCTACTCCTGCCTACTCCTGCCTACTCCTGCCTACTCCTGCCTACTCCTGCCTACTCCTGCCTACTCCTGCCTACTCCTGCCTACTCCTGCCTACTCCTGCCTACTCCACCCTACTCCACGGCCTACATTCAGATGCAGAGTATGTTGTGATGTCGCACTCAGGAGCCGCCCTGTTCCTGATGTTGACAGAAGGAGGGAGCCTCTTCCTGCTGAGGTCAAAGAGAGTCTGTGTGATGCGTTCATGGACATTAGGGAAAGAAAACACACACTTTAACCTTCACCATCTCCAGTTTCAGTCTGCACTCAGCTGATGCTTCACTAAATACTTCAAATACTTGTGGCACGCTCCTTTTTAAGGATCTTTGCACCGAGTGACCGCTCAGTCTCTGGGGAAAAATGCATTTCCTCAATCTGGCAATTTCCTGCGAGAAGCCTGAATAAAAATTCCCAAAGTCGTGCTGTTCTAGGTGAATATTTAGACTTATTATCGCACTCACATCCTGACCTTGGATCTTATGAGAAACAGTCAGTCTAAAGGTTACAGAGAGCAAGCCTCCCAAACAAGAGCCTGTGGTATTCCAAAGAAAGAATAAAGTGACTGTGTTAGTGAAGTAATATTGATACAGAGACAGGCCCAAAATGTCACAGCTCTGAAGAAGTATTTGTCTATTCCTACTTTCTATTTTTGATGTAACTAGATGTCAAAGAAAGGCAAAGCATAAATTATCCATACGGTACTTTAAGAGATGGCAGCGCTGGATTTATCACCGTGTCGGGGTTAGAAGAGTTGAATGAAAACTGCTTGTAATCACATTTTCCTGTCTTCTCATTTATAATCTCAATAAGACAATAGTTCTAAATGTATTGATGTGAACTCTAATGAATAACTGTCCTGTGCTTTTGATCATCCACAATGTAATTATAACTTAGATGTGGTTTTTGTGGCTTAGAGAGTTCGGATGAGTGGGAGTAAACTGTTGCTATAAATAGGAAGAAATCATGTATAAAAAAAGAAATAGAACATAATTCTATATTGTTTAGTGCATTTGTTTTAGTTCAGACTATTTGACATTAAAACAATTTCACCAAAACCAAAAGATACACTGTGACAGTCCAAAGATGACAACAGAAGGTCTCAGGGTCAGCCAAGACTCAACACTGTAGAGTTAGTTATTGTGAGGAAATGTGTTCATGATAGTATTTCTGTTGTGTCTTTCGTGCTGCTCTCCTGAGATCTGGGGCTGGTGTTTTCAGACAGAAGCAGCAGCGTGGAAACCATAAGTATATGTTAAAACTCTGGGGAAACATCAGCTTCTGTAAATATGCAGTTAGCGAGCGGCAGGAGTGCTGACGAGGCTTTATGGTGAGTCTGGATCTGAAGGACAAGCCAACCCCTTTTTAGACAATGAGACTATAAAGCATTTATTATATTTACGGTTCAAGGCGTTATCATTTCCAAGTACTGTTAAAGTCTATAGGTTACAACTAAGGTACAGAATGAACCGTTTCTAGTCTCATATATCCATACATTTGTGCAGCACAGTCTGCATTAAACACAAACCTCCATAAAAGGCGGAGGACTGTACCAGGCCTGAGCTTTCATTGGATGAGCTTGAGTTTGGTTTTTAAGACCAAAGGGTTTTTTATTTGCCCTACTCTAATTTGACTTTTGAAAAATGTCTTCCCACTAGAACTTTTATGTGAAAATGGTTCTTCGTTCAAAAACATCCAAAAAATGCAGTCATTTAAAAAGCTCAAGTATCGACATGTTTGTTCTTGTAGAGGAGCAGAGTTGTCCGTCTCTGAGCAGAGTGGATCTCGTTTGTCTCCATGGAATAAGACCAAAGGTGAAGATGATTGAAGAAACTATTGTAGCAGAATGCACAGGACAATAGCTTTGAAGCCAATTACAGGCACAACATCACAGACCTGACGGACAGTAGTCATTATGTCACAAAAGTACTATTTACTTTGTTTTGCTCCGTCACAAGAGCCGTAACCTCCAAACTCATGACTTATGTTTAGAAAAAGAACAATACTTAAACTGTTCAATGAGACATTTTAAACCTGGACTCTGCAGAGTCAGCAACTCTGTAAAGTTTTAGGGAAGTGTAAGTAATTTAATGCTTACGTGTTTTAACACCAAAACCAGAAATATTTTTCCAGAAATTTGTTGTGAAACACACATAATCTTTGAAACTTTATAAGAGAGATAGATGTAGAGAGAGAGAGAGAGATAGATGTAGAGAGAGAGAGAGAGAGAGAGAGAGAGAGAGAGAGAGAGAGAGAGAGATGAGAGAGAGAGAGAGAGAGAGATGTAGAGAGAGAGAGAGAGAGAGAGAGAGAGAGAGAGAGAGAGAGAGAGAGAGAGAGAGAGAGAGAGAGAGGTAGAGAGAGAGAGAGAGAGTAGAGAGAGAGAGAGATAGAGAGAGAGAGAGAGAGAGAGAGAGAGAGAGAGAGAGAGAGAGAGAGGGAGAGAGGAGAGAGAGAGAGAGAGAGAGAGAGAGAGAGAGAGAGAGAGAGAGAGAGAGAGAGAGAGAGAGAGAGAGAGAGATGTAGAGAGAGAGAGAGATAGATGTAGAGAGAGAGAGAGAGAGATGTAGAGAGAGAGAGAGATGTAGAGAGAGATGTAGAGAGAGCGAGAGAGAGAGAGAGAGAGAGAGAGAGAGGAGGAGATGGAGAGGATAGAGTAGAGAGAGAGAGAGATAGATGTAGAGAGAGAGAGAGAGATAGATGTAGAGAGAGAGAGAGAGTGAGAGATGGAAGAGAGAGAGAGAGAGAGATGTAGAGAGAGAGAAGAGAGATGTAGAGAGAGAGAGAGATAGATAGATGAGAGAGAGAGAGAGATAGATGAGAGAGAGAGAGAGAGACTGGAAGTCAACTCATGTCAAAAACAGACAGGATGGAGAAAGGATCTTGTTATAAAAAGGTATAACAGTGTTATCCAAAGTAGATCTTGGAAGACAATAGGGTCATCTCTACAGCGCAGAGCTTGGGGATCGTACAGACACAGGTAATGGATAATATTACCATAACATTCAGTCCAGACCAGCTATTCATGGCATTCAGCGATATTCTGAAGCCATTATAAATATAGCTTTATTTTGTCTTCTGACCTACTTAAAACGTGACGGCTCATTTTATCTTCATGAGCACTGCTTTGAAAGAAAACGTCTGAATTAAAGCCACAAAACGACTGAACATTTGGGAAAACAGAAGAATTTGCAAATGCAGTCTCCTGTTTTGTGAAATATGCAACATTCAGTTTTTATGTTGTTTGTAAAATATTCTAAAGACTGTGATAAAACAGTCCAGAGAGTAGAGGCCCGGTATCATTAGAATCTCATCCCAGCCTCACGTTGGCGTCCTACTGAGCAGACATGACAGGGAACCCAAAGTACTGGACTGTTAACATTTAATGACTTGTGGATGATTGGCACAAACAAACGGGCATTTTGTGTGTGCGCCTCGTAAACCAAAGGCTTGTCTTTCCACAGCACAGATAAATAGAGGCGCGCATTGTGTTTGCAGATCGCACTGAAGCTGGCCCCACTGTCACAAAGCTCTCTCTGTGGCTGCACTGGAACAGCCACTGGTTTGGGGACCAGCCAGAGGGCCCCTCTCCAGCTCCGAGGCCCCAAACCAGGACTCATTTCTGGACCTGATGTCTGGGAACTGCCATGGCCTATTTGGACCAACTTGTAGAAAAGATAAATCTTCTTATCAGACACAAGTTTCACAGTTCCATGGAATGTAGAAAATGTTCAAAGACAAACAAATTAGCAGTTTGAATCTCAATCTCTTCAAGCAAAAGACAATAGTATTCATGCCCAAACTTAGTCCAAACAGCTTAAACCAACAGTGGTCTTCCTTAAAACCTGCCTGTCTCCTTTTGCAAATATTCTGTAGATTAAAAAATGCATAAAAAAGTCTTGTATAAATATTGTTGTATAAAGAAATTTCAGATGCAGCATTGTGTGTTGATGTCAACCCAAACAATATGTCAAAATGTTATCAATAAAACTTTAAAATTATGTACTATTTAAAAGAGCCCAAAACAAGCACCGCTTCACTCAATATCAAGTCAAAAGGAAATAGACATAGCCTGAAAGTTTACCTCTTTATATCTCTTAAAAGAAGTATATTTGTGATTGAGAGCGAGAGGATTGAAGGACACACCCTGCACAGGTATGATAATGACTTAAGAAGAAAGTGTATAATATCCACAGGACTAGATGGAGCCTGCAGTCCCTCTGGATCACAACCATCATGACAACAGTAAATAAAGTATATAAACAGTATTAGGAGCCAAGTCGGAGCTTACCTGAGCAGAGGATGCCTTTGTGTCTGGCGCAGGAGAAGTCGTCACATTCACAGAAACGTCCATAGATTTTTCCAAACTCCGACTCGAAGCAGAGGCACTGGTTGCAGCTGCACTCGCCTCTCCCGCTGCAGATCTGTTTGCCCTCGGTCTCTCTGCAGGCACTCAGGTACATGCTGCCCGCCTCACCCTCCTGGCACTCACAGCGGGCTCCCAGGTACCCCGAGTCGCACTGGCAGGTCCCACATGTGTACGTACCTGCAGAGAGAAAACATTTATGAAACGGCTGGAAAAGTACATTGATAATCCTGCTGGCCACAAACATGTAAAGTCTGAGAGGTTTCCAAAGTGAATGGAAAGATCCTATAGGGGCCTCCCACGATCAGATCCTACTAAACAAAGAATACGTAATGGTTTTCTTTTTACTCTCCACTTGTGTGTTATCTACAATTAATGATAGGGGCCATATCTGATCTTTTTCTAATGAAATAACGAACATTAAGAGAAGCCTTACCGATGGAGCTGCACACGCTGCTGTTGGTAAGAGCTCTGTGGGAGCACATACATTTGCACTGATAGTCAACGGTCACCTCCAAGCGATCTTTAAATCCCACTGGTTTGATGGTGAAAGTCTGGTCTGTGCCTTTAGGAGGACAACCTCTCGCATCCACACTGACATTAAAAGAAACCTTCAAAAAAGACAACACATGGATAAGACAGATTTGTTTTAACCCATTTACATTTCTGTAAAATCTGCCCGCTGTTTTATTTTGTTTGTTTTTTACACCCAGAAAACAGGAGGAAAACTCAAAGTGTGACTTCCTGTCTTGGGACATTACATGGGTGGAGGTCCTGCTAATTTATGGCCAACTTTGGGAAATGTGATATGAACCATTTCAAGTGGCAAGTTTCTCTGCAATTAGTGAAGCAGACAGTTTAAAAAAAGTGTATGGAGTTAATCATCTACTCTGCCCTAAAGAGGCTGTAATTGTAAAGAAGCACAAACAGTTATTAAAAGGTGTCGAGGGTAGTTATGAACGGCTGAACTGTGACATGGTACCTAAAGATTACAAGCACCCTTCTCTTTTACGCGGGAAACTTAATGAGTTAACAAGAGGCACAATTTAATTTACTGTAAATGTGAGGCACGAGGAGTCGGTCCTTCAGTCATGTGGCCTTAAAACTACTGGGGTCAATCTGAAACAGGAAGGAGGAGGAATGCAGCCACGTCCTTTCAATAGACGAGATTATAGATCATGTTTAAAAAGCTCTCACAGCCTAAACATGTACATTTGGTTTCATAGTTTGGACCATCATTCAAAAAGTTCTGAGACCAAATCAATTAGGACTGCACCTACACATAACTCTGAACGGAGCGACCCATTTTATGTTAGTGCTAATTTGATGACATTGATCAACATTGTGCTTTTCACTCTCTTTGCATTTCTCTTTCCCTAAACGGAGACCTGCAGCACAGATACATGTGTAAGTGGCCGTCCTGGTGCAATCTCTTTTATGTGACACAGTTTCACAGGCCCTTCTCTCTAACTCCCGTGTGAGGTCATTGACATGCAGCGAGAGTGACACCTGGACCACATGTCGTCAACATGAGAGAGGGGCCCTTTCACACTGCCACATTCACCACAGCCATTCACCCTCTGCCTGCTCCAAGTCTCCAGGACAAAAGAGAAGAGTTTTGTTCAATTGAAACTCAATTTGTCAAAGGACCCAATAAACATTTAAATGATGGATTAAAATAAATGATGTAAAAAATATTCCTTTAATTGTTTGCAAAAGAAGAGAGCTTTTAAAAACCTCTAACAACCACGATGACAGAAATAGTTATGAATGAAACTACATAGACTTTACATTCACAGCACTTCAGGCAAGGTAGAGTACATAGTCATTCCTGATTCAATTAGTCAGGAAACCACTCATAACAGAAACCTAAGTCACACATGAGTCAGTGCCACTTTGACTAAAGAAACACAGTGTAAATATTTTACAATGTAGTGTGAACTTTGAACTCCCCGGGTCAATATGTGTACAATGATAAAAGGGTGAAGTCAAATCAACTCCAAAACCTTCCCATATAAGGAATGAAACCATAAAAGGAAGTCATACTATGGGAGCAAAAGTGTGTGTCCCTTTGTTGGTAATCGAAGTTCTTTAACCTGAAAGGGTCATTGGCTTGTTCACAATCATTGTTAGGAAAAACTTCTTAAATATCCAACTCCTTCAGACCTTGTCTCAACAATTAACAGCCTTCAAAGCCATTCTTCCAAGACGTTTCCTAGAACCCTGACACCGGAAACTATTGTGACTATAACAAGAGACTGAAGCCATTATGGCTTATATACAGTATAAAAGGTAGAATACAAGTTCATAATAACACTTTATGAACCGTATTCAACTGGAAAACAGAAGTCTTTGAATAGCATTTTGAGAATAAGAATGGCATTAACAGAATATTTTTGTCACTACTAAAATATGACATTGTAGATTAAAACCATGATTAATTTACATAAACACACACACACACACACACACACAGCAGAAGGACACACTTGACTCACAGTGTCTCCGATCTTGAGGTCCACACACTTCCTGAGGCCTGGCAGAGGCTTCCCATCCTGACAGGTGGCTGTGAAGGAGAGGCTCAGGTCCTCAGGGTGGTCCCACACAGACAGCTCCACTTTGGACCGGATGTTCTGAGGACGACATGTGGCAGAAAGATTGAGGAAGGTCTGGATGTGTCCAGTCCATAGGAAAAAGAAAGTACTTGCCCACCTCACGGCTACAGAAGAAAAGAAAACTGTTTTTATGAGCTGAAAGAACCTAGTTCCAAGAGAGACTTAGGAACAAGAGCGGACTGCCGAGTGGGCGGGACTTCGCAGTTCTTTTCTACAGCTGATATTTTTAGTGCACTACAAAAAAATACTCTAAACAGACAATTATTAAACACAATTTTCCTTTGAGCAATATGTCAACATTAAGTAAGTAAGTAATGTTTATTTATATACCGTCTTTCACAGACCAGAGTCACAAAGCAGTTTACAATTGTTATTTTATGGGCACTTGTCTCTCACTCCACACAGAGATGGGAGCGGGGTCGCCGAACAGGAGGCGCATGCCAGAACTATTGTACATATTTTTAGTGGTAGGGGAAACCGGAGTACCCGGAGGAAACCTACGCAGACACGGGGAGAACATGCAAACTCCACTCAGAAAGTGACTTGCATTCAACTGTATCTCAAGTTAATAAATATATATAAAACCGGTGAAACATTGTAAGTCTGATGCTAAACTAATCTATGCTAAAAACACGTCTAGAATAATTGCCAACACAACCATTCACAACTACTTGCAACTTAACACTTTGAATAGAATTAATTCTGTTGGTATTTCATCAGTAATTGTGGAAGGAACAGCCACTATCTCCCACACGGACATTTGTACAGAAACCACCTCTTTTATCTTTTTTTTTTTTTTTTTTTATTTATTTATTTGACAGGGACAGTGTACATTAATCAACATTTCTGTAAATGCACCGGAATTAGCCAAAAGGCTATTTTTCATCCGTAGTCCCTGGACAGATGTAAAAAGTCTCCCTAAGACAATAAAACAATAAAACATTACGGTCAGTGCAATAAAATACAAAGTAGGACACAGTCACTACACTATACAGGTTATATACAAATACAAACAGTGCAAACAATAAGAATCATAATACAGACAGGGGTTAATGACTGCAAGACTGTTGAGTAATGAACCAGTTCTTTAAATGTTTTTTAAACAGTATGTTAGTGGACAGATCTCTTATGTTAGCTGGGATGGAGTTCCAGTCTTTGGCTGCAGTTACAGAAAAGGTGTTCTGACTAAAGGCACTTTTCCTAAATGGAACTATGCAGTCTCCTCGAGCTGCTCCTCTGGTCACCCGCTGTAAATATGTGGGGTTTCTGATGCTGACAAACTGACTGAGTGGGGGAGAAGATTGGTTGTGGATTATTTTATGTATGAGGCAGCGGTTTGAATACTTAATGAGATTTTCCCAGCTTAAAAGTTTGTGCTTTTGAAGGATATTGCAGTGATGATACCTCATTGGTTTTTTGTCCAGAATTTTTATTGTCCGTTTGTAAAGTCTACCTCAGTTTAAACATGACAGAAAAGGAGAGAAACGTGGAGAATGCATCAGCTGAAAGAAAATCCTACCGCAACTCTCACATGTAACATTCACATCTATGTGACCTGTATCCGTAGATCCATTTGTGGCAAGTGTAAAGTCATTCTTGCCAAATCCCAAATCAACAAGTCCAACTGCCTCTGTGCTCAACTCAGAACTGAAAGACAGTAGAGCCATCCAAGATAATATAACGGTTTCAAGATCTGTTCTACACATGTATACAAGTGTGCTTTTGACAGAGCAAGAGTAGACTATCCTAGTTAACCTTTGGTGCTGATACTTACATTTTCTTAACAGTTAAATGACAAAAGCAGCGGGTTATTAACAGTGACAGCAGTGTTGCACTCTTGCTTTCGTCAATTCTCAAATGCTCTGCGCCACACAACAGGAAATGGCGCTCTGATTGTTAGACTTACATTGTAAGCGTTAACGATGAGCTGTATGACATTCTTGGAGTCCTGGTCTAAGATTTCCACTGTTGTGCCAGGTATGAGAGCTGTGAAATTCTATAAATGGACAACAGATTAAAAATATGTTCATTTAGAGCAGAAGAAAGGTGCTTTAACCCGGATACCTTATAAATGACATAGAGACGCTTTGTGACGGCAAAGATTAGAAAGATGTTGTTTTCTGCAAGTTTCTCCCCCAGCAGTGCCAGAGAAGGGTAGTCCTGTGCAGCAGAAAGGACTTCAGCCACATGTGTTTACAGTGCTAACACTTGACCCAATGTTATGTTTGCATTTCCCTAAAAGCAAGTACGACTGAGAAATCATGAGGAGAACTGAAAAGAAGAGAAAGTAGCTACAGAAATTAAACTAATGACAAAAAAGGTAAAAACAAAATTAAATAAGCGTGTGTTAAATTGTACTGTATTATAGCAGCACGTAACTAATGAAAGAATGAAACTAATCTCTGGCTTCAGATTAACAGAATGAGTGAAAAACAGTTGGGTTGAAAACATGTGATAAGTATTAAGAGACAATAATCAAATATGTTATGCACTTCATTATGACATCATCTGGCTCTTACAGACAGGCCTTTTAACGTTAATTCACAAGACATAGATTAGAATTGGATAAATATTGGACTGGTACCATTTGAGTTGAAGCTCTATACTCGTTCTGCTCATTGAGGTGACACTGTCCGTCGTGAGGCTGGACCAGGCCCCCGAGTCTGCCGTCCAAGGCCAAGTGAGGGACATCATCTGTGGCAAACACCAACAAGTGATAGGCCTCCTTTCTCCAGCCGATCTCCTCCTACAAGTAAAATGAGCCACACAACATGATATCACAATTCTAACATGCAGTTCAAAGGCAAGTGAAAAGCAGATCACTGATGCCGACAAGGATTCAAGAGTGGAGCCTACCCATTATTTATTTTAACATTGATCACGTTCATTTACAAACCAACCTCAGAAACGATACTGAAAATAGAACACATTGATTGAACCTCCGGACAGTCCCAGCAGTGTTCGTAACCACCAATGTTTGGAATAGTAGCAGCCGAGTAAATTACAAGGCAGGAGACATTCACTTCCTGTAGAAAACAATTAAACCGTCCAAGGAGAGCGGGACGTGACTGGGCCTGACTCTTCTTCATGTTTGTCCAGCTGTAGACAACATTTCCAGTCTGTCCCCTCTGGTGCTTTTAATTAACAAGTAAATAGGCAAAGAACTTGTCATGTGGGACCACGGGCTTTCTCCTCCATCTTTAATAGTCTGTGTCATGTTTGCCATGGAGCTCAATCAAATAAAACCATGAGTTTCGTATGAAGAAAAAAACACATTTGTCTCATTCTAAAATAAATGCATTTGCTTTTTACTGCCATGTCTCAAGATTATCTTTGAGACTGTTTACAATTTATCTTTGTGCATGATTCATTCAACACACAATCGTGGTAAGCCACAGTGGCCACAGCTGCCCTGGGGCAGACTGCACCAACCTCTCTCACACACCAGACTTAAAGATGAAACATCAGTTATGAGTTTTCAGTGAAACTACTATATGCTCTATGAACATATGCATAAATGTCTTATTTTAAATCATTTTAATATTGCCAGCAAATATAACTGGAGAGTATTCTTTGGGTTAGATTTTTCATTACATTTCTGTGTTGTAAACAACTGATTTATAGAGCTAATATAATATGTAATAATTAGTTACAGCCCAAGGAAGTGTCTTGCCAAAGGACACAACAACAATACCTTACAGACAGCAGCCTGCAGGATGGCATCGAACCCTCCCTCTGGGGCATCCCTGTTGCGAGACACCATCTGCTTCTGCACCTCCTGATTGAAGCGGTCCACTTTGTCCGTTAACGAGAGGATGTGGCGGAACCCAAAGGTCGGGACGCAGTTTGGAAACAACTTGTACCTGGTCAGAAAACAACAGCTTAGATTTCCATCAATGAACAAGTTATATAACCCGGGTCTATCCCAGATATAACCTAGATATAACCCGGGTCTAGCCCAGATATAACCTAGATATAACCCGGGTCTAGCCCAGATATAACCTAGATATAACCCGGGTCTATCCCAGATATAACCCGGGTCTATCCCAGATATAACCTAGATATAACCCGGGTCTATCCCAGATATAACCCGGGTCTAGCCCAGATATAACCCGGGTCTAGCCCAGATATAACCTAGATATAACCCGGGTCTATCCCAGATATAACCCGGGTCTATCCCAGATATAACCTAGATATAACCCGGGTCTATCCCAGATATAACCCGGGTCTAGCCCAGATATAACCCGGTGTCTATCCCAGATATAACCCAGATATAACCCGGGACTATCCCAGATATAACCCAGATATAACCCGGGTCTATCCCAGATATAACCCAGATATAACCCGGGTCTATCCCAGATATAACCCGGGTCTATCCCAGATATAACCCGGGTCTATCCCAGATATAACCCGGGTCTATCCCAGATATAACCCAGATATAACCCGGGTCTATCCCAGATATAACCCGGGTCTATCCCAGATATAACCCGGGTCTAGCCCAGATATAACCCAGATATAACCCAGGTCTATCCCAGATATAACCCAGATATAACCCGGGTCTATCCCAGATATAACCCAGATATAACCCGGGTCTATCCCAGATATAACCCGGGTCTATCCCAGATATAACCCGGGTCTATCCCAGATATAACCCGGGTCTAGCCCAGATATAACCCGGGTCTAGCCCAGATATAACCCAGATATAACCCGGGTCTAGCCCAGATATAACCCAGATATAACCTGGGTCTATCCCAGATATAACCCGGGTCTATCCCAGATATAACCTAGATATAACCCGGGTCTATCCCAGATATAACCTAGATATAACCCGGGTCTATCCCAGATATAACCCGGGTCTAGCCCAGATATAACCCGGTGTCTATCCCAGATATAACCCAGATATAACCCGGGACTATCCCAGATATAACCCAGATATAACCTGGGTCTATCCCAGATATAACCCAGATATAACCCGGGTCTATCCCAGATATAACCCGGGTCTATCCCAGATATAACCCAGATATAACCCGGGTCTATCCCAGATATAACCCGGGTCTATCCCAGATATAACCCGGGTCTAGCCCAGATATAACCCAGATATAACCCGGGTCTATCCCAGATATAACCCAGATATAACCCGGGTCTATCCCAGATATAACCCAGATATAACCCGGGTCTATCCCAGATATAACCCGGGTCTATCCCAGATATAACCCGGGTCTATCCCAGATATAACCCGGGTCTATCCCAGATATAACCCGGGTCTATCCCAGATATAACCCGGGTCTAGCCCAGATATAACCCGGGTCTAGCCCAGATATAACCCAGATATAACCCGGGTCTAGCCCAGATATAACCCAGATATAACCCGGGTCTATCCCAGATATAACCCGGGTCTATCCCAGATATAACCCGGGTCTATCCCAGATATAACCCGGGACTATCCCAGATATAACCCAGATATAACCCGGTGTCTATCCCAGATATAACCCAGATATAACCCGGGTCTATCCCAGATATAACCCAGGACTATCCCAGATATAACCCGGGACTATCCCAGATATAACCCAGATATAACCCAGATATAACCCGGGTCTAGCCCAGATATAACCCGGGTCTAGCCCAGATATAACCCGGGTCTATCCCAGATATAACCCAGATATAACCCGGGTCTATCCCAGATATAACCCGGGTCTATCCCAGATATAACCCAGATATAACCCAGATATAACCCGGGTCTATCCCAGATATAACCCGGGACTATCCCAGATATAACCCAGATATAACCCGGGTCTAGCCCAGATATAACCCAGATATAACCCAGATATAACCCAGATATAACCCAGATATAACCCAGGACTATCCCAGATATAACCCAGATATAACCCGGGACTATCCCAGATATAACCCGGGACTATCCCAGATATAACCCAGATATAACCCGGGTCTATCCCAGATATAACCCGGGACTATCCCAGATATAACCCAGATATAACCCGGGTCTAGCCCAGATATAACCCAGATATAACCCGGGTCTATCCCAGATATAACCCAGATATAACCCGGGTCTATCCCAGATATAACCCAGATATAACCCAGATATAACCCGGGACTATCCCAGATATAACCCGGGTCTAGCCCAGATATAACCCGGGTCTAGCCCAGATATAACCCGGGTCTATCCCAGATATAACCCGGGTCTATCCCAGATATAACCCAGATATAACCCGGGTCTATCCCAGATATAACCCGGGTCTAGCCCAGATATAACCCTGATATAACCCGGGTCTATCCCAGATATAACCCGGGACTATCCCAGATATAACCCGGGACTATCCCAGATATAACCCGGGACTATCCCAGATATAACCCGGGACTATCCCAGATATAACCCGGGACTATCCCAGATATAACCCAGATATAACCCGGGACTATCCCAGATATAACCCAGATATAACCCGGGACTATCCCAGATATAACCCAGATATAACCCGGGACTATCCCAGATATAACCCAGATATAACCCGGGTCTATCCCAGATATAACCCAGATATAACCCGGGTCTATCCCAGATATATCCCAGATATAACCCAGATATAACCCGGGTCTATCCCAGATATAACCCGGGTCTATCCCAGATATATCCCAGATATAACCCGGGTCTAGCCCAGATATAACCCAGATATAACCCGGGTCTATCCCAGATATAACCCGGGTCTAGCCCAGATATAACCCAGATATAACCCGGGTCTATCCCAGATATAACCCGGGTCTAGCCCAGATATAACCCGGGTCTAGCCCAGATATAACCCAGATATAACCCGGGTCTAGCCCAGATATAACCCAGATATAACCCGGGTCTATTCCAGATATAACCCAGATATAACCTGGGTCTATCCCAGATATAACCCGGGACTATCCCAGATATAACCCGGGTCTAGCCCAGATATAACCCAGATATAACCCGGGTCTAGCCCAGATATAACCCAGATATAACCCGGGTCTAGCCCAGATATAACCCGGGTCTAGCCCAGATATAACCCAGATATAACCCGGGTCTAGCCCAGATATAACCCAGATATAACCCGGGTCTAGCCCAGATATAACCCAGATATAACCCGGGTCTAACCCAGATATAACCCGGGTCTAACCCAGATATAACCCAGATATAACCCAGATATAACCCGGGTCTAGCCCAGATATAACCCAGATATAACCCGGGTCTATCCCGGATATAACCCAGATATAACCCGGGTCTAGCCCAGATATAACCCAGATATAACCCGGGTCTATCCCAGATATAACCCAGATATAACCCAGATATAACCCAGATATAACCCAGATATAACCCAGATATAACCCAGATATAACCCGGGTCTAGCCCAGATATAACCCAGATATAACCCGGGTCTAGCCCAGATATAACCCAGATATAACCCGGGTCTAGCCCAGATGTTTAGAGATTCACACTGCTGCAGTGTAGCTTCAGGGCAAACCTCTCTGGCCACAGCTGTTCTTCTCTTCTGCTTCTCTTCAGTTTTACATTTAAAAACAGACTGATTACTGTTTATTGTGAAAAATCAGTTTTGTTCTATTTTCTCTCATGTATGTTTAAATATACATAATTCATGTATGGTTAAAAATAGTCAGCAGCAGAAACATGTGAGAGCTACGCAGGGAGCTACTCCAGGTTCTATGCAATCACAAAGAAAGCTCATTTGACTCACCCGTTGCATGGATTTTCTTGGTATTTTGGGGCTGTATATGAAAACGGTGACATGTTTTTGTCCACGAAGGAGCCAAAGCCAAGCCTGAAGTTGCTGGTGAGTTGTCCCATTTCGTCTGCCAACTTTGTGCCTAAATTGCGGATGGTGTCCAGATCATCCTTCATTGACAGAGACAGGTCCATCAGGTAGTAGAGGTCCACGGGATAGTCCTCGACCTGTCGCACCTGCACCTCAAAAGATGTCTGCTCTCCTGTTTACACAAACAACATGTTTTAGTCCGTGTAAGAGTGAGCCAAATAAAACTATTACAATCACTGTTACCTGGTCGCAAACTGAGGGAGATCTTCTGAGGCATAATCTGGACCACATTAGTGTGGTTCGATCCAGAACCCTTAGAACTTAGTAATGCATTTTGAAGCACAGAAACACTGCTCTTTGGAGATTCTATGTGTCGTGTGTCACAGCCTCTTTTCACCAGATTTGAAGTGAAATCACATCGAGATGGTAACGTGCGTCCAATGCCAAAATCCTAAAAGAGAGAGACAAAAAGAAAGGAATGGGTCCCACTGAAGTCATCATACAACTAAGCCCAAAAATAGGACTTTTTCATTATTCCCACAAACAACACATTTCATTGTGTCTGTAAATATCATCCTTAAAGTGAACTTCAGCTTCCAGCACATAGTTTTAGACATGTTTTAAAGCTATCTCTATTGTGCATGGTTTAGTGGTAGGGGAAACCGGAGCACCTGGAGGAAACCTACGCAGACACAAGGAGAACAAGCAAACTCCACTCAGAAAGGCCTCATCCTGGCGGTTCATGATAATGATGATGGAGGTGATGCAAAGAGCCTCAACCAGATGTGGTAAACCAGGACGCTGATGGTTACTGATGGTTACTGACGGTTACTACTGACGGTTGTAGATTGTTGGGTTAGTAGATTGGTTAGTATAATATAGGATAGGTTAGTAGATTGGTTAGTATAATATAGGATAGGTTAGTAGATTGGTTAGTATAATATAGGATTGGTTAGTATAATATAGGATTGGTTAGTATAATATAGGATAGGGTAGTATAATATAGGATTGGTTAGTAGATTGGTTAGTATAATATAGGATAGGTTAGTAGATTGGTTAGTATAATATAGGATTGGTTAGTAGATTGGTTAGTATAATATAGGATTGGTTAGTATAATATAGGATAGGGTAGTATAATATAGGATAGGTTAGTAGATTGGTTAGTATAATATAGGATTGGTTAGTATAATATAGGATTGGTTAGTATAATATAGGATAGGTTAGTAGATTGGTTAGTATAATATAGGATTGGTTAGTATAATATTGGATAGGTTAGTAGATTGGTTAGTATAATATAGGATTGGCTAGTATAATATAGGATAGGTTAGTAGATTGGTTAGTATAATATAGGATTGGCTAGTATAATATAGGATAGGTTAGTAGATTGGTTAGTATAATATAGGATTGGCTAGTATAATATAGGATAGGTTAGTAGATTGGTTAGTATAATATAGGATTGGCTAGTATAATATAGGATAGGTTAGTAGATTGGTTAGTATAATATAGGATTGGCTAGTATAATATAGGATAGGTTAGTAGATTGGTTAGTATAATATAGGATTGGCTAGTATAATATAGGATAGGTTAGTAGATTGGTTAGTATAATATAGGATTGGCTAGTATAATATAGGATAGGTTAGTAGATTGTTGGGATGGTAGAGCTTACCTCTTGTGCGCACCAGGCGCAGCTGGGATGGATGAGGAGACAGTCTTCACAGGAGGTAGCACTTCCACTCATGCACATGTTGAGACCTGAGGAGGATCCTGTCATACATGACACATGTGAGAGTCATGAAGAAACATCTGAGCTTTAATCAAAACACTCATTAATTATTAACGACCATTTATCTTCGACAACGATGTTAGGTTTGTGGTGCCATAATCATACTCGGTCAATACGAGCCATAAAATATGGTCAATACAAGACTCTGCATGTGCATGTGCATGTGCACCTGCATGTGCATGTGCATGTGCATGTGCATAAATAACCTTGTGCATATCTTACCCAGTGTGTTGCATATGAAGGTCTCGATGACCAAGCAGCACAATGCGGCTCGCTGCATCCATGGCCTCCACATGGTGCCTTGCTTCAGTTTGGGGTTTAGGCAGTGCAAAGGTTTACTGTGGCAGAGAACCCATGTGTCTGACCTTTTACAATACGTGCAAAATAAAAAGATTTAATCCATCATGACCACAACGACGCGCAGTTCTCTTCCAAAGGGTTCATGACAGCTCCACTGAGTCCTGACCCTCAGAGTCCGGATCCATAGAGTCCGGATCCACAGAGTCCTGGTTCACAGAGTCCTGGTCCACAGAGTACCGGTCCACAGAGTCCGGATCCACAGAGTCCTGGTCCACAGAGTCCGGATCCACAGAGTCCTGGTCCACAGAGTCCGGATCCACAGAGTCCTGGTCCACAGAGTCCGGATCCACAGAGTCCTGGTCCACAGAGTCCGGATCCACAGAGTCCTGGTCCAGAGAATCCGGACCCACAGCTAATGTGTAATGTTTTCACGGTCTCTAGTCTCTTCTGCCGCGGCTTCGCTCCGTCAGCCACAGATGACAGATTTCCAGAAGCGGATCCATCTGTGCACCACTGACGCCACTCTTCAGATATTAAAGGTTTTCCAACACCAGTTATCAGTGCACTTGTGCTACAGACTTGGAAGTTATTTTCCTTTCACTGACTTTGATTTTCTAAACCGTCTGTTGGGTTCTGTGAGCAAATCTCCGCCCATTCTCTACCACGGATTACTTTAACCCCTTCACTGCTCGGAGAGCACAGGCAGACTCCAGCAGACTGCAGTCATCAAGTGCGCATGCGTGGTGTGTGTGCGCGTATCTATGTGCGTGTACGGCTCCTGTGCCATTGTGCTAATACTGACATCTAGTGGTAGATGACATTTTGAATAGAAAATCTAGTCTGCGTAGTAACTGCTGAGAAAGACATTTATTGGTCAACTAAAGTAGATCCTCCACACGTTGAAGAGGACTTTGTCAAAACTGAGATCAATGAAACAATATTAACAGGAACATACAAAGGGGCGTATGGAAACTTAACATAACTTTGAACAATAAAGTTTGCACTGGTTCTGACGTTATCTTTAGGTGTTGGCAGGCTTGGTCAGGAGGTCAGAAGTCATGTCTCGGATGGTCCTGAGAGAAAGACCGCTGAGCACCCCTCTGTATTTGGCCCTAAGCTCCTGAAGGGCCTCCACAATCCTCTGGTGGCTCACATCTGGGTGGCACTGCTTCAACTCGGTCATAAGAATATCAAAGCTGCCCATGGTTCCATAGTGCTGTGGGACAAATGTCCCCTGAGCTGTCGGAGACACACTGACCACCTTCTTCCTTGAACTGGTTGTTGGTAACTAAAAAAAGATTGACAAAATGAACACATGATATAGAAAATAAGAATTCCATTATCTCACCAGATTCTGGCTTTTGCCTGGGATGTTTGTAGTTTCAGGGTCACTTCTGCTCCTGGTGGACTGATGATCTGATCTTCCTGCCTGAATGAGTTCTACTTGTAAAGTGTGTCCTTTTACTCTCAGGCCATTGAGTTCTCTCACTGCAGCTTCAGCAGACTGTTGGCTCTCCACTATCACTACGGCAACACTACAAAGGAAGATAGTTCAAGAACTTGGCTCTCTGCAAATGAGATTAAAATGTCTCAATCATAATACCTTAGCTCCTTTAAGTTTGACACGTGAAGCTCTGACACATCATACTTTTGAAACAGCATCATCACATCAGCCTGAAAGATGAGTTACATTAGTCATGATATGACTGCCCTCTGCTGACCATTTTCATAACTACATCATATAAAAATATTACCTCAGTAGCACGAGAGGGGAGACCAAAAACACAGAGGCCTGCGTTCACAGCCTTAGGCTTCTCTGTCACTATGTGAACAAGGTTTTAACATTAGTATGAGTCAGGGGCCACACATCAAACAACTTAATGACATTATTTAAAACATTTACCTTGTTCACAAAGACTAAAGTAAACATTTACACATTTACACTCAGGAGGCAAATACAACAGTCGTTATGTTACAGAGCCGTAAGATTGTAGCAATCGAGTAAAGTCATTTATCAAACATTACCTTGGATTTAAGTTCACTTCAAAACTTTCTTCTGACATATACATTATTCAGACATGTTTTTTTAAAATGATTAATTAAAAATAATATATTCCCCAGTTATCCCCATTGAAAATAGCTTTTGCTATTTTAGTCAAATTAATACCAGTAATTCCAAATTTGGAAATAAAAGTTTATTAAAAAGTAGCTACAAAGAACTTCCTACATTTCCTGTCCACCCAAAGCTGACATACAGAGAAAGTCCACACTGCAAGTCTGCAGCCATGAGTCTGTAGCAGAGACCACAGGCACTAATAATCATAATAATCATAATAATAATGCTAACTGTACTGATTAGACACCAGATGTTACTGTTGTTACTCTTACTTATAGCACCAGGTTCTTTGTCCGCCTTCAGTTGCTCTCCACTGCCGTCTGAAGACAAGTCTTCCTCTGCATCAAACCAGGCCTCACTAGAAAATGACTCTTAAACAAAAGAACTTGTGTTTTGACTAAATCCAGTGAAATGCAGTGCATTTGAAAGTTACCTGATGATTTTCTGTCTGCCCTTTGGTCTGTCCCTCCGTCCTTCAGGAGTCGAGTGACGACCCTCTTGGCAGAGCTGGAGTCTCCTTTAGAACAACCTGTTATCTCACTCTAGGAAAATTACACATTTATTTTTGTTGAATGTTTTAGACCATATTTTAATTTCAGGGTAATTTAGTGTGATCTCGCCTGCAAAGAGCCGTCACCCCCGAGATGGACCGGTTTATCATTCATAGTGTGTTGTTGAGGACTGCACAGAAAGAGAATATTTAAATAGATTTACCAATTTTGACACAACAACAGTGTGATGTACCTAACACAGTCTTTCTGAATACCACCAATTATCTGGAAGAAAACAACAGTTTAATAAATCATTTTAGTCTTTTAAGTTTAAAAGTGCATTCCACCGCTGCCACAGAAGAGTCATGTCCCAGAGACAGAGGAGTCAGGTCCTGCAGAGAGATCCCCGACAGGATCCTTCCTCTCATCCTGTTGTAGTCAGTCTCCAGTTTTTTAAGATCATTCACAATCCTTGTAAAAGGCGAAGAGACCCTGGAATAGCACAATCCAATAGATGTACAAATACCATCAAACGTATAAGACAGGTCACATGCTGCAGCAGTCGGAGAGAAACATGGTCCAAAGTTACAAACCTCTGCATCTGAACCTTCAGCAGCAGTTCATCTCTCTCAGTCTTCATGGTACCAAACTCCTATTAGAGAACAACCATGTAATATGTACCATGAACAGCATACCATGTTATATGTACCATCAACTGCATGATATCATGTTATATGTACCATCAACTGCATGATATCATGTTATAGGTACCATGAACAGCATGATACCATGTTATATGTACCATGTATATTATATGGAAATGTACCATGAGCTATGGTACTAGTTGCATTCACCTTGGTGAGATAGTCCAGGTCTACCATATAGACTTCTGTATTGACAGCCGTGTCTGTCATCGTCTGCTCAGTGCCAACCATAGCATCACAAGTGTAGACGGAGGTCATGGGGGATGTGGACCGGTTTTCAGTGGTTCTGTTGTTGCAGGTCTTGTTTTCAGAGACACAAAGCACAATGCTTTTATCTGCTTCCAGAATGCTGTAGAAGTCTTCATTCGAACTGGTATCATGCCTCGACTCCAATATCAGGGCAGATGCATCACCTCCATGTGAGGGTAGATCAGGGCTATTCAGAAAAACACTGTCAAAACAAAGCTTACACGTGATTTACTGAACATAAAGTGTTGCTATCTGCAGTAAAAAGAAAAAAATGTATTATCCGTCTCTTTACACAGTCAGAAATAGGGATGCATCAATACCACTTTTTCAAAAACCGATTTGAGTACCTTCATTTCAATACTTGCCGATACCAAGTACCAGTACGAGTACTGAGTTGTGCTATCCCTGGGAATTCATAAATCTAACAGGGAATGTCCACAGTAGGCGTTAACAGTAGGGGTGCAACGGTTTGAAAAAATCACGGTTCGGTTCGTACCTCGGTTCAGAGGCCACGGTTCGGTTCATTATTCGGTTCATTTTTCTAAAAAATAGTTTTGTCTTTTTAATAAACACAGCTCATGTGGACTCGGCACCTGCTCTGACTGCCCCCCCTGACCTAGAAATTAATTAAGGGGAAGGAAATGGATGGATGGATGAATTTTAACATAATTAATGAAAAACAACACAAAGTGCAACATAAGAAGGCACTTTATGAGGATATTTACCCTCATATATTAAACCACCTTCCTGATTCTCCCGAGGAGGGGGTCCATTCTGGGCCCAGCCTCATTCACTGCATTTATTTAATTTTTGGCATTATCAGTTGTGACTGGGATATTAGTACTGGGCCTTTGTCTTCCATTCCTCTGCTGCTTGTGTCAGTACCTGTGCTGTGTGTCAGTACCTGTGCTGTGTGTCAGTACCTGTGCTGTGTGTCAGTACCTGTGCTGTGTGTCAGTACCTGTGCTGTGTGTCAGTACCTGTGCTGTGTGTCAGTACCTGTGCTGTGTGTCAGTACCTGTGCTGTGTGTCAGTACCTGTGCTGTGTGTCAGTACCTGTGCTGTGTGTCAGTACCTGTGCTGTGTGTCAGTACCTGTGCTGTGTGTCAGTACCTGTGCTGTGTGTCAGTACCTGTGCTGTGTGTCAGTACCTGTGCTGTGTGTCAGTACCTGTGCTGTGTGTCAGTACCTGTGCTGTGTGTCAGTGCCTGTGCTGTGTGTCAGTACCTGCGCTGTGTGTCAGTACCTGTGCTGTGTGTCAGTACCTGTGCTGTGTGCCTGTGTGACTGTCGTAGAGGGGGCGTGTCTGCAGTGCCAGACTTTTCATCTCCCAGTCTGCGGTGATGAAGTGAGCGGTTCCGCTCATGGATCTATTATAGGTTCTGTTCTGTTCATGGATCTATTATAGGTTCTGTTCATGGATCTATTATAGGTTCTGTTCTGTTCATGGATCCGCGGGACGTCCAAGCGTCAGTCGTGAGCGCAGCTGAGGATGCGCGGGAGAGTTGACTTTAGCCCGGTCAGACTGTGCGTAAAGGAGCTGCTTAAATGCCGCGACAATAGGTGGTCGTTGAGACGCTTTTTTCACTCATGTCTTTCTTGGTCCACAGTGCTTACACATCGTGACAGTTTTGTCAAATATTAATGATCAGTGTAGTTACAGTGAAGCCAAAATGCTCTCATACTGGGGATTTAAATGACGCAGGGCTTTCAAGCATCTCCGTTCCTCCGCTCGCAATGACCGCGCTGTGTGTGGACTGAACAACGCACAACTTCTTTTTCATAAATCAAACCGCGGATCACGTCTGTACCGAACCGAAGACGTTGAACCGAACGGATCACGGATCAGTGATGAACCGTTGCACCTCTAGTTAACAGCGCGTTACATTATTTGGGTGTATCTACACTGGGCGTGTGCAGGTCCTGATGCTGTCCCTGTGTAGTCTATGGAGCAGTGTAGAGGACAGTACAGAGGACTCATGTAGAACAACACAAATCACATGCATGTGTTTGTCTTCATGGTCTCTGTGCGCTGGTTTGGCCAGACCCGAGACTTTAAGAAAAAAAACAATATCTAGAATCACTGTAAAACCGTGGCTCAAGTTAATTAGAAAAAGAACGTCTAAAGCCAACATTTTCCACACACAAAAGTGGCTGCTCATCAAGAGCCTCATACTCTGCGAATAGTCCGGTGATTTTTACTGCTAAGTTTGTTGTAGAGTTGGTTGTTTTTGAGTTTTCAGATGTGTGATCAAGTTGCTGGTGTTATACGTGTTTTTTTTTCGTGACAGTTTTGTCTTGCACACAGAGTTGGCTTTACTCTTGTCACTCTCGTTTATTTTAAAAGTTATACGGCCGACATCCTGTTCGCTTACCGGTAGCTTGCTTTCTCGCAGCTGACTTTGGGAGATCACCATGACAACACGTGAAGCACAGGTGTCTACATTTTAAAATGTGGGCATCGGTTGCTGGTATCAGGTCCTATGGTATGAGTAAGAATACAAATGCGGAAGAAGCTAATTTGAATATAAGCTGGAGTACATGTCCTTATGATATTAAATTGTTCCTGTAGTGTAACAGGTGTTATGGACATTAACAGCTATGCACTATCTAGGCAAGGCAAGTTTATTTGTATAGCACAATTCATACACAAGGCAACTCAAAGTGCTGAACAAAACAAGAAAGCATTAAAATCATAAATAATCACAGTACATTATATTTGTAAATGTACACCAAATAAACACCACCTACCCTAGAAAAGATTCCCAGATTACATATTGTGATGTTTTGTCTGGTGTTTAGTCTGGTGCCAGGTTAATACACTCACCCAACTGCAGGGCTTTGTGGATTCTCTTGTTGGTGCATTTCAAGTTCAGAATCCAGAGAGAAATTGGCAACCTGCTCTGGTTCCACAGATCCAGTATGACCATTGTAAGGGCTCGCCATTTGCCATGCGAGTTTGCTTAGCTAAAACAGAATAGACTGATTTGAATTATTAAATTGTATTGCTGTCATTCATACAAGAAATTACAAGTACTGAAACAAGATCAAACAAAATGATCCACGTCTATGCAGTAGACTCGCCTCCTGTAATCTGGGGTCCATACGTTGAGGTGTAGGGTAGCTGTGGTTTGAGTGGAAGGTGCCCTGATGTTGGCTGTAACTGTCCACAGTGTTGCTGCTCCACTGAGGAGAGCTCTCTCTTGAAACAGTGGTAATGTCTAAAAGTGAACAAGTCAACATTTTATTGTTACAGACATATTATTTGGTCCAGCTGTCTTTAAACTGAACCACACATGGTTATTTGCCTAGAAACACATATAGCGTCACTGTCAAATACAAATATAGCATACGTTTTACATAAATGTGGTTCTTTGACAGCTCCAACAATGGATGCTTCCTAAGGAATTGGTGAAATCCTCCGTTATCTAGAAAACAGACAAAAAAACATAATATAATATATAACAGATATAAAGAAAGGAAAAAAATGGTAAAGCATAAAACATAACGTGTGTAGTGTTTGAAATGTATGAAGAGGAAGCAAATACTTTGAATGATCTTTCGGTCCAGAGGCGAAAGAGCGAGGTACCAGCCGAGGAGCTTGGAGTCCGTGAGGGCTAAGTAGATGCTTTCATAAATCAACTTGTAGACAGAGTTCATCAGAAAATTAATTCTGTCACCACTGGTCACATCTGTTCAACAGAGAAAGATGTAGAACAGTTCTTGTACGTAGTAACTGGGGCTCAAACCAGGTCTAATACAGGTCTTTTCAGGATCGAAAATATGTTTAAACCTGAATGACATAGCATTGGAAAGGATCGATGTGTAAACAGTGCTTTATAAATTAAATAAAATGTGATTGGTTGAGAATACTTGAACTCCTCTCCTTGAGGAAGGACCTGCCCATCTCTCCGCATCATAATGCACAACAACTTGTTTGCACAGGGAGCAATGCACAGGGAGGATGATATTAACTTAAGAAATAGATTTGAAGTTCAGGGGGATAATTATGCATCAGTGTATCAGGGTAAATATGTATATATGGATCATGGGTCCTAAGATAAGAATCATGTATTAGGTGAAATAAATAAAAAACACTGAACTAAAACCATAGAAAGGCTTCTTCTAATACATTCTGCATTGTGTACATTTAGAGTCTGTTCTGTCTAAATGTACAATACGTACAGTATTATAATAGCATTGTGTCAAGGGCATATGTTAACTGACAGGATTGAATAGTTGAACAGTGATTTGTTGAAATCTGTTGGTACACTGATGGCTTTTCAAACTTACGTGAAGCCTTATTCATCACAATGGGCTGGGGTATTGTAGCTGGAGTTGGAACCACATGGATCCTAGGATAGTGGAGCATGCACACTTGACTGTTTCCAAGTAAGGCTTGGTTGATTGTGCAGTGAAAGCAACTGGATTCAACACTCTGAAAAAAATGAATGAATTACATAGTTTGGTGTGTGTATATATATATATATATATATACATACATATGTGTGTATATGTATATATATATATATATATATATATATATATATATATATATATATATATATATATATATTACACACACACACATTATATATATATGTAAGTGTATATGTAATATATATATATATATGTATATATATATATATATATATATGGCTTTGAACAAAAAGGTAGAAGCCTCCACTTGTCTGGTGATGCTGTGATATATAATTGAAATAGCTCAGTTTCTCAGAAGGCCAAGTGCAACACCATGTGCTGAATGTTATTGGGGAGATCCAACAGTTTAACTCAAGTAATGAAGTCAAGAATAACTTTACACTGAATGTACTTTACCTGTTGTTGCACGGCTGGAATCATGTTTACTGAACTAAACATGTTCGGGTGTGTGGGAGCAACGGAACAGCACCAGTGAATGGGTGGAGCTTCGTAATGATCCATGATGACTTTTATACACCAACAATGCTAACCTAGTTTAGTCTTTTAGTCACACAACACTTCTGCACAGACAACAAAACACTGAAGATAGCTCAAACGTTAGCCTCAAAGACGAAGCGTTTACTTTCGTTTAGTTTCACTAAATCCTGTCGTCACAAAGAAGTTATGCTAACAATACTAGCAGTGCTAACTATGCTAACAGTGCTAACTATGCTAGCAGTGCTAACTATGCTAACAGTGCTAACTATGCTAGCAGTGCTAACTATGCTAACAGTGCTAACTATGCTAACAGTGCTAACTATGCTAACAGTGCTAACTATGCTAACTATGCTAACAGTGCTAACTATGCTAACAGTGCTAACTATGCTAACTATGCTAACAGTGCTAACTATGCTAACAGTGCTAACTATGCTAACAGTGCTAACTATGCTAACAGTGCTAACTATGCTAACAGTGCTAATGCCGTTAACCGCTGCAGGCCGCAGGGCTAACCAGAAATCTTAGGCAAAACCTTTAGGAAAAAAAGTAAATCCGGTATTGTTATAGCCCTAAACATGTGTATGAAATAAAAGAAACAACACAAATACACAAATTAACACAAATGAATAAAATAAAATAATGAAAAAAAGTTTTGAGAAGCTCAACCGCTGCCCTGATAGATCACAAAATAGACTAAAAATTATCAATCTATACATTAGTGGCGTAAGGGTTAACTGTTGTTGATATCCAATATTCAAATATCCAATATTTAAATACACTTACTACATGATGAACTTACCTTATCCAATATAAGTATTTGTGTCGTTTCGAAGCATGGACATAATGTAATGTACCCATCTCTCCACCAGAGGGCAGTCGTTTATCATGGATTACAGATGATGGAGAAGGGGCCTCTCAACCAACCCTCACTTTGACTGTCATTCTAATGAGTCTCATCAGGCTTTTGGAATATTATCTGACTTATTGGCATGTGGGAGAAAGAGGGGCAGTATTATAGAGTGAAACATTATTCCAAGTTCCAAGGTTAAACACATTTAAACTAATAATTGCATGAACACATTTTCATCTATAGGTATAATAGTAGGTACAACAACACAGTGACTTTATACCATTCCTAAATCATGTTATTTTATTTTTTGTCATAGCTATGAACAAGTTACATAGCGTGTAGTATGTAACTTTCCACTGCTATATTGTTTACATTTACAAAAAGAAATACAAAACCAATGGTTGACTGCGGAAGGTTCCGCAGTCAATCAATTATCCAGGTTAAAGATTCTGTATTCGGTTTGTTTTAGAAAAAAGCCCATGTGTAATATTAAGTAAGTAAGTAAGTACTTAGTAAGTGTGTAATACATCCATAAATTGTGGTATGAGTTTTCAGTTTCTGGCTTTTTAGTTACTACTTACTTAAGCCTTACTTAAAAAGTAAGGCTTTTTATTCAAGTCAATCAAACTTCCCTAGGCTAATAAAAACATAATCATGAGGCTTCAGACCTCGCATATTTGTGCATACTGTGGGAGAGTAACAGAGTAATTATTCACCCAGAAATGTGGTGCAGAGATCCAGAAGAGGCATGTGACTTCAGAAATGAGCCAGGTCAAGCAGTGCTCCTGCCAGAAGAGACGGAGGCTCAGGGAGACTGGGAAGAGAAGTGATCCTGATGAATAGATTTGTTTTGTGTTTATCGCCGAAGCGAAGACATCCTAAACAGTGGAATAACAGCAAAGACACTAATGTAAACTGAAACTGAGAAACCAGGTCTGAACCGGGATGGTCCAGAGTCAAATCAGAACCAGATTGGTCCTAATGTTATGACATGGCTGATAATACTACTGTACTGGACTGTGGATATTTCTCTCTGAACAACTATATACTACAGCTTTCCTTTGACTTATATAAGCCCATAGAAAGTATACGCTTGCAATGACTTTATCAGATTCTGTCTTTACAGTGTATTTAGTCATTTGAAGTGTTCCCATCATGCTGTAATAGAGCAGCCCAGGCACAAACAAGGATCAATATAGTTTATTTCAAACGTACATTTCAATAGAGCCGGAACTATATAGCTTGTACATTAAAACAAATGCAGCCTTATAGCAAAAATATATACTTTATAACAGTTTGTCCTTGCCCTGACCAAGTGACGGGTAACACAAAAAGTTGAGGAGAATATCACAAACGTCTGTTGTCCAAAAGTGTAATGCGATATGTTGGTGACATCATGCAATCAGGAGATTCTTTTGGATAAATTGAAAGTGGCAGAAATTGACCATTGGTTGTTACAAAAAGTCAACATTGTTATTTTTACATGCAAGGTTTGGTGCATGAATGTACAGTGAAGAGGATCAACTCAGAGCACAACAAAGGAGCAGCCTGTACATCAACAACATTCACTGGGAGAGTTTAAAGCTTGAACTGGACAGAGAAAAGAAAGATGCAAGAATAATATTGCTTAGTGTTTCGCCAAATCAAAGCGTGTCTGAGCCCAAGTTACAAGCGGAACATTCACGAAGGAAACAACAGCGTGAACTACAGCAGGTCCCGAATCTTAAGCTCACAATTATAAAAACAAAACACACGTGGCAAATGTTTAAAGCAAATATGTACAGAAACACAACGTGGTATGTGGGGACTGCATTCGTTTATGCAAAGTTCAGACAATCCTCTTCAGTTAAAGCCCTTTTAGTGGATTTCCAGAAACAGAACATTTGAGGGACTTGAAAAAGGCATTTGTACTGTAGTCCATCCCGTGTTCTCATCTCATGATTGTTTCATTAATGCAGATTGTCACATAGAAGAAAATGCTGAAACTCTTGCACCGTCTTAGAAAGGGAAACGAAATCTTGACAGTTTTTGAAAGGCCTTGGACCTCATTTTTTGGTCTCCATGGAAACAGCAGCTCTGTGCCGTATGTAAGAAACAGGCTGTTTCCTCTCTCCCTCGTTCTTTCTTTCGTTCAAACTTGGGACAGCGTTTTGTGAAGGTGCCCGGGCCGGATCTCGAGCAGAACGAGTACTTTTCAGTTCAAGCAGAAAGTCTTCATGGTGTGATGTCAGTAGCTGTAACCATCTTGGAAAGGTAGCCCCGCCACACACTGTTCTCCCCCTTCCAGCAGATAGGGGGCAGCGTCCTCATAGTGCGCGAGCGGGACAGTGTCCTCGTCCAATCCGGGCACGCCGTCAGGGTCGTTCTTCAGATTGGGCCGCTGGTTGTCGGGAAAAGCCATGGAGAAGAGGGCCTCTGGGTCGCACACAAATTTATACACGTACCTCTCCCCAGCAACCTACAGAGACACAAGAGTTAGTCTGTGATGGTTGTCAAACAGTCAGAAGCTAAAGCTGGGGTACCCAACTTAATAATACTTTAGTTTAACCCTAACCCTAACCCTTGAACAAATCAGTCCACAAGACGCCGCCTTCTGGTGTAATTTGATAATCTCAGAGCTGATTAGCCGAGTACCAGAGAAAAGAGTACCTCTTTTCACTTTTCTGAATTACTGTTGATGTTTTATTACTCTTTTTTTTTTTTTAGATTAGGCACCCCAGCTTCAAGTCAAGGTGGATTTTCTAAATTATTGCAGAAAACAGAAAAGCTCCACGTGCCTTTACCTTCTGCATGATTCCCTTCTCGTAGTAGTAACGCAGAGAGCGGCTGAGTTTGTCGTAGTTCATGGCGGGTCGGTTCTTTTGGATGCCCCAGCGCCGAGCCACCTGAACAACGATTACACAAACAAGTATGAGTGAAGCCAAGACCACAAGGAAACGACAAATACACAATAGTACATGTCCAAACCTCTTCGGGCTCTATGAGCTTGAACTCCATGCCACGCCCGGTCCAGGCGATGAAATGCCCGTTGGCCGGGTCGTCCAACAGAGTGACCAGGAACTGCCACAGCTGAAGCGAGCCGCGCCGCTGGTACGGCGGGCCGTCCCGGTACAAGGCCGGCTCCTGCTTGATCTTTCCCTCGAGTCTTTCAGGGACCACACACGTGTCGTCGAAGTAGAGCTGAGAATCTCTGTCAAAGGAAAAGTCTGAAACAAGAAGAATAAAGACAGTTTCATATAATGTGCTCGATCAGAGACTCGGAGCTCAGTGAGCGAGGAATCCTTTTTAAAGCATGAATTAAAATAACCTTCCAGAAAAAAATATTTAAAAATAACCATAATAATAACTTACTGTCTTGATTATTTTGATAGAAGCTTCCTGCTCTCCCATATGAGGACTGACACTGAGGCACTTCTGTAAAAGAAAAACACAAACATTTATAGATATTTATATATTTATATTTTATATTTGATATGATATATATGAAATGATATGAATGACATATGAAGAGTGTTAGTTTAATCTTTCCAAACAAATTGAGATAAACTTGATCCTAGTTCAGAGTAAATTAAGCATCATCCTTTGAAGTCCTTAAACAGGATTAATGGGCCGTGTACCCTCACCCTCAGGGTCACCTTCTTCTGACACTTTCTGTCCCAAAAACACATTTTACAGAAGGGCATTGATCAAGTCTTTAGTGTTTACATCACAGACCTCTAATGTAAAGTGAAAATAGTATTTTAATGTATTTTAGTTCCCGACACAGACTTGTGAGCTTCTGTATATGGTCGATCTTAGAGATACTGGACGTCTGTGACGCAGGTATTTAAAGGCTGTAAGAAGCTAAGAGGATTGGTTATTACATCACTGCACAAACCAAGCAGAAACAAGAAAATGAAACCCAGTGACATAGCAAAGATTAAAAAACAGGATCATTTAGTGGAAAGAAATATCAAGTGAGTGTAGCGCAGATGGGAGCGTGGGTGTTTGGATCAAACAGAACCAGACTGACATTTTCCTTATTCTGTGCAAACTAAAGTCCATGAATTTATTCACATGAAGTTTTCTGGAGTTCCCAGAAACAGATACAGTTCAAATCCTGCCTCAGGTCAGTCTGTTCTCTTTGGTCTTGTTCTGTTCCAAATCCTCCAGGCTCAGAGAGGATCCTGGCCCTGGTTAAGTAACACAGTTACTGACTTAACCTGCGTGACCAGACACACTTTCCTTTTCCTGACCGGGCTTTAGAACCAGGCCAGTGGGTTAGGGTTTGACTCTGTTCTATAAGTGGTGTCTCTGTGGGGAACAAGAGGACTTAGTCTTGGCCGTGGCACTCACCAGAATCAAAGCAGAAGTCTCGGGGCTCCTGCTTGATGCTCATGTTGTGAAAGGATGTTTGTTGTGGACCAGGGGCCACAGAAGGAACGCCCTGCTCCGTGTACCGCGGGTCCAGGAACTCTTGTTTGAATCCTTGTGGTGGGAGGGGCACCAATGGGTCAGACATTTGCCGATGGTACGAAGGCCGACTTTCCCGCGGCAGAGCGCTGCTGCTGGGCTGTGGCAGGAACGGTGGGCAGCCATGACTGTCTGACTGAGGAAAGGGCAGACATGGCTCTGACATTTGCCTTTGAAACCTGCACCCAAACACAAGACATGTCAGCACTTCATCCGAGCTGTGACGAGGAGGACAGTGAAGTGCAGCTGTGTGTTCTTCAGACACAGACCTGTTGCTTGCATCGTGGTTAGCAGACGTGCAGGGGACGGCGAAGGGGAGGCTGTGCAGGGCTTGCTGGTTTGGGGGTTGCTGTGCTGGTCTTGGAGTGGGACTGGACCCATTCTGGTGTGTGGGAGGAGTCTGCTCCCTCAGTGTGGTGGACGTCCCACATGGAGACACCGGGGTGGAGGGAGGTGTTAATGGCTTGAACCCTGGGGAGGGTTTCCTGTCGCAGGCACTGTGGGTAACAGGTCAAAGCTCAAATATAGAACGGGATATTTGAGAGTATCATTTAGTAACATACCTGTAGCTGTAAAGGCACTTCTCTGCGTAGGGCATGGGACTCCGGTCCTGGCGACAGGGAGACAGATCTTTGGACAGAGTCTGCTCTCGTTTGATCTTGGAGGGTGTGGGGCCATGAAACATCACTGCAGACGAACAATCACAGACAGTGCATTAAGATAAAGCCCTTCTCTAACTGTGTCCATAAACAGAAGTACTCCTTATCTTAACCACATCTTGAACTGATGGACAAATGGAAGCATGGCCCGGGTCTGTATTCCCAGGACTGGCAGAGACACTTAGCAGCTCTTTGTCTTGAGCATTAATGACAGCAGACTCTGGGCTTTGAAAACAACATCCATCCTCCGCTGTTGGGAGCATGATTCCAACATCACTGCACACACTAAAGCTATCAAACTGCTGCTCTGCCTCCCATTAGGCCGAGCCAATACCAATATCCATGAATCAGAGCGCTATAATCTAATGGTGCTGAATGATTTTCTTTCTCCCATGCTGTAACCATTAGACACTCTCCGCACTGCTCCGACTGTCGGCTGCAGTTTCCGGGGCGCCACATAATAGTCCGGCAGAAACTGGATCTCCTGCGCTGAGGAGCAGCAGCCGAATAAATCACCCGGCGCTGATGGACCAAGAGAGGGCGCACAATGGGCACGTGAGCAAAGGGTCCAGCAGGGCCTTGGACACAGAGAGAGGGGCAAATGGGGACAATATCTCAGAGTGTGCGTTCCCATTTGGGTCTTCTGCTCTACAAACCAAATTTGGCCGGAGATACACACTTATTTTACAGATGGAAAAAACCAAAATGTTTTCCAAACTAAGAATGTGTGAAGGTTTATTTTGAAATGCTTAAGATGCCTAACAAAACGCTGACCACAACCACACCTTCCCCTCCTACGCACTAAAGCTAAAATTAAAATGCAAAAGACAGCAGAGGTGGCCATAAAAATCCACTGAGCATCTGCAATGTTATTCACAGCAAGAAACCAAGAAAGCAGAAGTCTTCCCTTGGAGTCTGAGAGTGAGGACAGACCAGGCCGTTGGAATCTCGCAGCTAACAGTGGATCTGCTGCAGCGGCTGAGTGCGAGAAAGTGTGAAATCAGATTAAGACTGGGGCTCATGTGATGCCCCATGCCAATCGGCTGATTACACCCAGAGTGGCGCAAGAGGAAAGCCTGCTCTGAGCTGCATCTGAAAACTGGCTTTAAACTAAAGTCAACATGTGGAGAAAAGGTTCTGAGCCAGAGAAAAACAAGGTACTCACAGTTATCGGACTGAAAATCTGGGACGAACTGCTCATCGTCAGGCACCTGAGCTGAGAACCAAGGGTCACAGTCACATGTTAGGGTCTTTTTACTTGTCACATAAACATTATTCCCATTAAGTATAGAAGAAAAGCATTTACCTTCTGCTATCCAGATCTCCTGGAGCTGACTGAGGTCTTGGAACAGTTCTGAGAAACATTAAAAACATGTAAATAAAGGTACAATATCAAAAGACAAAAACAGAAGTAAAGAATGAATCCAAACCTTCTGAGTCCTGTGCAAGTTCAGTCTCTACAAATTTCCTTTTCCTGTCGTTCAGAGGACGGCTGTGAGGCTCACAGGACTGTCCAGGGGAAGATGAAGACATGTCAGAGCTGCAGACGTCATGTGACATCACAATGTGACGTTTATAGAGACCACAGTCCCACATGTGTGACGGGGGTAGACTTACATTGGGGGGGATTATAAACGGGACTTGCTGGTCATAGAATCCATCCATGATGATTGTAATGAGTTGGGGCTTCAACTTTAAGGGCAGGGGGTCGCCTGAGCAAACTGTAGGACCACTGTAAACAGTTTAAAACATTACTAAATCACACATTCATCAACAGAATAAAAACAAACTGCATGAACTCAAACCAATGAAACGGACTGAGATCCAGAGTTTCTGTGCGCAGCACGTCACAGTTATATAACACTGACCATCTGTGCACTTTCTAAAGGACTTCAGGAGCAACACAACATGGCCTACTTCTCTTTCTACGCACAACAACAAGGTGAAGAACAAGCACACATGAGAAAGCCTAAAGAAGAAAGAAAAGTGTCTTTCTAGAGTCTGCTTCAGTGACTCACTCAGCTCTGTCCATGGATCACACAGAGCCGCTGCTGGCGATGGTTACAGACGTTTGTTACAGAAACAGTAGAAATACTCTTTCTGTAACAAACAGAAGAAGACGCTTCTCCAGAGAGCTACAGACGCACTTCTGTAACAACATGTCTGTAGAGTCTGTAGTGTCTGTAGTCTGTAGAGTCTGTAGAGTCTGTAGAGACTGTAGAGAATGTAGAGAATGTAGAGTCTGTAGAGTCTGTAGAGTCTTAGTGTCTGTAGTGTCTGTAGTGTCTGTAGTGTCTGTAGAGTCTGTAGTGTCTGTAGAGTCTGTATAGACTGTAGTGTCTGTAGAGTCTGTAGAGTCTGTAGTGTCTGTAGTGTCTGTAGAGTCTGTAGAGTCTGTAGAGTCTGTATAGACTGTAGTGTCTGTAGAGTCTGTATAGACTGTAGTGTCTGTAGTGTCTGTAGAGTCTGTAGTGTCTGTAGAGTCTGTAGAGTCTGTATAGACTGTAGTGTCTGTAGTGTCTGTAGAGTCTGTAGTGTCTGTAGTGTCTGTAGTGTCTGTAGTGTCTGTAGTGTCTGTAGTGTCTGTAGAGTCTGTAGTGACTGTAGAGTCTGTAGAGTCTGTAGTGTCTGTAGTGTCTGTATAGACTGTAGTCTCTGTAGTGTCTGTAGAGTCTGTAGTGTCTGTAGTGTCTGTAGAGTCTGTAGTGTCTGTAGTGTCTGTAGTGTCTGTAGAGTCTGTAGTGACTGTAGAGTCTGTAGAGTCTGTAGTGTCTGTAGTGTCTGTAGAGTCTGTAGTGTCTGTAGAGTCTGTAGTGACTGTAGAGTCTGTAGAGTCTGTAGTGTCTGTAGTGTCTGTATAGACTGTAGTCTCTGTAGTGTCTGTAGAGTCTGTAGTGTCTGTAGTGTCTGTAGAGTCTGTAGTGTCTGTAGAGTCTGTAGTGTCTGTAGAGTCTGTAGTGTCTGTAGTGTCTGTAGTGTCTGTAGAGTCTGTAGTGTCTGTAGAGTCTGTAGAGACTGAAGGCAACACGTCTGTGCTTCATCTGAGGCGTTTGATTCTCAGAGGTCGGAAACTTCTTTAACACTTCAATCAGCGCTGGGGCCTCAGGGGACAGACCCCCCCTCACCCTCACCCTCACCCCCCTCACCCTCACCCCCCTCACCCTCACCCCTCACGCCCTTCCCCCTCTTGTTTTTCTCAATGAAGTGAAACTCGATCCGTGTGGAAACACGGGGAGGAATAAAATGTCTCGTCCATTCATAAACAGTGTCCTGGCCGCGGACAGATCCCCAGGTTCTCTCTGTGTGTGTCTCTGTGTGTGTCTGTGCGTCTGTGTCTCTGTGTGTGTCTCTGTGTGTGTCTGTGCGTCTGTGTCTCTGTGTGTGTCTGTGCGTCTGTGTCTCTGTGTGTGTCTGTGCGTCTGTGTGTGTCTGTGCGTCTGTGTCTCTGTGTGTGTCTGTGCGTCTGTGTCTCTGTGTGTGTCTCTGTGTGTGTCTGTGCGTCTGTGTCTCTGTGTGTGTCTGTGCGTCTGTGTCTCTGGAAACTGTCGCAGAGTTATTTATCTTTGTATAAAAATGGCGTGCAGTCGCTCAACATTGTGCACGAAATCAAAGCAACTTAAAGAAAGGGCATAAACCTACCTGCTTTGCGCATGCGCGTCCTGTGGAGAAACGCACGGGAGTAAAATCCAAAGAGTCGCGGAGCGTGGCGCGGCTGCAGGACCTGCTGTGGTTCTGTGTCTCTAAAGTTGACTGAGATTTGCTTCATGGTCCAGTTTTCCCCAGGCTCAGAGACAGCCGCTGATTGGCTGAGAGCGCCTGTCTGTTTACACTGCAGCCAATTGGCTCTTCCAGTTCATTCATTAAACATGAGAGACTCAGCAGCCAATCAGAGCGAGGCACTGTCCTATTTTTATGAATGGCTTGACTTCATTCAATTTTCAGCTCTCAACCATGTCAACGCTGCAGTTAAAGGGCCAGGCCGCGCCGTGCCAAACCTGTCTTGCTGAATAGTAACATCCATGAGGACCACCAAAGGACCTCCAACTGTTACGTCTGTGGACGTAAATGTATAAATGTATAAATATATAATCACAGACGTGTTCTCAGGTGCTGCTGATGAACCCTGTCACACACAACATTCACTAAAGTATAATTACTCTGTGCCAAATCTGTCCTGGGTATTTGTGTTCCCACAGGATCGGTTTCAATCACTCGGAAAGAATAGACGACCTTCATCTTTTGTTGCGTCGTCTGAAGTTTGGAGTGAATGTCGATGAGTGAAAGTGAACATAAATACTTTAACATTAGTGTCAATAGTGAGAAACCTGAAAACAAATATGTGCTGTAGAGACAAGCAAGTGTGTGTAAGTGTGTAAAGTGTGTATAGTGTGTGTAAGTGTGTAAAGTGTGTATAGTGTGTGTAAGTGTGTAAAGTGTGTATAGTGTGTGTAAGTGTGTAAAGTGTGTAAATGTGTAAAGTGTGTAAAGTGTGTAAGTGTGTAAAGTGTGTGTAAGTGTGTAAGTGTGTAAAGTGTGTGTAAGTGTGTAAAGTGTGTAAAGTGTGTGTAAGTGTGTGTAAGTGTGTGTAAGTGTGTAAAGTGTGTAAAGTGTGTGTAAGTGTGTGTAAGTGTGTGTAAGTGTGTAAAGTGTGTAAAGTGTGTGTAAGTGTGTGTAAGTGTGTGTAAAGTGTGTGTAAGTGTGTAAAATGTGTAAAATGTGTAAAGTGTGTAAAGTGTGTAAAGTGTGTGTAAGTGTGTAAAGTGTGTAAAATGTGTAAAGTGTGTAAAGTGTGTAAAGTGTGTGTAAGTGTGTAAAGTGTGTGTAAGTGTGTAAAGTGTGTGTAAGTGTGTAAAGTGTGTAAAGTGTGTAAAGTGTGTGTAAGTGTGTAAAGTGTTTAAAGTGTGTAAACGTGTGTAAAGTGTGTAAAGTGTGTGTAAGTGTGTAAAGTGTGTGTAAGTGTGTAAAGTGTGTGTAAGTGTGTAAAGTGTGTGTAAGTGTGTAAAATGTGTAAACGTTTGTAATGTGTGTAAACGTGTGTAAAGTGTGTAAAGTGTGTAAACGTGTGTAAGTGTGTAAAGTGTGTAAACGTTTGTAATGTGTGTAAACGTGTGTAAAGTGTGTAAGTGTGTAAAGTGTGTAAAGTGTGTAAACGTGTGTAAAGTGTGTAAAGTGTCTGTAAGTGTGTAAAGTGTGTAAACGTTTGTAATGTGTGTAAACGTGTGTAAAGTGTGTAAGTGTGTAAAGTGTGTAAGTGTGTAAAGTGTCTGTAAGTGTGTAAAGTGTCTGTAAGTGTGTAAAGTGTGTAAACGTGTGTAAAGTGTGTAAAGTGTGTGTAAGTGTGTAAAGTGTTTAAAGTGTGTAAACGTGTGTAAAGTGTGTAAAGTGTGTGTAAGTGTGTAAAGTGTGTGTAAGTGTGTAAAGTGTGTGTAAGTGTGTAAAGTGTGTGTAAGTGTGTAAAATGTGTAAACGTTTGTAATGTGTGTAAACGTGTGTAAAGTGTGTAAAGTGTGTAAACGTGTGTAAAGTGTGTAAGTGTGTAAAGTGTGTAAACGTTTGTAATGTGTGTAAACGTGTGTAAAGTGTGTAAGTGTGTAAAGTGTGTAAAGTGTGTAAACGTGTGTAAAGTGTGTAAGTGTGTAAAGTGTCTGTAAGTGTGTAAAGTGTGTAAACGTTTGTAATGTGTGTAAACGTGTGTAAAGTGTGTAAGTGTGTAAAGTGTGTAAGTGTGTAAAGTGTCTGTAAGTGTGTAAAGTGTCTGTAAGTGTGTAAAGTGTGTAAACGTGTGTAAAGTGTGTAAGTGTGTAAAGTGTGTAAAAACAGCCTGTCGACACTTTTAAAAAGTGGCTTTTTGTGACTTTGAACCTTCTAACGGCTTTAAAACGACCCGCATAAGAAAGCATTGATCCTGTGTGATCCTGAACATCATGAAGTGTTCTGCAGATCAGAAAATACAGAGTTTTCTTCTTCAGTGACTGCGTCTCAAACAGAGGAGAGGCTGCAGTGCATTGTGGGTCTTCACTCGGAGGCGTGAGGACACTGTGCTGCTGTTATTCTTATTTTTTCCTAAAATAAAAGGTCCTGTTTACAGAAGAGATGTGGTGCTGGTTCTGCAGCTGTGGAATGGGACAGGGGAGTAGGGCACCTGTGGGGCACCTGTAATGTGGGCCACCTGTAATGTGGGTCACCTGTAATGTGGTCCACCTGTGGGTCACCTGTAATGTGGGCCACCTGTAATGTGGGCCACCTGTGCTGTTGTATCAATATTAGTGATAGTCTAGATGAGAATTTGTCTTGAACTCAAAGATGGAACACATGTTGAAGGTTTTTTTAAAAAGTAAAGTGAATTGAACGTTAAACAAACATTTATTGTGGACACATGTGAGACATATACTCAGGCGCCACAGAAGTATGAGCCTCGTGTTCCCAGGAGTCCCACAGAGGCTGACTGCAGAATACATGTGGATTATTTTATTGTCCAATGGCCTGGTGCTGGGAGCGTGCCCTTGACCCTCTCTGGGCCCAATGGGCCCAATGGGACCCTCTCTCTGGGCCCAACAGGACCCTCGCCCTGGGCCCAACAGGACCCTCAGGGAACATCCATCATGACACAATGACCTTCTACAGTATTTGACATGAGCCGCTTCAGTCCCAGTTGTTCAGGTTTA